CCTGATGATACTTCCATTCCTGGACCCTGGTCCAGAAGGAGCCCTCACACAAGGCTCCCTCCAGGTGCCCAGGATGCATTATATGCCCTCTCACTTGCCCCTTGGCTCTCCCCTCGCCTAACTTTCCTTGTTTCTGCTACTGTCTTTATTCATGGTTCTGTGTGTTTCTAAGCATTGTTTGTTTTTGCTTGTTTGGACATACATAGCAGTGTCATCCCATAGGTTAGTATTGTTTTTAGTCTGCCTTGTTGCAAAGATTCATTATAGCCCTGTTTGCCTAGCCTGTCTCCTAACCACTAACTCTGTCCATGGTACTGACACAAATGTCATTGCTGAACATATGTTCTTAATGAAAAGATCTTTGTATTCTAGTTTCTGGCATAGCCAGCTTTGTGGATTTGTGATGTGTTGATGGTATAGTTAGAGTGTAGACAGGCCCATCAAGGTAGGAGGTGGAGGGTCAATGATCTCTCAAAACACAGAATGAAGACTCCTGGCTCACATCCCCTGGTGCTTTGTCCTGTGAGGAGGCAATGATAGAGGGGTTTAAGGATGTATTCAGAGGTGGGCAGGCCTCCTGCCCTGCCATAGCAAGCTCTGCCTTTCCCAGGGGCTATGTGTTGGGGCCTGAGCTGCCTGCCCCTTGTCTTCTCACACTCAGGGAATTCTCAGTTCTGGGAATCACAGCTGAACCTGTTGGAGGCTCAAGAGCCCCATCCAGAGACAGTCCCTTTTCCATTGGTTAGCAGTGGGGAAGCTGACCATGAGGCAGGAACCTGTGTGGGCAAGGAATTGTAGCCCACTGGGATGCTGCAGATGCTGGGCTTGGCCTGTCCCTCTACATGGCAGTCACCTGAGGGCCTCCTCCTAGGACAGCCCTGTGTTGTCCCACCACGTGAGATAGTCTTGCCAGAGCTTTTGTCTGGATGTGGACGGTGCTGGCCTGCCCACTTGAATCCTACCTGTCAAAATCACAGGATTTACATTCTGGCAGGGAAGGCTGGGGCAAGAACATGGTGTAGAAGGGAGAACCACCAGTGCAGTGTTATAAGACTTACTGTTCAGTTTTAACCCAGGGCTTGGAATCTGATACAACAAGGGGTTCTGTGATCCAGATAAGTTGCTGTATCACCCCATGGAAAACCCCAGGAGCAGAAAGGTGCCTGTGTCCAGTTTGTCAAGGGCTAAGGAATTCTAGACACATTACTTGGCTGTTCTGTGCTTTATATTCTTTATAATAGGATGACTGGCACCCATGAGCCTAGGGCTCCTGAGCAAGGCCACGTGGCCGAGAGTTTGGTCAGCCAGTCGCATGTGGTGTAAAAAGATGGTAATGAATCACACTGAAAGGCAATCATATGTGAGTTTGCAGAAGACAGCATGTGATGGAGTACCAGGCATTAGGAACTGTGAGATGAAAGAAGAGGGTCATCTCTTGGAGCAGGAATAACTGCAGGCTGCATCACAGGCAAGAGTAGAGGAAGCCCTCAGTGGCTTGAATGTGCTCGGTCAAGAGTGTCTTGACTGTGGGGGTGTGGACCTCTTTTAGAAGCACATGTAGGCTACTGGAAGGGGGCAGGTAGGTTAGATACTTACACAAAAGTTGCACCAGCAGCATGTGTTCAGAAGAGGGTAAGAAGAAAAGGCAGGGGTGGATGTTTGGCACAGGGATGCCCAATTTGTGTATTAGGGTGTTTGTGTTCAGTTTCCTATTCTAGATTCCTGCTAATGCACACCCTGGGAGGCAGCAGGTAATAGCGCAAGGACTTGGATTCCTATAGTCCCTTCTGGCTTTGACCTAGATGAGCTCTGGGTACTAGGGGGTGTCTTTAGGGGAGTGACCCAACAAACAAATGGAAGATTTCATTTTGCTTTTCTAAATAAGTGAAATTAAAAAAAAATGTTTCGCTAAATTTTAAGTGGAGGTTAGTGTTGTGGTTGTGGTACATGTCATAGATGACAGTGGCCTAGATTATAAGCTGTAGAAATGCAGCCAGACTCTTTTCAGAGGCAAGCTTAAGAGGAGGTGCTAACAGGGGCCTTAGAAAAAGGGAGGAGTCCATGGTAGCTGAAGTGAGTCAGGGCTGGTACCTCTCATATGCACTGGGACATGAAGGATGGGTGGCTTTGGGGCCAGGAGCCCCAGGTTTTAAGGTTAAAGTGCAGTACTTGCCCTCTGTCTAATGGCTAGTATGTGCAATGATTGTGGCTGTTAGAGCATGCAGGCTACCCCAGGTGTCACCCGGTCTGCAGGCGTGTCTCTGGCCAGGCTGCTTGCAGGGCATCAGCCTTCTATCCCTTTCCCAGGGCTTCTGTCTCAGCATTGAGATTTGAGCGGTGTTTCCCTGTGGCTTCTGTTTACATATTGCTAATTGGAAGACTAAAGGTGACAAATCAAGGTGCAAAACACGCAAACAAGACAGTAAACACTTGAGCAGGATTTCTTCTGAGTAGTAGCTGGCTGATAAGCAGAGCTGTTTTTTGGGTAGCCTGATTGCCAGGTGCCATGACAGTCACCTGTGCCACCCTCCTTAGCAGGTGATCCCACCGGGAAATGGAGAGTCAGGAGCTTAAACCGCTGCACTGGTGGGGTGGGCAACTTTTGCAGGATGATTTAGCAGCAGTTAATTCTCTCATCTTCTATGTCAGAAGAGCTCTGGACTAAACTGGGAAGTAGTTGTGACTGTATATATCTGTGTTGATTTCAGGTGTCTTGCCTGGGAGCCACAGAACAGCTGAGGTTTTGATCTTGAATTCTTGCACTCTTGCTCTTGAGGGTTAGGCCCTGTGGGGTTTGCTGCTTGGGGTTAGTGTTTGTCTTCCTGAAGACAACCTGAGCACCAGATTTCTTAGTCATGATTTACTTTGTCTAAAGGGAACTTCAACAGTCTTAAGAAATAAGAATGCATTGAAAGGCGGATTAAGTTGCCACTTAAATTGTCTCGATTATTGATCTGAATGGATGGAGCCACATAGGAATTATACCTTTGAAAGAGGACATTGGGTAGGATTCCATTCCTATAAGTCTCTCTCCTACAACCTAGCCCAGACTTCTGAAATTTGGAAGGAAGAACTTTTCCCTTCCCCAATTCCTGTTAGGATTTTAGTTATCAGATATCAGAAACACATGCAGTCTCTGAGAGAGTTCAAGTCATAGCCCTTTACTTTTGAGATGAAAAGAGAGAAGGACTAGGAAACAAAAGAAGAAGCAACCTGAAATCACAGAGAGTAAGAAAAGGGACCATCAGGAGCTGATGTTTACGTATGATGAGATGTGACAAGGATATGGAGAAACAGTCAGCATCCAGGGTAATTGGACAGGCAGTAAAGATGGATGGCCTGATGCAGATTGTGGGGAGCCTTTAGGACAAGGGTGTGTGTGGGAGCTGACATTGGTTGGAGGGAACACCGTTGACAAGCGGTGAAGCAAAGAAGCATGTGGTCGTCGGGGACTGATGTGTGTTCCCAGTGTGACTGAACTGTAAAATCTGGCCTAAGAAGGATACATGGCACTTTGTACACTCTTCAGCAAGCATAAGGACACTTCAGAAACTTGATAGAAAATGGAATTCAAGAGCTGGCATTGTGGTAAAGCCACCCCTGTGGTCCTGGTATCCTATGTGGGCATCAGTTTTTATCCTGGCTGCTCCACTTCCAGTTCAGCTTCCTGCTAATGACCTGGGAAAAGTAATGGAAGATGGCCCAAGTGTTTGGGCCCCTGCAATGCATGTGGGAAACTTAGAAGAAGCTGCTGGTTTTGGCCTGGCCCAGCCCTGGCCATTGTGGCCATTAAGCAGTGGATGGAAGACCTCTCTCCTTCTCTGTTGGTTGTTTATTCTTTCAAATAAAAAAAGTTTTAAGGCTTTATGAAATGGAGTACAAAGTAAGGCTATTTTGGTACATGAACATTTTGAAGTCCCTGCATACAGAGGGACTTATATAACTGTGGAAGAGCAGGCACTGTGGTGCAGTAGGTCAAACTGCTGTTTGGAATACCCATATCCCATATTGCAGAGCATTTAAGATTGAAAACCAGCTCCACTGCCCATCCAGCTTCCTGTCGTTGTGTCTGGGAGACAGCAGATGATGGCTCAAGTTACCCATGGGGGAGACCTATATGAGTTCCAGGCTCTTGGTTTCTGCCTGGCCCAGCTCTGGGGAGTGAAGCAGCAGATGAAAGATCTCTAGGATTTGCTCTCACTCTGTAGCTTTGCCTCTCAAGTAAATAAAGTTGAACACATTCTGATGTTCATAAAAAATGTACATGGTGAAAAAACTACACATGGATTTCAAAATTTTTTTATGTATGAAAATAAACTCCTCTTTGAATTCCATTTCCCATGTAATGTTTGCAGTGCCCTTATGAAATGGGAAATATGTTGTGTGCAGTGTGATTTCTGTGGCCAAGAAAGTGTGTTGATGACAGAACCAGGGCTGCAGGGAGAGCCTACCTCTTGATCTAACTTCGGGAAAGGCTGAGGCAGGGCCAGCCTAGTGTTTAGCCATGTGCCATGTGTGAGCAGGAGTGTCCCAGAGTCCATGTGCTGGCATGCTCAGCATGGGTGCAGTGAGAAAAGAGAAGGCCCTGATCCTTGAGACCTGTGAGGTGGGCAGGGGCCTGTGCTGGACATGGTAAGGACTCAAAGGTGAGTGTGTAAAGTGAGCATGTGTTTAAGTAAACAGGATTGTGTAAGGGGGTGACCTAGGAGTGCTGCACCCAAAGAGAACTGGGTGAGTGACCTGGCTGTGTCTCCCTTGGTGTGTTGAAGAGGACCCTTGCTGTTGGTGAGCTGTTCTGGGAACTGCCTTCCTCCTCTCAGCTTGCACATCTCTAGCAGGTGCATGCAGGAGGGTAGGTTGATAGGCTGCTCCTCCACAGGTATCCCTGAACATGGGAAAGGCACTCTGAATGAGACTCAGACCCCTGTCCCAGCATCTCTGAAAGCACCAGAGCCTGATCAGGGCCAGTGATTGACCAGCTCTTTCTCTCCTTTCTCCAGAGATGAGAAAAATCAGTCCATCATAGTCAGCGGGGAGTCTGGAGCTGGGAAGACCGTGTCGGCCAAGTATTCCATGCGCTATTTCGCCACCGTTGGTGGTTCAGCCAGTGACACCAACATTGAAGAGAAGGTCCTAGCATCTAGTCCCATCATGGAGGTAAGGCCTTGTACACCTGGGGCTGTTGTGATTTGCCTGTGCCCCCAGGTCAACATGTCGGTGCAGTATCCTCACGTTCTCTGCTGAGTGTTGTAATCACCCTCCCCTGCCCTGCCTCTGACTGCTGTCCTCTTCCCTGCTGGCATTGTGTGTCAGGATATCAGGGCCTTGAACTTCCTCCTGGAAAGCTCAGCCTGGACTGCTGGGAAGTGGCAAAGCCTAAGCAGAATGTTCTTTTTCTTTTTTTTTTTTTTTTTTTAGATTTTATTTTTATTATTTTTTCATTGGAAAGGCGGATATACAGAGAGGAGAGACAGAGAGGAAGATCTTCCGTCCGATGATTCACTCCCCAAGTGAGCGCAACGGGCCGATACTATGCCGATCCGAAGCCAGGAGCCTCTTCCGGGTCTCCCACGCGGGTGCAGGTTCCCAAAGCTTTGGGCCGTCCTCGACTGCTTTCCCAGGCCACAGGCAGGGAGCTGGAAGGGAAGTGGGGCTGCCGGGATTAGAACCGGCGCCCATATGGGATCCCGGGCGTGCAAGGCGAGGACCTTTAACCACTTGCGCCACCACCGCGCCGGGCCCCTTTTTCTTTTTTTTTTCCTCCAAAAATGTATGAATGTATGTTATCCTGAGGGAGCAGGGAAGAGGTGGCTAGAGACAAGATGTGTATTGTACAGCCTCAGAAGACAGCACCCAGGACAGCTCCTGGGTCACATCATGCATGCATCATCCTGGCATTGCTGTGAATGCCCTGGGATGGATAGACACAAGTGCAATGCCAGAGCAGTTTGTGAATGTTAGATGCTGCAAGAATGAACCACGTTTCAGAATCAGAACTTTTATGAGGCTTCTCATGCTGAACTGTCGCACTAGCATCACAGCTACGTGTACCTATGTGCTTGACCTCGCTGCCAAGTATTTGCTCTCAGTGTTAATTCCAAGCCCTGGGCTGAGGGTCTTGTAAAGCACAAATTGCCGGATCTCACCTGCAAGTCTGGGGAGGGACATGGCAATATGCATTTCTCCCAGGTGAGCTCACACTGTTGATCTGGGCACCATACTCAGAGAACCATTGCCCTACTGAAAGAATGTGAAGGCCTCCCGCTGAAAAACATGACAGTGAAAGGGAATGATAGGAAAGGAGGGCTCATAACCCTGCAGCGGGTAGACTTCCCCCACCTGTTACAGCATAAGCCCCATCCCCACCCAGTGTTTCTACATGCTTGACCGTAGTTGATCTCCCCATTGCTCAGTGTTTAGTTGGGATCCTGTTTACTCTGGGTGGTGATTCCAAACCCTGAGTGTAGACCAGGCCGTTCAAAAGATGCTCATGGACCACAGCTTCCCTGGGATCCTGTGCTTGTGGAATCTCCTTACATGGAATCAACAAGGAACATCTTGTTTTCCTCAGAATAGGCGTAAAACCAGGCTTGCCTTTTTGCCCTGAATTTCAATAATCAGTTAAGCTTTTATGCCATAAGGTTTTGGAGAGACGGGAGAGAAGTGGTTATTCTGGGCAGAGTAGAAGTGTCCTCATCGATCACCAGTGAACACAGTCATTGTCATTTCCTCCGTGACTTAGGTCACCATGTGACTGTGTATTTATAAGATATAGGGGCCGTGCTTTAGTTTTTATTATAACAAAATATGCATGACATAAAATTTATCATGTTTACTATTTTAGGTATACAGTTCTATAGCATTATGTGCGTTCACACTGCTTTCACAGCCATCATCATCTACTTTGAAAACTTTGTCGGGAGTGACAGAGTAGTTCATCTGGCTCATCCAAGCGCTGGCATCCCATACGGGTGCCAGATCATGTATTGATTGCTCCACTTCTCGTCCTGCTCCCTGTTTGTGGCCTGGGGAGGCAATGGAGGATGGACCAAAGCTTGGAACCCTGCACCCAAAAGAAGCTCCTGGCTACTGGCTTCAGATTAGCTTAGCTCTGGCTGTTGGAGCCATTTGGCGGGGTGAATTAGCAGATGGAAGAGCTTTGTCTCTGTCTCTTCTCTATTTAAATTCTCTCTCTGCCTTTCCAATGAAAATTAATAAATCTTAAGAAAAAAAAAACCCACCTCTCCTCTCAATCAGAAACTGCCTGTCACATGAGTGTTCTTCATTCACCCTCCCTGCACTCCTGGTAGCCTCTCTTATACGTTATGTGAATTTGCCTGCTCTAGGTTCCTCCTTCAAGTGGAATTGTGCAGTATTAGCCCTGTTTTATGTAGCTTCCCAGCTTCATGTTGCTGTGTCTCGCTGCTTGCTTGGTTTGGGTGCCAGGGTGATATTTAGTGTGTGAACATGCTCCTTTGCCCTTGTGGTGGATGCTTGGGCTGTGTCTACCTCTGGACTACCATGGATACTGGTGCTGTGGCCATTGGGATGTGTGTGTGTGTGGTCTCTGCTGTGGAAATGACTTCCAAATTATGCTCATTTGAAGGTACTCCAGTGTTTGCAAAACCTGCTGTGGTCAAGCAGCTGGCAGTTTGTGGAAGAGTGGGAGGGAAGCAGAATATGTTGGCATAAGAGATGTGTAGGAGTAACATGCAAAATACACCACATGCAGTCTAGCTGCTAGTGTCTAGAGGGGCAGGGGCAACTGCCTGAGCTAACCTAATGCTGCACAGTCCCATGTGATCTAAGTAGATTATGCAATAGTTTAGACTGCACACGTTGTGTTGGCTTTCTGTCATGTGCACATCGGTTATTTGCGATCTTTGTGCCCAAGTCCCAGGATCCCATCTGTACACTAGAATTTTGCCATCATAGGGATTCTCATTTGAACTACTAGGAGGGGTCATGTTTTAGAGAAAGCTTGGATGTGACCATGGAGAAGAGGATGTGTAGCTGGGGGGAAAAAAGCCTGGGTGGGATTAGAAAGAGTGTGGCTTTTTACTCTGCCTGTGGCTACAGACACAGCTTTGTGTAGGTTCCAAGTGGAACTGTGTCCTCAGGGTTAGAACCAGCACAGTGGACATTGGATTGCTGGTGAGCTGCCCTGTGCCAGAAAAGTGTAGCTCCTCTTGAGGAAGCAGTCAGCTGGGCCACTGTCATCTCATGGCTTTCTCAGCTCAGAGACTGCAGATGGCATCTAGGGAGGCCAAGGGCAGGACAGGAAAGGAGGCGCATTCCCCACAGGGCTGCGCTAGACCACAGCCATTGGAAGTCACAGCAACTTGAGGCTGGCTGGGGACTGGCTGGAGTGGACCAGGCTGATTTATTGTAGCACCAGCAGGCTCTGACCCCATTCTAATCAGGAACTGGTTGGCTTCCCATGAGCAAGTTGTTTCAGAGTCTGCACTGATTAAACGAATGGCACTAATCAAGAGCCTGTCAGAGCAGGGACAGGTCCCTCGTCCACACTGGAGTGCCATGTGTCTGCAGCTCAGAGCCACAGTGGCCCCTTCTTCCTGGGAGAAGGGAAGGAGATTTAGGGGCTCAGTGAGCAAAAGAGAAATCAAGACCAGATATGCATTGTTTTCAAATTTTTCTTAAAAATGCAAACGAGAAACCTCGTCATACCCAAGTCTGCCCCAGCATGCCTACCTTATGCCCTGCATCAGCCAGTCCAAACATGGTTTGGACAGCTCCCCTTCCCTACTCTTCTGCCCGTCCTTTTGCCTACACACCAATGACAAGGGGACTGCCTTTTCCTTCCCTACTGCTGGGAGGTTTCTCACATTAGATTCACATCTGTTTTCATAGCCTAAAGCCATTCCTGCTTGCTTGCCTTCTTTTCTTCTAAAGATTTATTTTAAAAGGCAGACCAATAGAGAAAAACACAGGCCACGATGGCCAGACCAGAGCCAAGAACCCTGGAACTTTGTTCAGGTCCACCACACAGGTCACAGGGGCCCAAGCACTGGGGCCATCTTCTGCTACTATCCGTTAGCAGAAGTAGCAAGAAGCTAAATCAGAAGTAGAGGAGCTAGGACTTAAACCAGTGGTCTGGTAGAGGAAGCCAGCCTCTCAAGTGGCAGCTTAATCCGGTGGCCCGCAACACTAAGCCCATGATGTGTTTTGAAAAGTAGGTACTCATTTCTTCTCATAGCTTTAGAGTTTGCCATTATATAAATATACTGTGTTTTATTCCCCTTACTGCTAGACATTTAGGTGGTATTTTATTTTTAGAAATAGCTGGTATTGAATATTCCCCCTGTGTGTCACTTATGTGCTTGGGTATTTTCTAGGTACTATCTAGAAATAGAATTGCTGGTGGTTAGGTGCATGCCTGTGCAGTATTACTAGATATGCCCAGTCAGCCCTCAGATCAGCAGGGCCGCCCATGGAAATCTGTAGGCTGTAGACAGATCTGTTGGCAGTGATCCTAAGAACCTGGGCAGGGCATTCCTCGGGTGTAATAAGTAATTATCTGAAATGTACCAAAGGATCTTCATGCTGTTTTACACATTAAGAAATTGGAATTTTTGAGATACTAAATTGAAATTTGGAGTAGAAACTGAAGTATTGAAACTAGACCTTTGCACATTTTCCCCTCTTGCCCTTGCTAAGCACATCTTTGTGCTGTTGTTTATCATGCTGCTCCACCCACTACATTTTCTGTGAAAGCAGTAAAATGTTTGTGTTAGACTTGCAGGAACCTCACACCAAGTGTTCGTGGAGGGTGGACAGGTGGTTGCAGGCCTGAGCCAGCTCATGTCTCTGGGCAGGGCTAGGCTTTGGTTTACAAATGAACAAGGGCATGGCTCAAGACCTTGAGGATCTGCGAGTTTTCCCAGTCCAGACTTAACAGGACATATTTGTGCCCATTAGCTGTTGGTCAGCTTCTGGCTGCATGTTCGTGCTCCTATTGGTTTTGCAACTGATGCAGCACAGCATTGCAAAGCTTGGAGCACTGGGAGATGGAGTTCTGTCATCAGGGTTGAGTGAGACTGGGCAAGAGTGGCAGGTAGGCTGGGATCTTGATTTCTCATTTCCAAGACTACTCAAGTAGATATTTTTCAAGTATTTGAACCACCTGACAATGTCAACATGTAGAAAGGATTAGATTTTTTTTGAAGATTTATTTTTATTGGAAAGTCATATCTTTTTATTGAATGAAAAGATAGTCCATCTTTTCATTCACTCCCCAAGCGGCCGCAATGGCTGAAGCTGAGCCAATCCGAAGCTTGGAGCCCAGAGCCTCTTCTGGGTCTCCCATGCAGGTGCAGGGTCCCAAGGCTTTGCGCCATTCTTCACTGTTTTCCCAGGCCACAAGCAGGGAGCTGGATGGGAAGTGGGGCAGCTGGGATATGAACCGGGGTGCACATGGGATTCTGGCACATGCAAGGTGAGGAATTCAGCCACTAGGTTACCAGGCAGAGCTCAAGAATTAATTATATATATATATATAATTTTTTTAAAGACAGAGAGCAAGCACATCATTCATTCCTCAAATGACATAACAGCCAAGGTTGAGCCAGATTAAAGCCAGGTCTCCCACATGAGTGGCAGGGACTCAGTCATGTGTGCCATCATGCACTGCTTTCCAGGCACATCAGAGGGGAACTGGATTGAAGTGGAGCAGCTAGGACTCAAACTGGCTTCCCAGTGTGGGATGTGGGCAAACCATGCAGCGGCCTATTGTGCCACAACACCTGCACAAGTAATGAAAATATTTAATGTATCTATTACTAACCCATTAACAATGTGATTTTTAAAATAAAAAACAAATATTCATGCCATGAAATTAGTTTTTTAGCCACTTTCAAAAATTATTAAATTCTAGGTTTTTTTTTTAAAGACTTACTTAAATTTTGAAACAGTGGGAAAGAGAACTTCCATTTGCTGGTTCACACCCCAGGTGGTTGCAATGACCAGCACTGGTCCAGACCAAAGCCAGAAGCTTCCCCTACTTTCCCACAAGGGTGTTGGGGCCCAGGTATTCAGGCCATCTTGTACTGCTTTCCTTAGACCTCATGTTAGTAGGGAGATGAATCAGAATTAGAGCAGCTGGGACAGGAACCAACACCCATTTGGAATGGCAGTGTTGTAGGCGTGGCTTCACATACAATGCCACAACACTAACTCCTAAAATTCTGATTTTTTTGAATGTGCCTATACTACAACGTGCAAAAATGATTCCAAGAAGAATGACAGCTTCTTGATTTGCCCCAAGAATGAGGTGTGTAAGAGAACAGTTGCTGACTTACACTTTGTTTCTAAAAAGTAGCATTTATTATTGGAGAGCAGTGTGATACCAACTATTCCCAGACATCCAAAGGAAGTAGAATAAACACAGAAGGATTTGTTTTTTTTTCTGTAGCTTGGCCCCGTTGTCATCTTAGTAACAGAGCAGGGAGGCGGATGCTGTCACAAGGACACTGTCATGAAATGTAGCCAGTCCTCGATTCTTGAGCACCTTTTCTTGTCAACATTTGTTCCAACCAGGCCATTGGCAATGCGAAAACCACGCGCAATGACAACAGCAGTCGTTTTGGGAAGTACATTCAGATTGGCTTTGACAAAAGGTACCACATCATTGGGGCCAACATGAGGACCTACCTGTTGGAGAAGTCCAGAGTGGTCTTCCAGGTGAGTAGTGGGATGTGAGCCCCAGGATTGCCTTCCTGTGGGTGCCCTGCTCCCTCACAGCCCAAAGAACATCTCATGTCTGGAGCTTGGCATTGGATGCCCTTGTTCTTCCAATTTTCTCTGTTTCTCATGTCAGTACATGTTTATTCAAGTGATGTAGACATGAGGCCTTAAAACCTTCTAGGCAGTGTTGTTTAGATTCAGTCCCATGCCAGCCCTAAGCTAGATGCCAGGGTCACCGTAGGGAACAAGATCGTCCTTCTGGAGATTGGCTGTGATGGCCTAAGCATGCCACAGATCCCGAGTCTGGGTTTCTGCTTTCATGAGAGCCTTTCCTGGAGCCTTCTTGGGTAGACTGATAAAATTAGTTACTCCTGGCCGCCTGCTTCTGCTTTCCTTTCCTTTCCCAGTGGATATGCTCCCACTTCCTGCCTGGGTGGATTCTCCCATAGCCATGGCTTCTCGTTTGAGTCCTTCTGCCCAACAGCTTTTTGCCCCTGTGCGACCCTCCTCCTCCCCACTCCCTCAACTCTACCTGTGCTGCTGGCCTGTGGCATTCACACCCACAGCAGTCTCTCTGCATTTCCCCACAACCCCAACAACGATGGGCAGCAGTGGCACCTTGCATCCTGGGCTTGGGTCTGTGGTTTGCTCTTTTCTCTCATTCACTTCTTTGTCCCCACCTTTTGGCTGTGCTCAGAGGAGGAGGTGGTGGCAGTGTGACCTTGAATATATATAGCCAACAGCTCATAGCTCCAGTCCCTTCTTCCCTGGGCTTTCTCAGCCCCCACTTTTTCCTCCCCTGCTTCAGTGAGAACAGCTGCTGTGTTGGGGACAGGTGGGAATGTGTTGCTCGTGGCTCTTCCCCCTCCTCTGCTGTTTGCACAGACCCCCAGAATTGCTTCAACCCTCCGATATATGGACATCCACAATCATCACCCCTCAGCCAGATCAAGGCTGGTCCAGGCACAGATGCCCACCATAAGCCTGATATGATGGGCAGGTGTTGCTCTCATTCTACTACCAGCCTTTGAAGGAGAATAGGGGTGGAACATGAAGAGACTGCAGTCTACATAGCACTAGTCAGGCATCAGAAGTTGAATTGGTATTTGTTGGTTGACCCACACATGATGTTGTGTCTGGAATGTCACAGCAATAGTGACATTCCTGCCCCTACACAGAAGGGGAAGGAAAAGGCAGGCTCTCACATGAGTTAGGAAGCAAATGCCCTCAGGTTGGGGCAAGACCCAGGACAGTAGATGGCATGCCAGAAAGAAGGAAGTGAAGGTGGCAGAGCTGAGGAGGAAGACTTCAGGTTTGGCCTCCTCTGCCAGGGACATCTGAGGTTGGGAGGGACGGAGACACAATCTCAGAGATCACGGCCCTAAAACTGCTTTGCTTTCTCCTCTTTCAGGCAGATGATGAGAGGAATTACCACATCTTTTACCAGCTCTGTGCTGCTTCCAGTCTTCCAGAATTTAAAGAGCTAGCACTGAGTAAGTCTGCAGGTGCTTACAGATCCTGGGGGTATATGGCTGGAGATTCTGCTCCAAGCATCCCTGATGTGGGCCCTTGCCTTGGCTTCCAGACCCTGTGAATTTCATAGTCACGTGTGCCGAGTAGCATTCACGGCACACAGGCTGGCCTGCCACAGGAAGTGTAGGCAGGATGAGGTGGTATGGGGAAGGAGTGTGCTTTGCACAATAGGCATCATGAGATGTCTACCCTTTCCATGAAGATCTGGAGGCTTGGGGAATGTGTGGCTGTGAATGTGGCTTATGGGTTTTAAGTCACATTGAAGGATTTGAGAGCATAAGATGAGGGGATAAGATGAGTTGGATAAGTCTGAGCACTGCCAGGGTCTCTCCCAAGTGGGTATGGAAGCTTCCAGGGCACCTGTGGTTGGGCATTGGGTGGGAGGGAGGTGCCGCAACCTAGTGCCTATCCTTTGGAGATGGTGGGGTGATTGCCTGTTGTCCCTTGCTTGGTGCCACTTCCCTGAGGGGCTTTATTATAGAGCATTGGCCAATTCCTGCCGTGGAGTCCTTGGCACCCTGTGTGTGACAACAGCTAGCCTGGAGCCTAGCAGCGCCCTCGTGTCTGCCAAGTGTCATGTCCCTGGCTTGCCATCTATGTTTTGGGGTGTGTCGGGGGAGGTCCAGTACCAGCAGATGGTGTGAAACACTGGGTGTCTAGACAAGCTAGCTGCACTGTGCAGCTATGAGAGAAATAGGAGTTCTGGGACTTTGCTGTCCCTAATCTGTAACTGTAGCCATCCTGAGGGTCAAGTGCCAGACTCACCCATGCTCCCAGCAGCTCTGGTGCATTAAATGCATCCAATGTAGGTCAGCACCACCTTGACTTCACTTACCTTCTGTGCATTTCTTCAGAATTTGATGACAATGCCATGCAATTGACTTGGGCCATGCTGGGTGCCAGAGGTGTAGCATGGAACCATACAATTACAGTAACTGTGAATGGAGCACAGCAGAGGTAGGCCAGAGGCTCCCTGGGAATAATGCTGACCCTGGGATAGAAGCAAGGAGTTCTGCATGATGCCACCTGTCCTCCGCATGTGTACAGTGCTGGCCAGTGGCTGCTGGGCCCTCATGGAGGGGAGGACTGTGTGTCACCTGCTGAGCAGCCCTTGGGTGAGCCGTGCCCTGGATGGCACCTTGTAGCTCTAGTCTCAGCTCTCAGTCACAAGTGGCCAGGTTGGCGATCATAGTACAGGTCATGGCCATCCTGCTCTTCCCACAGTGGGACATGGGCCTCAGCTTGGCTTTTTAGGGCTAACCTCCAAATTAAAAAAAAAGAAAAAAAAAAAAAAAGAAAACCTTAATGATATGTTTATTTGCAAAGCAGAGTTAGAGGGAGGGGAAGAGAGATCCTCCATTTGCTAGTTAAGTACTCAAATGGCTACAGTGGCCTTGAGCTGGGCCAGGCTGAAGCTAGAAGCTTCACTGTGTCTCCCACATGGGTGCCAGGGACACAAGCATTTGGGCTACCTTCCGCAGCTTTCTCAGGGGCATGAGCAGAGAGATAGGTAGGAAGTAGAACAGCCAAGACTCAGAGAAGCACTCATATGGAATGCTGGCATTGCAGGTGATAGTTTAACTTGCTATAACACAACACTGGCCCTGAGACTTGAAAATGTTGAAGTCAGCTTTATAGAGAAAAGGCAAATACAGGCAAGTTCCCTGTGGCTATACATGGCATCACTTTGTCCAAGATGTAACTATAGAACAGCAGGGAGGAAATCCTCCTAAAGTTGGTCGCATGTCCACGAATTCTGTTGAGGTAGAAAATAATTTTTCCTTATTCCATGTCTCTGCAAGTCATGTTCTCCTTCGACCCCCTGAGCTACAGTGCTTGAGAGCCAACCAGTCTGATCAGTTCCTTGCACTCTTCCACATACTTGTGAAGAGCCTTCAATACGTTCTTGTGCAGCTTTGTGGGCAGATTGGCTGTAAGCCCCGGAGCTCTGTTTAGTTTCATGAATAACCCTGGTCTGGTGGCTGGAGGTGTCAAGTACTTAAGCAACTGAGTCAGTGGTGAGAAGTGAATATTTAGAGCTAACATGCATCCTGTTCTTCCACAAACACATGCAGCTGTCTTTGTAAAACCCCTCGTCTGTATAAGCTTTGTGCCTTTGTCTGGGGTTGGAGTACATGGGGCAAGTGGCTTTTGGTGCAGAGCAAGGGGAAAGACTCCAGAAGGTTCCAGGAGGCAGGTCCAACAGGAAGGACCAGGTGTTGGGATTGGCACCTGGAGCCTTAGTGTGGCTGTGTGTCCTGCTGGACCGACCTGAGGTGCCTCTGACTGGACACACCCAGCCAAGGAGGAGGAAGCTCCACTGAGTTTCTGGGAGGGTCAAGGAGGGTCACCCAAGTCCAGCTCTGGCAGTTTCTGGCATTGTGCCCAGACCCATGCAGCACTGATGGTGTGGGCGCTCAGGCCAGAGTGTTTTCCTGGAGATGTAAGTGATGTAAGTGATTTTCAAGCATCATTTTGATGACACGCACCTGTTGTCTTAACTGCTGGCTCTTGAGCCCATCCTTCCAACAGCGTGGGCACCTACTGTGGGTTTATTCTCTCTCCCATGCTGTGTTAGGTTGGACCTGAACTCCGACATACACGATCTCAGGCCCCTCCTTGAAGGCCTCCGCTGATGGCTTTTCTTGAAGTAAGCAGAGTCAAAACAAACATGCAAAGATTCTTGGGCTGCACTTGCTGCTATGCCTAGACAGTTCAAGCGCAACCTTTGTAGGACAGGTAGAAGGAGAGCCCATCTGCCCTAGGGGCTGTTACCGCCTCTCTTTGGTTGGGTGAGATGGGTGAGATGGTTGCTGAGGTACGTGGGTGTTGAACTTGCACATGTCAGCACACATTGGAGAGGAAACTTTGTCCCATGAAGCTGCTCTGCCCATCACTGCTTTTAGGGGGTTAGGCATCTTGTACTGGTGCTGCCTGAGTAGAGTGGCACATTGTCTGATAGCGGGTTTCTCTTTTGTTCTTTAGGGGTTTTGTTGTTATTGTTTTTTCCCCATTGCAATCCTGGACAACAGTATATCCAGGGATGTCGCTAAAATTGGGTCTGGATTGGTCTGCTGGGGTAGCAGTGCTGAAGCACTGAGACCTTGTGTGGGTGACATGGGGACAAGGCCAGTGCCTCACGCCTCACCGCCTTGCTTCCCAAAGCATGTGCAGAGGACTTTTTCTACACCTCCCAGGGAGGAGACACGTGCATCGAGGGTGTAGACGATGCAGAGGACTTCGAGAAGACACGACAAGCCTTCACACTGCTTGGTAAGTAGCTTCTGGATGGGAGAGTGGGTGCTGACTTCTTGAGGGCAGGGAACCAGGCCATGGCCCACATGGTTTGAGGACGGCCATGAGGTAATGGGGAAGCTTTTATGTCCTCAGTGAACATGGTTTTAGTCTTAATTGCCTTGGCCCTCAGGCTCCAAGGCTTGAGAGCTGCAGTTCTGTCAGCCTTTTTTTTTTTTTTCCTCCTGAAAGGTAGATTTACAGAGAGGAGAGACAGAGAGGAAGGTCTTCCATTTGTTTTTTTATTCTACAAATGGCCGCAATGGCCAGAGCTGAGCCAATCTGAAGCCAGAAATTTCCGCTGGGTATCCCATGCAGTTATAGGGTCCAAGGATTTGAGCCATTCTCCATTGCCTTCCCAGGTGACAAACAAGGAGCCAGATGGAAAGTGGAACACCCAGGACATGAATTTGTACCGATAAAGGATGCCAAGTTTGCAGGGGCGACGATTAGCGAATTGAGCCACTGTGCCAAACCTGTTGACTTTTTTTAATGTTTATTTGTTTTTATTGGAAAGGCAGATATACAGAGAGGAGGAGAGAGAGATAAGAAGATCTTCTGGCTGATGATTCACTCCCCAAGTGCTACAATGGTTGGAGCTGAGCCAATCTGAAGCCAGGAGCCAGGAGCTTCTTGTGGGTCTCCCACATGGGTGCAGGTTCTCAAGGCTTTGGGCCATCCTCGACTGCCATCCTCGATTGCTTTCCCAGGTTGCAAGCAGGGAGCTGTATGGGAACTGGAGCCCATACGGGATCCCAATGTGTTTAAGGCAAGGACTTTAGGTGCTATGCTATTGTGCTGGACCCGACTTTTCTTAAAAATAAGAATTTGGGGAACCGATGCTATGGTGTAGCAGTTCCTGCAGTGCCAGCATTCCTGTTGGGTGCTGATTTATATTCTGGCTACTCCCTTTCTGGTCCAGCTACCTTCTAACGCATGTGGGAAAGCAGTGTGGATGGCCCAGGTCCTTGGAATTCTACACTTGCAGACCTGGAAGAAGCTCTTGGTTTCAGACATGCTCAACTCTGGATATTTTGGCCATTTGTGGGGGTGAGCTAGCAGGTGGAAGATTTCTTTCTCTTTCTGGAACTTTGTCTTTCAAATAAAATTTTTGTTTTCTCTCTCTCTCTCTCTCCCTCTCTCTCTCTCTTTCTCTTTCTCTTTCTCTCTTTTCTTTACGATTTATTTGTGAGGTAGATATTGTGGCCCAGCAGGTGAAGCCACATCTTGGAACACTGTATCCAAGCGTTCACACCTCCACTTCTCCAGCTTTCTGCGGATGTGCCGGGAAGGCAGCAGTGATGGTAGCAGTGCTTGGGCTCCTAGCAGGCTCATGAGAGACTCAGATGGAGCTCTGGTTCCTGGCGTTGGCCCCAGCTGTAGCAGGCATTTGGGAAGCCATTCCGCCTTTCAAGTAGATGAGAATATTTTTTTTAAATCAGGATTCAAGAATCTGTCTCCCTGATAACCACAGGTATTATTGTTCTCCTACTCAGGTCATCAGAATGACTAGATAAAACCCAGATGTCTTTTCATGCTGGGTTCTGGGTTTAGAGAGGGAGTATGTTGTGGAAAGCAGGCTGCCTGCCTGGTGACTCTGCCATGCACAAACTCTGCTTGGTCTGTTAACTCAGACTTCTTGTGGGACTCGGTGGAGGAGCCTGATGTCAGAAAGTCCTGCTTGTCCTTCAGGGGTTAGGGTTAGGGTAAGGGAAGCTTACCTTAAGGGAACAGCCGAGCAGGAGGAAAACGCTCCTTCCCCTGTCATGCTCTGTAGAGAAGTCTAATACCACCACCACCACCACTACTTGTATCCAGGTGGAGATGCCATCAACCTTTCATGATTGGGGAATGGAGCTGAAAGGCTACTTGGACGTGCAGACAGAGAAGAAAAGCCTGGGAAGTCAGCCTGGAGCCCATAACAGTGCTCCAGGCAGTTCGTGTGCTATGCCAAGTCTCTTCCCTGGCAGAGCATCAGCTCCTGAGCCATAGGATACACCCAGGGCAACATGGTGAGGGTCTTTAGTCTCAGAGCCAGAAGAGTTTTGTCCAGTATCCAGGTAAAGCAAAGCTGGACAGCAAAGCTCATCTCTGTATGGAGTGAACACCGACTGTCTTGTGCTATGTGGATAGCATTTGTTGTTGGTACCCAGGAAGTGAGACCAACTGTGCTGATTATATCCATCCATCCTTGTTGAGATACAGTCGATAGAGCTACCATAGGTGATTAATGATGAAAAGGGATGAAAGGTGATTTCAGGGGTGCAAAAGTGGCAGGTGCAGAAGGACAGGTGCCATATCTGGGGTGAAGAATCACAGGCCACAAAGGAGCTGTTGAGAGCCAGCCACCTCAGAGGGTGTGGACCCGCCCTGGCCTGCAGGGAGCTGGCTGTAGCTGCCCAGGCTGTGCTGTGCTCAGCAGAGCTCAAGAGATGCCACTGCTAGGGAGCCCTAGCCTGAGGACCCTGCTGGGGCTACCAAAGAGGTGGGTGGTCTCACCTGTGAGTGGTGCTTACTGGTCACATGTGCCTTCTTGCTCCCCTTGTCTCAGAAGTCACTGTAGGGCCCTCTGGGAATAGGTACCAGCAGACCAAGGAGAAATGATGGCAGGGCTCAGCTCTGGTTCCTCGAGACAGGGTAAGGAAGGGAGAGAGGACCTGACAGTGAGAGGTGATGCACTAGCTGCTGGCACCTGTGCCTTCCCCAGCATCACGTGCCTGTCTCATCCTCTGGAGCTGGGAGCAGGATGTGTTTTGCTCAGCTTGTCAGAGCCCTCATCAAGTTGACCCATAGTTCGCATTTTTTAGCCCCTTTTCCAGACCAGGCTCTGGTCTGGGCACTGGGCAAATGATCGTAAATTTCACAAAACCAACACAAACCACCCCTCTGTCCCTGAGAGGCATGCGTGGTATGGGCCATCTGACCAGAAAGCCCACTGTTAATGTTGCTTAATTTCTGGAGGATTTTTTTTTCTGGTGTTATTTTGTTTAGAGAGGCAAGGAGAATGTAGGAACCCTGCTCCAGTGGTTCATTCCTCAAGTGTCAGCAACAGCTGGGGCTGAAGCTGGAAGCTTAATCCATGTCACCCATGTGAGTGGCAGGAACCCAGTCACACGAGCCAGCCTTGCTGCTTCCTAAGGTGTGCTTCTGCAGGAAGCTAGAATCAGAAGTCGACTTGGATTGTCAAACCATGCACTCTCATGAGGGATATGAGTATACTAACTGGTGTCTCAAATGCTAGGGCAAATGCTCACTCCTGGGCATATTTCTAATCCTGGCCTGACACCTCTGAGCTGCTCATTTACCAAGGACAATAGCTAGTAAGGGACTGGGAAATGGTTGGATTTCTTACACTAAGGGGTGGGTTTACTGATGCCCATTACTTGAGCTCCTTTTTGTTTGGAAGTCTGGAATATTTTGTAATGTTTAAATGCCCGTTTTGGGGGCTGGTGCTGTGAGTAGCATGTTAAACCCCCCACCTGTGGCACTGGCATCCCAGTTCAACTCCTCGCTGCTCCAATTCTGATCCAGCTTCCTGTCGATGGCCTGGGAAGGCAGCAGAGGATGGCCCAAGTTCTTGGGACCCTGTCCTCATGTGGGAGACCCTGAAGAAGCTCCAAGCTGTGACCTGGTTCTGGCTGTTTGTAGCCATCTGGAGAGCGAACCAGAGGATCGAAGATTCTCATTCTCTCATTCTCTCTCTCATTCTCTTTCTCTCTCTCTCTCTCTCTCTCTCTCTCTCTCTCTCTCTCTCCCTCCCCCTCCCTCCCTCCCTCCCTCTCTCTCTCTCTCTCTTTCTCTCCCTCCCTCCCTCCCTCCCTCCCTCTCTCTCTCTCTCTCAATTCTACCTTTCAAATAAAAACATGTCTTTTTTTAAAGACTGCTTTTAAGCTAAATTATTAGATTATCCATTCCTGTGTAAGTGAGAAGCAGGATGGCTGGTGCTGCTGTGGTTCTGAGTCAGGTGCGTGTTTGAGACTGCAGGCAGAATGGGGGACAGTAGCCCCCAGCCAGCTGGCGTTGCAGGCCCTGGAACCACAGTCCCAAGAGAAGCCTGTCCTCTTCTCTTATTGGTGCTGGACATGTGTGTCACAGATGTTTGCAGAATATTATGTTGGGCAGAAAATGACTGCAGATAGTAACCATTCTTGTTAGGCTCATAAAAAAAAAATTCATACAACATTTGGTTGAAATTAAGTCCAGAGCGAGAAGTCAGCATGGTGGCACCAACTATCTAGTGCCATGGGCACAGTCTAGGTGGGGATGTGACCTTTGTGGCCCACGGAGTCCCTCCCCCCTGAGCCATCACTGTGACTGGCAGTTCCTTGGTGAGCAGCCTGTCATTATGGGAGTCCTTGGCCCAGGAAGGAAAAGTGGGCTTTATTTCTAAACAGTCCTGTAGGAGGTAGAAATGTCCTTGTATCCAATCAGGGAAGTTGAGTGTGACTTGTGCATGTGTCTGTCTTCTCTTGCAGGCGTGAGAGAGTCCCATCAGATGAGCATCTTCAAGATAATTGCATCCATCCTGCACCTGGGAAGCGTGGAGATTCAGTCTGAGCGTGATGGGGATTCCTGTAGTATATCAGTGAGTTGCACACCAGTTTTGGAGATAAAACATGCCTAGCTTGCTCCCTGCTTATGACTTGATGGGACTGCAGTGGATCTTGATCATCAAAGGACACTTCTAGGTCATTTATTCTTAGCAGGAGTGGTTTCTCTTCCCTGGTTGATAATTTTGTAGGGGAACCAATCCTTTTTGGATCCCCTGCCATCCACTTCCCATCACTCAAGCTGGGGAATTGAATAGCTATTCTAGAAAACATTTGTGACAGGTGGATTTTCCATGTACCCTGAGGTATGTGACATCCTGTAACGTGTTGTCAATCCAACAAGTTCTTCTCCTGGGGTCTTTCTAGACTTATGTGGGGTCTCCAGCCATAGCAAGGAGGTGGTGGAGTTTTGGACCCCATACTTTGCAACTGCTTCAAAGCAGCTTGCAGTCGCCCTGAGCAGATTAAGACTGGGCAAGACCCTTGTGCTGGTTCTGACAGCGTGTGGTAGAGTCCACTGGGAAGGGTAAAGGTGCCCACACGGTGGAAGGTGGGACAAGACCCTGCAAGTGACACACACAGAAGTGACTGTATCCTCTCTGGAGGGCAGTGGTGGTGGGCTGGCTGGCTGGGGGATCTGGCTTTGGGTGTGTCCGCTGCGGTTTGTTTTACATCCCTTGGTTTGCGTTTATTGCTGAGTCCTAGAAGGAGTGGAGTGTGCTCTGTGCTTCTAGGGACTCGGAATTCAAAGAACCAGAGGCAGGGAAAAGATGGAGGATGTGGGCAAGTGTCCAGGCCATGCTGATGCTGATGGTCCTTTCAGTGGAGTAGACATTAGCTAATCTCCTGCTGTTGACATGCGTTAGGATTTCCCAAATTCCAACTATTCTGCTTTCAGGGAGAGGAAGACCAGAACTATTGCTGGCTGGGCCTGTACAGATAGAGCTCATCACTTCCCTGCCTCACACCTTTTCCCTCCAAGGGGACAGCACTGGGTATAGAGGGTCTCTGGGTGTGTCAGCCCTGCTGCTCCTTGGGAGCATGGTGACTCACCTACCTGGGGCAATAGGAAAGAGGGGAGTGTGGGAGCTGGCAGTGGTGGGTGTCTCAGAGCAGTTTCTAATGTCTGATGTTTGTCCAGCTGTGTGTGCATCTGCAGGGGATGCAGTGCAGTGAAGCTCAGAGACTCAGGTGTAGAATGGCACCTATGGCCTGGAGCCTCCCGGGCAGGCCAGACTCTACCCCGATTTCAGTGTAGAGGGCTGATGGTGCAGTGGGAGGTAGTGCCTCTTTGGAAATCTGGGACTTGGCCTGAGTGTGGGGAATCTTTGATTTTAGCACCGGCTCCCATACCCAGCCCTTGGGCAGGAAGGAAGGTGAGTGTTTGCACTGATTGGCTCAGTGCCTGTAGCCCACCCCTACCACACACACACACACACACACACACACACACACACACACGCCTGGGATCAAGTCTGTTAGGGTCACTCTTCTGCCCCAACACATGCTGATGCTTGCTGAGTATGCTGGGAGGTCAGGACCAGCTTGGGAAAGGGCAGGCTGAGCGCATCCATGGGTGGTCAGTGAGGACAGGGGAGGTGGAGGTATGTATGGGTCCCAGGTGGCTTGGCAGATGACAGGAACTCAACATGCAGCTTGAGAGTACAGGCATCATAGATCCTGAAAGTCAGAGGCTGAAGAGTGACCGTCGATGGCCAGGGCTGCTATGTCCTACCTGAGGCTACTTCCTTCTGTGCAAGAGTGTGGGCATAATGCTCACTAGCTCCTGCATTGGGATACCCCTGCTCAGAGCTGATGGTGGTCGAGCTCCTGACTGCTGCAGACTTGTGGTTGGGGTTAGGGTGGGCCTGGAGACTTCCTTACTCTGTGAATACTCAGATGGAGAGTTAATAGCAAAACCAGGCTCAGGCCCAGGCCCAGCTGCAGTTCATTCCCTGTGCTGCTGTTTTGCCTCTTCAAGTGGGAACTGTCCTCCACTGGCCCAGTGGCCCCCACTGATGCCTAACCCAGTGCTGGGCTCAGTCAGCTTGAGAAATGTACCTGGGATGGACTTGGGACATGTTCAGTCCCCTGTGGGAGTGCCTGGGCCTGAGTCTTGGTTCTGCTTGTCATCCCAGTTTCCTATTAATGTGCCATGTTCAGAGGCAGCAGGTGGTGGGACAAGTACCAACGTCATAGGCACCTGTGTGGGAGACTGTGTGTGAGATCATGTGATTCCTGGCCAAGCCCTGACTACTGTGGTCATTTAAGGAGTGAACCAGGGCATGGGAGAGAGTTCTCTTTCTCTGCCTTTCAAATAAATACAATTTATTTTGAGAAAGAAGTGCATGATGGTGCGGTTGTGACTGAAAGCCCCTCACTCAAATGTATTTTGGTTTGTTATTTGGCTCTGTGGTGTTGACCTCCTATTGGCAAGGCTGCCTGTCCACAGACATCCCACCTTCTGCCTAGCAGTTTTTATTTTTAATTAAATCCTAAGAATGCGCCCTGTGATTGCCAGTGTTACCTTGGAGATGCAATAGCACCCGATTAGTTGGACCCCCTAGAGCCATTTGTTTCTCGAATTTGACAATGTGGGCCCATAAAATTAATCTACCTGTGATGCTGGCTGTGGGGAATGGCTGCAGCATCACTGAGATGTGTTTCAGCATAATTGCACAATGGTCCATCAGGTTCATTTACACCGACCATCAGCCATGTGCATGCTGTGAGAAAGGAGCAAGGACCCTGTCCCTCAGGGCTAGAGGTGACAAGGAGGACGTGGTAGGCTAATGTCATGGAATGTACCTGCAGTGCTGGATCTAGCCATGAAGAATTTCCTAGAGCAGGTCAGATGAACAAGCTGGACGTTTGTCACCTCTGACCTCACTGCTTGCCAACTATGCCCAGATACTTAACCTTGCCATGCATGGCTCAGGGTGGGAAGGGGCAGGAAGGCAGCCACTGAGGAAGAGGCTGTGGCAGGGAGAGGTGGCCACAGCAACCCTCAATACTGCAAACGTGAAAACTTAGGGGTGCCTACCCTTATCCACCAGACCCAAAGACAGTTGGCTCCCCCACTATCCTTAGGTCAGCTGCATGAAGTTGGGGGTGCCAAATCATTCTCTGAATGCAGAGGGGACATGGATGAAATGGTAGTTCCAAAGTTTTTTTTTTTCCTGGGCACCTCTTCCTGAATGATTTTCTCAGAGGCCTAAAAGGTCTTTGGTCAGATGGTAAGCACATGCCTCTTGGTAACTGACAAGGAGGGTAATGCTGGCTACTGTGCTGGACCTGCTCCCACCATCTCCCCATGGTGCACTATAATGTCTCTGAAAACTCCTGCTCCATAAACCGCACTTGGGCAAAAGCACTGAGATATTTGCCCACTCTGCCAGTCTGTTCAACTGACCGTCTGTTGTTTTATAATTGTGTGTGTTTTCAAGTGGGTGGATTTTGAATACCTCTAGAAGAAAATGAATAGCCTTAGGATTCTAGTGTTAAGGGAGAAATGATAGCTACATTCTCTGTTCATTTTCATTGAACAAGCCCTCATTTCCATGCTACAAGGCAGCCTCATCAGGAAATGAGTCTCACAAGCAATTTGGGGCCATTAGGAGGTGACCCGTTGTGTTCTAGAGAATTCTCTCTTGGCTTCACAGATAATGAGCCCTCCGGCTGACTGGAGGTGAGGTTAGAGGATGGGGTGAGTGGAGGATGACAGGTGTGCTGCAGGATGCTCTCCATGGGCAACAAGGATGGTCCAAGAGACCTGTTGGTTGGTGTCACAAGGCCTCCAAGGGAATGTGACTGCCATGTGGACCAGGATAGGATGCAGTGTTTGGGATTTGGGTGAATGAGGGTTAGGACCCAAAAGTTGCTCTCAGAGGCAGCTGGGCCAGGGAAGGTGCCTTGGATGTGGGAAGACATAGTCCTGGGGTGAGCCCCGAGCTGCATGGTGGAGAGGCCTGAAGCAGAGGACTCCTTGTTCTTTTCTGGCTCTCTATGGGTACAGTGTTGTCAGGGAGAGTATCTGAAGTGATCTTTTGCTGCCAGCATTTTATCTATGTGTCAGCCATTGGGCCGAGTTTCACCCAGAGAGCCCAGCATGAAGAGTGGGAATGCCATTTGGTCATATCCTTGAACCCAAGACAGCAGCATACTCCTAATGCTAACAGGGCCTGTGTGTTACCTGGGCACAGCAGGCACACAGCCAGCCTCTGTCCAACCTGGAAGAGGGTCCCGTATGGAAGAGACCATGTGCTCTTGAAGGCCCTTCAGGTGCCTGGGGCTATTTCTAAGCATTCAGCTAGGCCTGTGAGTGAGAGAACTGTGCTGTGGGTAGCCATGCATGTGGACCTCAGCCAGATGGTACTGACTTTCCATGTGAGTCTTTTCTGCCTTCTGGCTCCTGCCTTGCAGTATATCATTCCCTCCTAAGCTATATGAGAATATATTCCTTAGCAGGTGGAATGATGAATTGAGCAAACCCATGTTCTCATTGTCATCTCTGCTTGGCGTTGTGTGTAGGGGTGAGAGACACACACTGCTGGGAAAGAGATGGGGTGGAAGAAACAGAGACACCTTGGGTTTGACTTGATCTCCCTCTGAGTGGAGGAGTGAGCTTGTCTTCCACACCACTCCTGAACCGATCCCTCTCCTCTCCACTCCGCCAGCCCCAAGATGAACACCTGAGCAACTTCTGCCGCCTGCTGGGAGTGGAGCAGAGTCAGATGGAGCACTGGCTGTGCCACCGCAAGCTGGTCACCACCTCAGAGACCTACGTAAAGACCATGTCCCTTCAGCAGGTGGTGAATGCCCGCAATGCCCTGGCCAAGCACATCTATGCCCAGCTGTTCGCCTGGATCGTGGAGCACATCAACAAGGCGCTGCACACTTCCCTCAAGCAGCACTCGTTCATCGGCGTCCTAGACATCTATGGGTAAGCCATGCTCTCATCCCACAGAGCCATCTTCCCACTGGTGTCCTGGAGCCAACAGAGGCCTTGGAGAGCTTCCTAGCTCATTCTCACCCAGGGGAAGTTTGGGTTGTCACCATAACCAGGTTCACTAGCCTGAGACCAGAGGGGCCCAGTGTCCTGTGATCTAGTGGGCAGTCCCAGGGCAGAAGGGACCTGCAGAGCACGTGTAATTCTCCTATCATGAATTTGCTTTCACATCTGGAAAACTGAGGCCCAAGGGGGCAGTGATTTGCCCTGCGTGGTTCTCAGAGTTCACGATGAGAAACAAAACTTAGATGCAGGTTTGATGTCTCCATTCTGCCAAATTTCAGAACAGCCTTTGACTTCATGGTTTATATGACCACTGTCGGAGCCAAGCGGTTAAAGCCCTTCTGTTAGGTTGCTGTGTAGGTTTCTGTTGTCAGTACTGTTTTTTTTTTTTTAATTCATATTTATTTGAAAGAGAGATTTACACATGGAGAATAAAAGATTTTTTTCCATCTGCTTGTTCACTCCCCAAGTAGCCACAACAGCCAGAGCTGAGCTGATCCAAAACCAAGAGCCTCCTCTAACTCCCTCACATGGGTCCAGGGGCTCAGGGACCTGAACCATCCTCTGCTGTTTTGCAAGGTCATAGGAAGGTAGCTGAATGGGAAGTGAAACAGTTGGGACTAGAACTATTTCCCAAAAGGGATGCCAGCCCCGAAAGTGGAGAAACAGTCTGTTCTGCTGGCGTGCTGGCCCCTGTGTAAGTGCTCTTGCCTGATCAAAGCGACTGTTGTGATGGTATGCTTTAGGCCTGGTGTCGAGGAGGTGTACATAGGCACTGGGAGACTGGGCTTTTCTCAGTTCTGTCACCAGCTGGCAGAACACTGAGACCACGGCCCATCTCAGCTCTTCGGTTCCTGCAACTTCCGGTGAAGTTGTGTGGTGCAGTCTGAGGTTCCTCCCAGATCCTTCCATGGTTTGAAGCTGCATAAACTGGGTTCCAAACCCCTCCACACTTCGTTTCTGACAATATCCCTCCCGCCTTCTGGAATAGTAGATGAAATCCTCTCGAATCTTCCACCTTGGAAGTCTGGCTGAGAGCTTCAGGGCAGCCTTGTGGGAACCCTGGCATTCCAGTGAGGTTGACTGCCCTCTGGGTTGAACCTAGGCTGGGCCCTGCCTTGTGCTGAGGCTGGAGGAAAGGAGAGCCACCTGGGGAAGCAACCATCTCTGCCTGCAGAGAGGTCCTCCTAGTGATGGCTCTGGTGCTTTGCCTGCCCCAGGCAGGAGGCCTGAGTCACCTGTCATAAGACGGAGGAAGCTTGGTTTCTGCCATCCCAGAGGCCTCAGGAAGATGCTGGAGAGTTGAGGGTTCCGGAATGCAAGAGGCGTCAGAAGGAATGCATGCTGGTCTGCCAAAAGATTGAGATACTTTGTGCTTGGCAAGTTTCAAGGCTGAAAAGGGAACCCTTGCTTGCAGTCAAGAGCTGGGATTTGAACTGAGTCCTAAAAGTAGGGGACAGGCATGTAGTACGGTGGTTAAAGATACTCCTTGGGATGCTTCTGCCCCATGTTAGAATGACTGGTTGAAATCCCAGTTCCTCTGCTTCCAATCCAGCTTCCTGATGTATGCCCTGGGAAGCAGCAGGTGATGGCTCAAGTGCTTGGTTCCCTGCCACCCATGTGGGAGACATGGAAGGAGTTCTGGGCTCTGGCTTTCCTAGGCCACAAGCACAGCGCTAAGTGGAAAGTGAAGCAGCTGGGATACAAACCGACACCCATATGGGATCCCAGTGCCATGCAAGGCAAAGATTTAGACACTAGGCTACCACACCAGACCCCCTTCTTGCCTCTTGCAAGCAGACCAGTGACTGGATTGGAGTCCAGGAAAGCAAGAAAAGTGCAGATTTCAGAAAGTTCATGGAGAAAAATAATTAAAAGCAGGGATTATTTGGGGATATATGTGTAAAGCTGTTTTGAAATCAGTGCATAGTTTTTCTGTGATATCTGATTTCCTTGACCTTATGAAAGTCCCCTGTTGTAAGCCAGCCTCGTGCACCGCTCTGCTTGTCGGTGTGCTCTGGAGGAGTTGGGGGTAGTTCGTGTGGTGGAAGAGGCTGGCCTCCTAGAGGAACTACCCTGGGCACAGCTGCCATTTCCTCCATGCATGGAGCCGCCTGCCCTGCTCCTGGCATAAGGACAGCATCCCAGCATCATGCGCCTCAGTCCTAACCCCTCAAAGCATGCAATGCCCAGTGCTGCTTTATCAACCAAGAAGCTGGGAGCTGCCCACCGGGTGTTTCTTGACAGGGTGTGGGAGTGAATAGGGAAGACCCCGGCAGCTGAGGTTTGAGGTATCCTCTTCATGTTGCATTCACCAGCATTTGCCTTTAGAGGCTTGAATAACTGCCAGTTGCCTTCTTTATTCCTCTGCCCTCCTTGAGGTAACAAGAAATAAATGGCTTCACTTGGGGAAAAACAAACATGTATTTACCTTCCATTTCCATCTTCACAGCTCCCAGGTGGCTGGGGACTTTCCGTATGGCTAGTCCATTCCTGTGTGGAGCAGTGACCTTGGGAGACTTGTGGGAGACACGGGGTGTGGGAACTGATGCCTGAGGGATCAGGAGAAGTGGGATGGGAGGTAGGGAGGTTTTGGTCCAGGGAAGCAGGAAACATATGTGCTGGGATTTTGTATCTTTCTCAGTCCTCTTACTCTGCTACTCTATTTCCCAATACTTAATTAGCATCCAACTCTACTTGGCACATCTTAGATAACTTAACAATATTTCCAAATTATTTTATTGTAAGGGAATATCTACCACTTCCCACTGCTGGGTGGACACATATTGTAGTGGGAAGGTGGGGTGTGCTTCACAGCCATTTCATGCAGCAGGGCCCAGACTCTGCACCCTGTAATTTCCCATACCTTGCCCCATGGGCCCCCCTCTCCTACCTGAACCCTGTCTGGCAGCCTTCCTCCTGCTTGAAAGATTTCCTGTAAATGGTTTCTACCTGTATCTGACTCCTTGTGACTGGCTGCCTTCCCTTGGCCTGAGAGATGCTGCAGGTAGATCATGGTTTGGGCATGTTATAGGCATTCGTTTAAGATAGACTGATACTCTACTATACACATGTGTCCCCTTTCCTGTCTCCATTTGTCCCCCAGTGGGTACCAGGGTTGTTCCCATCTGAAGCCTGTGGTAAATGAGGTGGCCAGGGCCATGACTATGCAGTTATCTTTGAGTTCCCACTCTCTATGTCCCAACATTGGAAACTTCTCCATGCCATTCTGGTCCCAGGTCCTGGCATTGAGGTCAATGGTTAGCCAGGGTAGTGGCTGACTGCTCTGTACTGCAGGCTTTCAGACACCTGCTGCTTTCTTTTGAGGGGCCCCTGGTCCTTGCTGCTCCCTGATGCTGGCAGCAAAAAGAGAGTCCATGATTCTCAACTGTGTTCTGAAGCTGCAGGGAAGCCTCAGTGTGAATGATCATCGCACCACGTAGCATGCCTGTCTCAGATCCACATCTTTATTCTGTATTCCAACCTTCCTCCAATCCCAGGGTTCTGGTCCACTTACTCTCTGCATTGATTTTTGCAAGAGAAGTCCGATTTCTGCTGGTAGATAAATTTTTTGGTGACGTTTTAATGTGATGAACCATAAATTGATCCATGCATTTACAGAGTCCTCGCTGTGGACTGGAAGAAAATTCCTTAGTGTGGGAGAAGCTGCCCTACTCTGACCTTGGCTTTCAGAGGTCGAATGTGTTAGATATTTTCCAAGTGCCTCAAGACCCCTCATTCATCACTGGATGGCATAAAATTATTAGCACTTAATATCTGAGAAATAGGGAAATTAGGAGCTAGTTTCAGGCTATCTCAAATGAATGAGAATATTCTTTGTGGAATGCTCCCAATGTAAACCATTAAAATAATGACAAGTGGAATATATTGAAATCTCTGTGTGAGTGGGTACAAGCTCTACCAGTGTGTCCCACTGCTATTAACTGGCTGCTTGCTGGGATGACTCTTTCATCTTCCTTCTAGGTTTTGTTAATTACATTCCCTCTGGACACGGCTGTGTCAGCAACCTTTCAGGAAAAGGGAGGGCTTGGGTTCTAAGCCAGCTAGCCCGGGCTACAGCGCTGCCATCCAGCATCCGGGCTGGACTGTGTGGTGCTCTCTGCGTCTCTCCTCTGCCTGGCCTGGGTACACCCACCTAGCCTCTCCCATCTCCTCCACCTAGCCTGGGTGCCCCCATCTCTTTTGCCTGGCCTGGGATGCCCCCAGCAGGCTTTCCTCACCCCAGTACAGAGTTTGCATCTTTGATCCTGTTTAATTAACCAAGAATAATTCCTCCCGTGTGGCCAGAGACTGTGCCTTCATGTCGATGTCTCCAAGCAGTGACCTGCTTTAATCTCAAGGTGATTTCCCCATTTCACTGTACCTGGCACTTTGGTGAGGTGGTGGATGTGGTGATGGGCAGGTGCTGACCTGGCCGTCGTGTGTGTGTGTGATCAATTTGTTCTCAGCCAGCCCTCTGCACATGTGCAGTCTCCCCAGTGCTGCTAGCCTCAGCCCTCACCAGGAGTGACTGTCATGTTTCTGTTTAGGGGCGCAACCTATTTTATGGCAGTTAATGTATCAGAGAAATTCTACTTGTCTGCACTGAAGGTGGGAGAGAGTCATGAGGATGATGAAGGCCAGATGAAGGCTGTGCCCCTCAGCCCTAGGCCCAGCGTTGACCTCTCACAAACTCCCTCTCCTGGGCAAGCTCCCCTGCTTGTCCACAATTCTCTGAATCATTGCTGCTCTCCCCTGGAACTTGGGTATCTGGGGCCCAGGTGGGATGCACTCACTTGTAGCTGATACTGCAAATGATATGGTAGTGACAGCTTGGTGACCGACACATGCCTGCCTGGCCCGTGGGTCATCTGTAACTACCTCCATCCTCATCTTCGTCCCTCAATGTCTCTAGAACCTTCCTACCACTCAGCCATGCCAGCGACAGCCAGGTGCTGGTTGGGTCTTACCTGTTCTGTGTTAATGACCATGCTTGGCTTCCCATTTGTGGTCTTGCACACTTTTCCCCAGATCACACCTTTTCTCCTACCTGTCTCTAAGTCAGAGGTCTCAGCAGCATTTCTTCATTTCAGAATCCCCTCATTGCTCCCTGGTTAGAAGACCAGCAGGCAGGACCCAGCCACCTCAGTAATACATGATCTCCCCCCTCCTATCCTCTGGGCTGTTGGTCCCAACTCCCCACCTCAACCCCCTCCAGCACTCAGCCTCTATTGCAAAAGTTTGATTTGAGCAGCAAATGCCAGTGTTGATGAAATGAATCTGTTTTAAAAGTTAGAACCTAACAGGATATGCCAAGGATCACCAACAGTTTACAAAGTACGGGTGACTGATTCAGACAGAAAGCTCTTGACCTCTTTGTGATCAAAGGAGTTAAAATTCTAACAGAGGCATTTGTTCATACCAGGTAACTCAAGGTTTTCAAAAACTTATAGACCCTTCTGGCCAGAGAGGTGTGTTAGGCACTGAGGTGTCCCTGGTGAGGAGCAGTGTGGAGAGGAAATTTACCCTGGAATGGAAGAGTTTTCCATCTGCACTATGTGCTGTGAGATAGCTCTCAGAAATGTACCAAGACCTGCCCAGGGAGTTGATGCATCCTCTTGGAAATACACTCTGGCTCCAATAGGATTGCTACAAACTCATTGCAGGCCAGTGTTAGGAAAACAAGGACACGGCATGTGCATATGTATGTTCTACCTTCCTGGCAGTTCCTGTGTGGTATTCTTGGGTGTGGTACTTTTCCTTCTGGGACAGATTCATGAATTCAGTGCTTGTCACAACACTGAGAGTCACTCCAATCTGAAAGAACTGAAATGTCCCTGAGTGGAGTCCAGGCTATGTGATGGCATGTATCTTAGGGGGCCACTGCCTACTCCTGAAGCATACTGGGGTGACCTAAAGGAAGGCATCCAAGGCTGGTGAGGGGCTGCTGACCTTCTCCCCACTGGATGCCTTTGCAATTCCAGATCCAGGCAGTGATTGGCAAGGTGGATGTAAAGATCAATGTGATGGCAAGTGTTTGCTGTGAGAAGTGCAAAGAAAAAGCAGGAGAGGAGATTCTACCAGTAATTCTCTTTTCCAAACATGAAACTACGGAGGAGAGGAAAACCCTGAGATTGTAATCGGCACGAGTGAGATTTGCCGCCGATTTTTTCTGTTTGCCCTTCCTGAATTTCCTTACTGTCAGCGCTCATCCTAGCGAGAGACCCCAGACATTCACTGTGACTTTGTTAGTCTGGTGGGTTGTCTGCAGTGCTGCTGCCTGTAACCAGGGGATCTGAGAGCACAAGGGCAGGGAAGGGAGATTGGAGAGCTTGACTGGGGTAGCCTGGCGCAGAGTTGTGGGTGAGGATGGCCTTGGCAAAGCAGACACTGCTCACCTTGCACTTCTTCCCCATCCCTTCTGCAGGTTTGAGACCTTTGAAGTGAACAGCTTTGAGCAGTTTTGTATTAACTATGCCAACGAGAAGCTCCAGCAGCAGTTCAACTTGGTAGGTTGGGGACACTGAGACACTCTTGAGAGTGATAACTGTGGCCACTCCACTCTCCCCTGAGGTCAGTGGGTTCAGCTCTGCCTGGGCCTTCGCTTGGATTTCTGGTGGTATCACAAGAGTATTGTCCACTGCTTATGAGCTCTACACCGCAGCAGCTAGGTTGATTCCCTGACTCCTGTCCCTCTGAACCTAGACTTCTAAAAAATCGAGGCAGCAGCCTTCATTTTGTAGCACCTGTAATGGTGGGGTACAGCAACACAGGTGGCTACTAGAGCTCCAGGAGGAAGGAATCAAGAAGGAGTGGAAATCACCTGATGGAGCTTCTGCTACCTTGACTGTGATTTTGTGCCTGAACCTCATGCAGTGGTGAAATTACCATACTTCTAGAACCAGAACTCAGAGAAGGCAGGTGTCAAGGTGTCTGCCATTCCCTCATCTCAACCTTTCACTCCTTGTCCCAGCATGTGTTCAAACTGGAACAAGAAGAATACATGAAGGAGCAGATTCCCTGGACCTTGATTGATTTTTATGACAACCAACCCTGCATTGATCTCATAGAAGCCAAGCTGGGGATCCTGGACCTGCTGGATGAAGAGTGTAAGGTAAAGCCGATGATGCTGTCACGATGCTGGCATGTCAGTTCCAGGCTTGGAAAATGGGGTGGAGGGATGGTTTTGTAGTACAAGGGAGCTTCTGAGAGGTCGGAGCTGGAGACTCCGTCTGTGATTGGCCTTTAGTGTGCTGGGAGGAGTACTGGGGAAGTAGCTCTTTGAGCATCACTGACAGATACTGCTCCATCAGTAAGCACACTTGACCAAAACTGGAGAGTGTGGGATGATGGCAGTGTGAGATTGACATCCCAGATGTCCTAGGTGCCATAAGACATCTAGACACGTGTCCCCAAACAGTGAGGACCCAAGGACTCAGGATCATCAGATGGCTTGTGAGTGCTGGAGCTGCATGTCTCTCTGGCAGGTGACATCTGTGGGTGTCCCCCACCTGAATTTTGAGGCCTCTGCCTGGCATGATAGGGAGTGTTGCTGAATTGCTGGAGCCATGGGGAACATGTATTGAAGTGTAGGTTATAATCAGTTCCCGGACTTCTTGGCCCTCCTGCTTGCTGCTCTGTTAAATGGCAGGGGTTGGAGTGGATGATCTTCGCAGTCCTTCCTGGTTTGGTGGTTGATGGATAAGGGACAAGCATATGTCAGGTTACATACCAGTTCTTCCCAAGCTTCCTTCCTGCCAGAGAAGGCTGTGTTGATTGACAGCTGAGCTTCCTGCCAGTGGAGCAGGGAGGAAGGACTGGAGGTGCCACACATCCCACTCCCAAGGAGCTGAGGTCATAGGTGTCTTCTTATACCATATTTAATTGCTCTAGGAATGCATAATGGTCCACTGTAATGTACTACAGTGTTTAGTAATTAGGACTTTATTAATTTTTTTGTTTGAAAGGCAGAATGACAAGAAATCTTCCATATGCTGATCTCTCCCCCAGATGGCTACTGTGGCTGGGGCTGGGTTAAGCTGAAAAGCCAGGAGCCAGGAACTCCTTCTGAGTCTCCCATGTGGATGCAGGGGCCCACACACTTGAGGCCATTATCCCTTACATTCACAGGTTTGCAGGGAGCTGGATGGAAAATGGAGCACCCAGTCCAGCAGTGGTTGCTCTGTGCCTGAGGGTGTTTCTCAGTTTTCTGAGCTGTAGGAGATATTATTGCATGGAATTTTTCTGTGCTTCCTCTTGCACAGCATGATTATGCTGGTGAAAGAATTCTCAAATGAAAGCATGAATCAGTTTTGCCTGTGTAAGTTCAGCTACTCCCATTATGGGATGCCAGCATTACAGGCAGTGGCCTTCTAACAGGGATTTTACACCAGTAGATGTTACATGCTTATAAAAAACAGTTGAACTATACACTTAGAAGGGCATATCTTAATATATAGAAATCATACTACAGTAAATGAGGGGCTTTTAAAAAATGAGGGGCTTGCTGGACCCTTCTGAAGAGTCCCCTGACTGAATCATGAAGTAGGGAAAGTTCAGAATTGGTAAGGAAAGGACAGGTGGGCATCACCTTGGGCAATGGGCGCTGCTGCCTCCCCGTGCGCGGAGGGATGGTGAGACTTCACTGCCATGGGTTGGGTTCTGTAACTCCTAGGTGACAGGACACAGCCCAGTAAAGGGTGGGAACTGTGAGCTGAGGTTTGCCTTAGAACCCAGAAGGTGTAATAGCTGTGGATTTAAAGGGGCTGCACATGGGGTGATCTTCCCCCAGAGTCCTGTGGCCAGGGCCAGGAGCCCTAGGGTAGGTGTAGGGACCAGAACATAAGACACTCAAGGTTTTCCAGGTGGAGAAGCTTCAGCAGGCCCAGCCTAGCTGTGCTTCGTGCTCCCAGTGGCACGGAAGAAGGCAAGTGTTTGTAGGAAGCGTTGATTTCCAGGCAGCTCATAACTCTGCCCCTGAGGCTGCCCTTCTTTCCACAGCCTTCAGATGGGAATCCCCCATACACCTGCATACCGCACAGCCATCCCCTGCCTCTTGGAGAAGTGAGAGGTCTGTGTGTGCTGCCTGCTAGGACACACGCATGATTTTAGCAGGAATTTTCTGAAAAAAATTGCTTTGGTCCCTGGGCACAGCTGCAGGGAGTAAGGCTCCAGATGCTGTCAGATTGGAGGGGTGGTGTGAGGGGCACTCAGGCAGGTCTGGGCGAGAGCTGGCTCTGTGTGGAGTGATGAGAGTTCTGGGGAGCTTTGGCAGCTGGGCAGGATGGACTCAGAGGATGGGGCAGGTCAGTACTGGGCTGCCTGCATCCGGCCTGACCTGCTGTTAGGCGAGCTTTCTCTGCGATCAGGCTGGGGGATATGTGGCTTCTTCCACTGTCCCAGAGGGCTGCTGATCCAATGCTTTCATGTACAGATTTTGTCCCATGGTGGAGGGAGGTGAGCTGGCCTTCTCACTAATTCTTCTGCTCAAGGAGCTTCTGTGCTTTTTCACTGCCCTCATGGGGTTGGGAAAGCATGAAGGTCTCACTTAAGGATGGGGAGATGAAGGCACTGAACCAGAGATGCCTGAAGCAGAGGTATAGGGTGGGTAAAGGAACCTGTGTAAACAGGTGAGATCAGAAGGTGGCACCATTAGGAGAGACCAAGTCGCCCTGGTCAGATGTTGGGCTTCCCTCTTAAGCAGGGACAAGGCCATTGGACATTTTTATTGTCATTTCAGGCTGCATAGAGTTATCAGTGTAAAATCAACCTGCTGTGGGTTAATTGAATTTCATATCCTGCCTATGGTTGCCTTGGCAGGACTAGACTCGTTAATGGGGCTGGCCCTTCCCCATCCCTGCTCTGAAGACTTTGTGCAGGTGTGGGGACTCTCACAGGTGAGATCAGGTGTAAAACTGCGACAGCCTAGCCTGGGGAATGTGGCGCAGGCAGGAAGGAAGTGAGGAAGAGGGAGGTGAGGAGGATGGCCCCAGCTGATCCACAGGGGGAGGGGGATCAGCCCCCTCCCTCGCAGGGAGTTGTAGGGGCAGAGGTCAAATTTCTGTAGCTTAGAGAAGAGGCTAGGAGACAAGGCAGTGCAGGTGCCAGTGTGGAACCTCCTCCCTGAATTTTGGTTTGTGGGAGAGGTCTGATCCTCCCTGGGCAGCAGGGTTAGGAGAGAGGGATGTGGTTGGAGAGGGTATCCTCCCACCTGTGAGGACAGGTGGGGAGGGTGGAACAGTGATGGCTGCAGGTGCACATCTGGATGCACACAGTTTTCCTGCTGAATCTTGACCCTGTGGAGGGGAAGGAAGCACCTGCTGGGGGCAGAGGAGGAGGACAGCAGGTACAGAGAGAGGAGGACCAGATGCAGGGCAGTCTGCCAAGGTCAGAAGCCCCCAGGTGAGATTTGGCAGCTCCCAGCTTAGATCCGGGAACAGCATCTTAATTCATCCAATAAATTTCCCGAAGTGCAAGCTGGCCTGCCCTTTGGCAGCCACCCTGCGTTACAGGAAATTCTGAGCAGGCAAAAGGAGCGGGTGTGTGACAATGTGGGACACTGGCAGCCAGAGTCCTCTAGCTGTGGGTGCTTCTGAGCACACAGAGAGGCACAGGCCTGGGGGAGAGCAGCACAGGGTCACAGGGTAGAGGGAGCCACTCACCCCTGGGCATTGTCGGAGAAGCGGGTTCGCAGGCTCAGCCTGGGCACCTAGGGTGGCAAGGAATGGCCAGCAGGTGCTCCTCTAGGAGACTGAGTCAGTTGGTGGCCGTGAATTTCAGGAGGCAGCAGGGAACTGCAGACACATGATGGAGGGAGATGGAGTGAGTGACCAAGGAGGTGGTCATTGTGGCAGTAGCTTGTGGGGACAGGCCAAGGACAAGCCTCAGCACTCCTCTCCTGTGAGCTGTTTGGTTCGAGGCAGGCTAGGCCCTAGTGACATCCTAGGCCAGGTACTGACTGTGGTAGGGCACTGGTGAAAAGTTGGTTTCAAGATGTGAATACCAGGCCCATGGGTAGAAGGGGGTCCAGGCACCCCAGGACTGCCACTGCCTCTCCTTTTGCTCTTTACCCTTCTACTTGAACAGCACAGAGTGAAGTCAGATTTCATGTGTCTGGATAGTTATATCGACATCCAGTCCTCCCAACACTGTGCAAATCAGTGATGTTCAGTCTCTCCAGAGTCGTGCGTCCATCCTCACCACTGTGAGGATAGAATGTTCCCATGGCCCCATCAAGAAGCCTGTTAGCATCCCAGCCCCAGGCAGCCACTAATCCACCTGCTGTCTCCAGATATGTGGCTGCACTGGGCATCTCACTGTGATGGGACATGCAGTTAACATGCTACAGGCCAGCACCCAGGTCACAGGGAGGAGGTGGACGTGTGAGGTACAGGGCCTGCCTGGGTGAGGAAAGAGCTGGGAGCTCTGCAGTGGTTTGAGAGAAGTCTCAGGAAGCTTGTTGAAGCCACATGCGATCTCCTTTCCAAGGCATTGGATTTAGCTATAGATGCCAGAGCTACTCAGAGCCATATTCTAACCTTTATCAAGATGCAAAAGTTTGCTTGCTTTCTGGCTTGGTTGTTTAAAATCTAGTTTTCTAGAGAGATTTTTGGAGTTAAGTGAGTTTCCGCTTGGTTCCACCTTTTTGTAGGCTGTCCTTGGGTGTCTCTGCCGTCCAGAGGATCAGCACCATCACTGGGGCAGCTGCTCCAGGACCAGCCTGTTCTGCAGTGAACCCCAGGTGTTGGCCCATGTGGGCTTCTCCTCTTGGTTCTACCACTCCCTCGAGAGCCCTGCCAGGCTGACCCCTCCCACCCCCAGACCCTGTGACTCAAAGCACAGGGTGTTCAGAGATAAATATAAAACTGCATATATAGAAAATGCTGAATTAGATCTCTTTCATCTGCCCAATAAGATGAGTAGCTGAGTTTCCTCCTGGGCACTGCATGTTCAGTGCCAATGATGCCTCCTTGAGTCGGCAAGCAAAGAGCTTCAGTTTGTTCCTGGGTGCATGTAAGCATCCTACTGATGGCACAGATTTTGACTAATTTACTAAGCAAAGTTCTTCTCAGTGGCTTATGAGAGGGTCACCTTGAACACTACCCACTCCACACAATCTAGGCTAATTGCAGGTGAGCAGAGCAGTGGCCAGTGCTGAAGCCTATGGCCGAGGAGGAAGCCATGGACTCTGAACTGTCCTCCCTGACGGTGTGAATTGCAGGTGTCATGATCCCTAGTTTATATGTTTAATGAAGCAAGTTGCCTTTTTCCTTTTTGAAGTCACACATAAACATATGGAAAAGAAGCCTCGCTTCAGAACTCCCAACGGAAAGACATGTCTGGGGCTGAGTGTAAACTTGGGGCACGCGGGAAGCTCTTTATGAAGGCCTTGCTCCCTTGCTGCTTAGGAAAGGAATTAGTGAGCAAGTGACTTGCGAGCTTACAGTTGGGGCTCACAGGTAATGCCCTAAAGCAGCGAATTCCTGGATGAGAGCCCTGCCATGAACATCCGAGAGAGGAGAGGGGCAGGGCAGGAAAGGCCTTACGTAAGCTTGAGGGTAGGGGACTTTCCTGCAGCAGGTGTGGCTGGAGCCAGGCAGGGCATGCCCAGGACACTGCCATCACAACCAGCTGTGTGGAGGAAGCATGTTCAGAGGGTCCAGGGTTATAGCTCCCCTGGGACCTCAGCCTCCACCCTCGCCTTCACCTTGCTTCCCACCTCCTGCAAGTTCTGTGAGGCTCGGCACAGGTCCCCACGTGTGGTAGGTCAAGGATTCTAAATGTCCATGTTGGGTCACTCCTTAAGCCCTTCCAGTTAAGGCCCCGGTTGGAGAGCTGAATCTACCCAAAGAGCCAGCCCACTGACTGCTCTTTCATTAAACTGCATCCCTTGGCTTCCTTGCCACCTTCACAAAAGAACTTTCCCCTTCTTAGTCTCACTGTCACCCTAAAGCACTGACCACAAACTGCCATCTCTATAACCTCACTTCCATCAGGCAGTCACTTCCAGAATGCAGCATACTAACACCGCCTTCTCAATTATTATCAACTTCGTCTTACTATTTAACCCCCTCCCTTGCAGCCACCTATCCACTCGATCAATAGACCTTACTTTGCGATCTTCACTCCCTATTTGTCCCATTTCTGACCAACCTATCCCCAGAACCTTGCAAGTCATCCACCTACACCATTCTTGCCACTCATGCCCATACACTAGCTCACCATGTAGAATAACCAGACATTACCACTAAACCACTATTTGGGATGCCAGTCCTGCCACTCTGACAGTATCTATCTTCCATCCCCGTGCACTTCATCATTACACCCCCTCAGTTTCCATCTTCCGTGCATGTATCAACAGAGCCCTTTAGACATCATTATTTACCAGATGTGTTCAATACACTCAATATTATCCACACATACCTCCTACTTACAAATGCTGATTCTGATCTGCTGGGTTTGAACTGGGCTAAGAAGCATCACTGATAGAGCCTTGTTAAGTGAATTTCCTCTGGATGTGGTAATCCTTTCACAAAGCGAACACTGGGCTCCCTCTCTTACTGAGTTTGCATTGTAAATGAAAATACCTGCGGACCTCCTGATACACAGCTGTTTGTAGCAAATGCCATATGGATGAGTGCCACTGCTCAAGTACACAGGGAGCTGTTGGAGGAAACGGGTAAGTCTGGCATAGTAATACCTGTTGGGTTTTCCTGTGTCCCCAGGTAGAGTATCTTTCGGATGGTTTCCTGGAGAAAAACAGAGACACGGTGTACGAAGAACAGATCAACATCCTGAAAGCCAGCAAGGTAAAGAGTGGTGGAAATGGAGGATGGGGTGGGGACATTCTCAGCTGGGGCAATAACACAGGCATGGCTGGACACGGGTTGGCCTGCAGCTGTGGATGCACAGATGCTCAGTGGGGTGAAGGTAGAGTAAGTTGCCTGGTTTTTTCACACAGTGGAATGTCTGAAGTTGACCTGTTGGTGGGTGGAAAGGATGGGTAGGGGTCAGGGAGAGGCTACCAAGGAAGAATTTGGGAGTGTAAGTGAGGCCATAGTGGGAGTGTATGTCAAGGCCATAGTGGTTCCTTAAGTTCGCAGTCCTCCATACCCTGCCTGCTGATGTGGCAGAAAGATAGCATATGTTTTGTTCATTCTGTGGCTACCAGTTCATCTGAAAACATGAGTATTAAGCACCTATGTTGTGAGACGTACAGAGGTGAGGTGCAGTCTGTCCCCTAGCACAAGAGCAACCACAGAAGGCTCAGGTGCTGGCAGCACAGCCCTGCCATCCTTCTCAGGTACCTGTGACCTCCTGTCTGTCCCACAGTGGCCCAGGGACTGCCAGGTTTTGTGGCCTTGAGTTTACACTGTTGGGTGGGAGCACCTGGAAAGGAGGGGGTTGGAAGAAAGGCAGGTCCTTCTCCTCGTGGTTTGTCCCTCAGCACGTCCAGGACCTAGAAGGAATGGGATGGAGAGAGCCCGTGGCACAGGCTCCCAGCAGATCACTTCTGCTGATAGCTGGATATTTTGTCCCTCATATAACAGACTGATTTGTGCATGTAGCTAACCTCTTCAAACTGACAGCCCAGTTACAAGCTGAGCTGGGAAGATCAAGAAGAAGGTGCAGTGGAGAAGAATGGGAGAATGTTTGGGATTCCCAAGATCACGGTCGTGTCCACTTTCTGGGGTGACACAGTGTATAACTCGGCTCTTGGCTCTGTGTGCTCACAGCCAAAGGACACAAAACAAAGTCAGCAGAAGGGAAAGGCACATGGGGTAAAGTTGGAGAGACAGGGCACAGCTTCACCATAGTCACACAAGACATGCTTGATTCTCCTAGAAATGAATTGTGACAGTCCCTGTATTAGGCCTATCCCTCCACCCTAGGGGACATGGGTTTTTATTTGGAGTCGACCACATGGATAGGTGCCCTTTATCTGGCATATGGCAAAATCCCAGGTTTCCAGAGGGAAAGCAGGTAATCATTGCAAACCCTGGTGAGTGGAACATGTATAGTAAACCACTCTCATCAGGCCCTCCCGAAAGCCAGGTTCCCATGCACTTACCACCATGTGCCCTGTGGACTGGTCTCACTATGGGCTGCGGTCTCGGGCCTGCTGTGTTACTGTCTGCTTCTATACTGAGTTTTTATTAGAAGTGAAGTACAGGCTGATAAAAATTCAAAATGTGTAGCGATCCATAGAAATATCCTCGTCTGCCCCCGACCCATATTTTTGATGAATTCCTATTCTGCATATACAAGTATATAATGATTTCATCTTTTTTTAGGGTCAAGATAACCACATTATTTAGCCATGGTTGTCTTGAATGTTGTACTTATTGGGTGTCCTCACTGTGCTGGCCTGGGCCAGCTTTCCGGAGTAGCACTCATCTACTTGTCATTCTGGTGTGCACTTGGCAATGATGTGGTAATGAATGTCCTTTCTGTCTGTCTTGGCTCACCTGCACAATTATGGTCATGAGGTATGCTTGTAAGCATAGAATTGAAGGCTGAGTTAGTGACACTCATCAGTGAGTCTGTGGTTGTTAAACCATAGGGCAACATAGGTCTATACTCAACAGAGATGACCACCACCCTTTTCTCCCTTACCCACCCACCGCAATGGTAGCTTTCCCTTGTGCCTGCTAATATATGTAAACAACCAAGGACTTGACCATCTACTCTCAGCCTGGCTCCTCTCCCAGCAATACCCGCTGTGAGATGCACCATGAGGGCAGCAGCAAGGGACTCTCCCCCGTGAGACCCCTCAGTCCATCTGAGACATTCCCAGAGAGTGCAGAGATTAGCACTGGGTCGCTGTAAGTCCAGAGACAAAGGGTTCACAGACATCAGCTGCAACTCAGGGCAAGATTTCTCACAGTGCTGTACAACATGGGACAGATGGGCCTGTCTGCAGCATTACCGCTGGTGTTGACTGAGCATCTGTCATTTTCTTTAGATTGGTAGTTTTTTGACAATCCTGTGCTGTTTCTAGCTCTTTGTTAAAGAAGATTCAGCACTGCTCCCCGTTAAATTAACAATGCAATGCCCAGTCTTCACTGGTTTCCCTCTAGATCTCATGTCCTATATCTAAATTTGTAATTGTACTTGGTGCTCTTAGTTTAGGGGGAAAATGTTGGCTTCTTTTTTTCAACCCCCTTTGGGCATCCCTGATAAGAAATTAACAAGTTGTCATGAATAATTAAGCAGCTTAGGATAGAAGACCCATAGATCTAAGTGGCCAGAGGGATGTTTGAAGAACTTCCACCAAGAGCAGTGAAATAAAACTGGTGTTAATGAGGATGTAATTAGCCAAGCCCGTTACACTGCCTAAGAGCTTTTAATGCAGCTAATTGCTTTCTCAGCGATCAGGGAGCTATAAATAGAAACTTAAGTAAAGAAATGCGTCTTTAAAATGTGACTTCAAGTTCCTAACAGACTGACTTGTTCAAGTTCTCAGAATGGAGCCTTTTGCCTTGTAGTGTGTGTTTACTGTCCAAAAGAATATTTTGTCAGCCTGAAATAAGGAAGCCGACGAAAGCGGAGGATTTTTTTCTTCTAAAGCACCTACTCCAGGGTTAGTGTGGATGGCATGTGCCTGCCAAGGGTGGCGACCGTTCAGCCTGAGTGCCGTATAAGGCTTGTGAAACCATGTGGTCCGTGCCTGCTGCAGCATCCTGGGGCTTGAACTTCAGTGGCTCCATAGCAGCATTTTTTATGGCCTGTGGAAGATGTACTACAAATGGCCACTGGCAGCAGAGTAGTTCCCCACCCTTGCATGGGGTGCTGGACACCTGGAGCAGCCAGGGCAGGTGAGCCTGTCACCTTCTCTCCCCTCCATCCAGTAGAAGGGTTCTTGAGATGAACATTCAGTAGGGTCCAAAGACTTACCATGGCCTCAATCCACATACCCCAAGCCGTAGCTCACCAGCCTGAGGCATGGGAGGGACCCAGCTGCCCTCTCTCCTCCCCATGGCTTGCTTGGGCTGGTCAAGGAATAATAGTGTGCACAATCCTTTGCTTTCCACACCAGTAAGTTCCTTAATGGTTCACTCAGCATTCCTTTTTGAACAAAGAAGTTTGATTTTTTTTTAAAAAAAGTTTTTTATTTTTAATGTTGTATAGAAGCTGGATTGAGATGTTAGCACACGTTAAACACTTTCAAATTGTTATGTGGCGTGCTGCTGCGTAAGTACTGGAAGCAGAAAATCGTCTACCTCTGTTTGGATTAAGCAGGTCATTACAGAAGAGAACTTCTTAACAGAAAACCTCACCATCCTCTTTCTAATGCAAGAAAATGCATATTGTGTCCATTGAGAAAAGCCAAAGTGCTGAGTCTTTTCTTCTAAAACCCATTTAAAACCCTTTTAAACAGTATTTCTGTACTTGCTGTAGTGCAGTGCATATACTCAAATTGGAGATCTCGCCTGGCTCTGGCCCAGAGTGACATGCAAATTAATGAAGCAGTCTGCATTTTGTATATGGCTATGCTTTCCAAAATATAGCATTTAGCCATGCTAAAGAATTGGTGAAATTGACATCACATTTTAAAAATTATGTTTACAGAATAAATCTTCTGCAATAGACCCTGACCAAACTGTTCTTATTTTTGTTTCACTTGTCTGTCTGCTTTTGTATCCTTACAACCACAAGTTGACTAAGTCTGATTTCCAAGGTAACAGCTTTGTGTGCAGCTGTAAATGACATTTTTCTTAAACTGTCAGACGGTCTTTAGAAAGCATTTCCCTACTTCTAATCCCTTTTTGAATAGAGTTGCCTTGGGCTTTTAAAGTCTATCTCTGCACAGTAAAGAATGCCAGGGCAGCTGTCCATGGGCATATTGCAAGGCAATGAGATGGGATCTGGGCCAGGTTAATTTGTCCAGTGGGGTCTCCTGGTGTGTGTTCAGGTAGGAGAGAGTGAATTGGTATAGGTCCGGGTGGGCACACTGTTCCCGGGGGGGGGGTGTCCTAGGTGTGTGGACAGTGCAGGCTCAGGTGGGCACTGTTCCCTGGGGCTGCCCTGGGGTGTGTGGACAGAACTTCGGTCCTGGACAAGCAGCTCAGGAGCACGCTGCTCCTGGCCTCTGCAAGTATAATGGACTGGTCCTCATCTGGTCCCTCACTCAGACACAGGACCTTTTGTGGGACTCCTTTGTCAAGGAAGAGCTTGAAAAAGACTTTTCGTTGTGGTTTGTGGTTTGGTTATGATTGGGGCACCCTGGGTGTGGAGGTGCCCTGGGGTGGATGGGTGGGAAGATGGGAAACGCAGGGGTTGCTGTTGCTTGCCTGGGTCTTTTGTTGTTGCTAATCTGTGGCCAAGCATTGGGCATTGGATCCACTCAGTCCTGTGGATTACACTGGCCTCTGCTCACTGAATTGGTGGCACAAGCCAGAGTAGGACATGAAGCCCCCTACTCCTCCCTTGGGGCTGTGGTTCCCACAAACAGGAGTGTCTCCCTCAAGTTCCAGACACCCTTCCACTTGCACACAGGCTCTACACCAGGGACATGCAACCAAACCAGAGCTTTACCAACAAAACACACATTCTCCAGGCTACCCCATGGTGGTGTAGGTGCTCCCATGATGGCACAGTGCCTGCTGGCTTGGGTTAAACTCTGGACAGTTTTCAGAAAAGCACAGCTGCCTTCTCTGATGAAAGTGAGAGAACAGTTTGAAATGACGTTCACCAACATGAGTATTTCTAAGACTTTGAAACGTTTGTTACTTTAGGATTTTAATTTTGTTTTGCAGCTGCTATTTCCTCCTGTAAATTAGACCCCCTCTGTAGTGTGGTTAAGTAGATTAGACACCAACATTTCAGAAATTAGTCTGTGGGTTTGGATGATTTAATTGGCCTGAGTTGTAAGGGTGTGGCTAGAATGTGAACCTGCTGTTGGCCTCCTGTTGACTTCCTGTGGAGCTTCCCTGTCCTGTTGGGCTGAGCCGTGTTTCCCTTCCTTACCCATGACCTTCTCCTCACCATCATGAGAGTACCCTGGGCCCAGCCCCACCTCTAGCCCCTTCTGTTTCTGCCACTCCTTACGTTAGCAGCGCGTTGGTATTATGGCAGCTCTGTTTTGTGCACAGTGTGAAACAACAAGACTGTAAACGGGGACCTGATTGATAAGGGCCATGCTCAGGGGGAGCATGCTGTGGGTGGAGATGCTTTGCTGGAGGGACAGGTGCACGTAGCCTTCGAGTTCTACCTGACTGTACTGGTCCAGGAGAGAGCATGGGATCCTGAGCTAGGCCGCCAGCTGCCTTGTGCTTGATGAAGCCAGGCCAACTGAGGCTAAGCCACAGACCACACTTGGCACTTGGCTGCTGCGGGAAGTAGGGTGGGAGCAAGATCCCCAAGGTGGTCAGGAGGACATGCAGTGACGGTCATTTGAGCCATGTTGAGTTTGAAATTTACATTAGACATTGGAGGTGTCTCAACAGGTGTTTGGAAGTGAGGAACTATGATGGAAAAAGAGCACAACTGGATAGGGTGGAGGCAGCTAGAGCCCAGGCCGTGAAGATCCAAGGAACTAAGTGTTAGAAGGAAGAGAGAGAAAGTGGTTGGATGGATAAGGTGCTGGGTAACAGGCCAGGAGGAAGGTACAAGAAGATGGGCTGGTGAAAAGTGTCAGAAAGGAAATCAGGTTGGGAGATCGGGTTTGGGGAGCCGTAGAGGCACAGGAAGATGCCTTGAGAAGGGGTGGGGCCTTCAGAGAGGCCATGCAGGATGAAGAGTGGAAACACATTGCTTCTGACCCCAGAGGTTGTGACCCCTGGAGATGACTGCTGGAGGCAGGTGTAGAGAAGGCTCCAGAAGAAGTAGAGTCTGGACACCTCTCCTGGGTGGCAGGTGCTGCTGGAACAGTCATGGGAAATGAGTGAACAGAGAGAGCTCAGCCAGGAAAACCACTTAGAAAGCAGTCCAGCAATGGGGAAGTTCAAGTTTGGGGAACTCCAGGAGGCTGGGGCAGGGAACAATTGAAAGGCATCACCTGCTTCGGGGCCCTACTGCTTACAGCTGAACCAATCAGAATCTGCCAAGACTAAGGTTTGCCCTGTGTCACACAGCTAATTAAATGGCAGAAGCCGTATGTGGACTCAGGCATGCTGCCCCAGCCCAGTGCCCGCCTGACCACCTTCCTCTGCAGTGTTTCCAAAAAAGCTCCTGATGGTGGGCTCGTCCAGCTCCACACGTCCATATGAAACAGACATTGGCCACTTCCCTGGACAGCCAGTTGTCCTGTATAACAACTGCCTGGTCATGGCTGCTCTCTGCGGTGTCTTCATTCCTGGGCCCTGCAGTGGGGCTGTCTGAGTTCAGATCCTGGCTTTGCCCCTTGCTGGCCCTGGGTTCTCTGTGCAAAAAGACGCTGATGGCCCCTAATGTACCACCAGCCACGTGAAGCTGAGTTGATTTCTGTCTTTGCAGATCTCACATCCTATGCTGCTGTTTCCTTCTCAGATCACAAGTGGCAGTTTAGGTAGATTTTTCATGTAGATGACCCCTAAATAATATTTCATCATGATTGCATGTGTATTATACACTGGGTACTTTCCTGTATGCTTATGTGGATGGTCTTGTCCAAGCCTCTCTCTCATGCACATCCCCCACACAGTGTGAGAAGGCTGCAGGATAGGGAAAAACAGAGTTCACAGTTTAGCTTATCTATCAGTTGCCAGTCATTTGGGTTGTTTTCCATGTTTTAATTCCTTAGTGCTGTGAGGGGCAGGCGTTGTGGTGCAGCACATTAAGCTGCCACTTGGAATTCCCACATCCCGTATCAAAGCTCCCAGTTGAAGTCCAGCTGCACTGCTTCCAATGCAACTGCCTGCTTGAATGTGCTGGGAAGTGGCAAATGATGGTCTAAGTGCTTGAGTTCCTACCACCCACTTGGCAGGACCTATGGGTCCTGTCCAGTCCTGCTGTTGCCGTTTGGAGCAGGTAGGTGTAAGATCCCTGTGTCTGTCACGCTGACCTTCAATTCCATAGAAATTGAAGGAATGTTGCTGCAGTGGTGGTGTACCTATTTTGCATGGGTAAATGGCGTGGTCACACAGTGTGTATGTCACCTGTCCCAAAGGGATTTTTTCAGCACAAAGTGTATGGGCCTCACACTCACCACCCCCACTGTGGCTGTTTCCAGTTCCCGTTAGTGGCTGACCTATTCCATGATGACAAGGACCCTCCCGCTGCCACCACCACTTCTGGCAAGGGATCGTCTGCAAAGATCAACATTCGCTCTGCCAGACCCCCTCTGAAGACCTCCAACAAGGAGCACAAGAAGACCGTGGGTCACCAGGTCAGCCCCTGGCCCCAGGGCATGAGGGGACAGCTGTGAGTGTGGCACTGTAGGGATGCAACCTGACCGCATGATGGTCCGAGAAGCCTGGCTTCCCCATCCATGCTCTGCATCCGCTCACAAGAGGCCATTGTGTTAGTGCCAGTTGGTGCATTTAATTCTGTGATAAGGACCATGCCAAAGAATCTCACGGTAGGGGAGATAGGGAAGTCCAGTCTGCAGGGTGAGCAGGAAGGTGAAGGAGCTGTAGGGTAAACACACCACAGGTCTCTTTCAGAGTACAAAGAGCACCTGCTGGGCTCCCTGTTCCTTAACAGTTGCTTACTCTGGGCATTCCACATAAATGCTTGTTGCCCGGATGCTCAAGCCCTGGGAGCCAGGCTCCTTGCATGGTGATCCATGGCTCAGCTCTGTCAGCACTCACCTGCCTTCTGTCTCCTGTGGTCCACAAGCCACACTCAGAGTTGGGCCCACTGTGGGGCTCCTTGTTCAGCTGGAGTAGTGCTAATGTGAGAGGGACTTGATTTCTGAGCTCAGAAGAGAAGAGCATCTAAGCTCGAATATGCTCCCAGACCTCTGCTGTCCTTCCTGTCCTTCTGTGTTAGCAAATGCAGTCATAGTAGTAACAGCCACTGCCACCAACAACAGCAGCAACAGGCTCTGAGGTGTTTTGATAGTCATGCATCCAAAAACATGTTCACTGACTAATCAAGCACTGGCGTTTGCTTCCACAGTTCCGCACCTCCCTGCACCTGCTCATGGAGACCTTGAATGCTACGACGCCACACTACGTCCGCTGCATCAAGCCCAACGATGAGAAGCTGCCCTTCCAGTAAGTGCATGCCAGGCATCAGGCAGCCAACCTGGCCTCTCTCCACCTGCCCTGGAGGCTTGGGCAGGACTGAGTGGGGACCTTGCAAGGCCTTCAGCTTGATGCCTGCTTGCACCAAGATTCCATGTACGGGTTATGTGCTCAGGACAGAGAGAGTTGCAGTGTCCTGCCACACAGGAAACTTGGGCCCCTGTTCCCCAGGGCCCTGGAGCCCACACTGGTATTGGGGAGTGGGCACCCTTGGAGAGATGTGAACTATGCACCAGTGCTGTCCCAGCTGGCCAAGACCTTGGCGATTCATTTCCCAGAGTCTGATGTATGCCAGATGCTGGTGACTGCAGGGCGCCCCAGAGTGAGAACAGGAGTTGGGTTCATCTCAGTCTGCCTGGGAATTTGTATGAGACCTTCATTAGACACCAGGATCAGCACCTTCATCCAGGAAATACAGAAACAATGGGAAGAACCCAAAATCGAGCCAGAAGACCTGGACTCCAGTGCTGGTCACTGCCAAATGTCCAGTCACAGCTGGTCTCTTACTCTCTTGGTCTTGTTGCCTCATCTATTTGTTGTGATTTTAAAGCATCCTGGTGCAAGACCCTCAAGGGGTTGTAAGAAGTCTAAAATAATTTGCCAGAGGGACTTCAAAAAGCTTGTGGAAAATTAAGTTTATCTTGGTGCAAAAAACTGTTAGCTGCATTCAAAGGAATCTTCAAGAAACTGCATGTTATGGAAAAAAAAACCTGCATTTATCTCTGTGAAAACAAAACAGACTTTTACTTGCATTTCCCTGTGAGCATTTTGAAGCACCCTCATGTATTCTGAGACTACCAAGACTGATATTATTTCTAGGAGGAAACTGCCCTCTACCATCCTCTTGGATTAGATTTCCTCTGCCATGACCCATGAATGTTTTTGGTCAGATGGTGCATGGCTGTGGGGCTGCCCCATCCATCAGAGGATGTGTAGTGGCCTCGCCAGCTCCCAACCCCCAGGTGTCAATTATGTCCCTGCTCCTGTGACAACTAAGAGTGTTCTAAGAAGCACCAGGTGCTCCCTGGGGGACAGACCTGCCTCCGTTGAGAGCTGCTGTCATACACCAAGTGTTTTGGTAGCTTTTCTCCTGTGAATTCTTTCCCCTCTGCTTCTTCTACTTAGGAAACCACTAACCTACCTCGTGTTCACTTGACCCTGAGTTCCAACAGGTGGAGGGGCAGGCATATCTACCTTGCTGATGGTGCTGCAGAAGAGGCTGTCAGTGGCTATGAGAAGGGGCCGCTGATACCACCAGTGGATAATGAGCTCCAGGAAGAGATGGCCGAGGGCAAGAGCTATCCTATGGGCTCACTTGGTGAAGGGTCTGCCTGGATCTCTGGGGCTGAGGTGCAGAACCCAGAAGCCTGTGTAGGAATTGGGAGTGCTGTAAGAACCCCAAGCAGAGCCCACTTCAGCACACACAACTCCTATTGGGCATCCAGCAAACCCTGAACTGTCCCCCACCTATACCACACACGGATCCAGGGGTCAGAGTGGAGGTGTGTGTTGAATCCTAAGTTTCACAGCACAAGGGCTGGTTTCCAGTTGCTTTAAACCAGGACTGTGGGGAGGCAGAGCAAGAGAGAAGATTAAAGCACAACAGGCTGGCCACCTTCACACCTTCAGAGGGACATATGGGCAGGGGAAGACGGAGGTACCATCTTGCATCCTTCCATGATGCCTTGTGGCTGCTTTCTGCAATAACTCCTTTTTCATTTCCTGTGGGCATTAGAGCAAGTGACTGAATTGTATGTGGGCAGAAATTCTCAGCCGTAAAGAGTACAGGCTGCAGGGAGACTGTGGCTTACCTAGTGTATATCAGCTCTGAGTGACAGAGCCAAGCTCTGTCCTCCAGCCTTGCTCAGTCTGTGATGAGGATGGCACTGCTGTCTAGCAGAAGAGCAGGTGTAAACTGGAGTGCACAAGGTTCCACAGGAAGTCCAGGCAAGAGTTAAGGCAAGATTCCAAAGTTGTTGGCCAGCTGCATTCTGGGGGACCAGCTGTAGTGTGGTGTGTGGAGCTCCCAGAAAAGAGAGCTACACCATGCTCTAACCCCGCGTGCACACACACACATACACACACACACACACCCCACACTGCTCACTTCAGAAAGGGAGGATGTTCTCACTTCTCCAGGGAAGCAGTGGGAGGCCCTGGAGGAAATGACAACACTAGTTGTCACCCCCAGGAGACACTGGGTTACAGAGGCGCCCCAGCATGTTGCTGTGCCTCCTCCCACCTTGCTGGTCAGGGACCTGAGTTTGGCCTCGGGAATGCAGGGTAATGGGGTGGCAGCCCCCAAGGTCAAACCGTCCTGTAGAATTCCAGTGGACCTGGTTGCTGAGGAGTCACTCAGGCTGGTATGAGTGTGCCCACCGGACCATTATGGATCCCCAAGCCAACACAGCTGCTATTGCTTTATCTGTCAGGACCTGCAGGTTGCTGAGGACCTAGCCAAGAACTTTGTGAAACCACAGTATGAGCAGGCAGGCAGGCAGTGAATTCCTGGCCAAAGTTTGTCCAGAAGTCAGAGCAGTGTCTCGGAACCATGCCTGGAAGATTGGGCACTTCTCCCTCCTGCCCTTTGACCTTCAGACTGAAAGGAGCGCTCAAGACTTGGCCCACAGCTTGAGCTGAGGGACAGGATGGTCAGAGGAAAGAACGTGTGTCCCTCCCCACTTCCCAGGCATGGACTGCCAACTCTTAGTGAGCTTTAAGTACTAATTGATACCGGGGCAGCTTGCTTTCTTTTCATAAAGATTCCCCCAGTTGCCTCCAGCCAGCCTGGTGTCTTTCCCTTGGATTTCTTTGAGCATTGTTTGTGTGTTTATTGCACGCTGCCTGACTACCATCCACATGTGGGTCCTCGCAGAGAGCTGGGGCAGTTCCTGCCTTCTGCTGTAGTGTTAGACTTGGTCAGTGTGCACAAGTGCTGATTTCCAGTGCTGGGTCTTGCATGGTGCAGAGCGTGTGGCTGGCTGAAGGCAGTGCATCTCTCCATAGGTGTGAAGATCAAACTCTTCACACTGTTGGGTTCTCATTGGAGCTCTGTCACCATCACAGCTGATGGTACCCAGGCCCTGTGTGGTGCCAGCTGTCGTCTTGCCTTCGTGGAGGCTGTCGCCTTTAATCTTCACACTCACCCTTTGGAATAAGGGTTGTTGTCATTCCCAACTTAGAGAGGAAGATGCTGAGGCTTGAGGAAGGTTGGTTACTTGGTCATATGAAACCTCAGTGGATGACCATGCCATGATTGAATCCTGCCTCTGCCTGGCCTAAAGTTTGTCCTTTTGGGCCCAGTGGTATGTGGCATTGCTTTGAGACACGTGACCATATGGGTGGAAATAAAGAAGTTCTAGGGAGAAAACAGAACTGAGGCTTGGAAGGTGGGTGGTGAGCAGGAGCAGCATGTGACCTGTGAGTAAGAATATGCACCTGCCTGCCAACTAGCATCTGACCTTGAGCTGGAGCTCCTGTAGCAGTGGCAGCAGATGCCATGTGTGCTGCTGCTCTCCTGTTGTCTCCCACCAGCCAAGTTGGCCACTCACTGCTTGTCTTCCTGTTTGGCAGCTTTGACCCAAAGAGAGTGGTGCAGCAGCTCAGAGCCTGCGGGGTGCTGGAGACGATTCGCATCAGTGCAGCTGGCTACCCATCCAGGTAAGGAGCCCTCCAGATACACCAGCTGGGGCTGTCCTGAGGAGCCAGGCACAGACCCTGTGCAAAGTTCCCAGATGCTGAGGCTCCACACAGGACACTGGTAGACGTAAGAATTTCAGGTTGGCGCAATAAACACAGGAGTTAAAGGTTTTCGGGCAACTTGTCAACTCTCTGCCACAGGTGCCCCAGGGGCCTATATGATGGGTATGCTCTTCTGCAGTCTGTTCCAGTGTTAGGCTGCAGCTCAGGGTGCAGGAATGGCACTCCTAGCTACTGTGTCCAGGGTGTTACCACTCACTGTCTATGGAGTCCTGAGAAGCACAGCGCAAGAGTGGTGTTTGCTGAGTGCCTACCTCAGCTCATCCCACACCTGCTGCCTCTGATGCTCCCATTCTTACAAGGGAGCATGCTTAGATTCTAGGCTTTCCCCATACTCACCTGTGACTGCTTGACCAGGTACTTTAGGGGAAGCAGCCTTTAGCCGGGGAAGCATGATGTCCAAGTTCAGGCGCTCAGTGTGTGAATTCAAGTCCGGGGAGAGCAAGGCTGCAGGCAGGGTAGACTGGGTTACAGCTCTGGAATTGCTAAGACTCCACAGAGCGCAGTAGCGGGGTCTGTGCTAAGACCTGGGGTGGGAGTGTGGAAAGGAATGAAAGAGCAGTGAGCTTCACACAGTGGGAGAGGTGTTCTCCAGGGCCACCCAGTGAGGGCAGGCTCAACAGGGAAGAGCCCACACTGTGGAGGCAGATGGCGTTCACTGCAGTGCTGCAGGTCTCTGTGATTAAAACATTTTACATGGGTTTGAGAGGTTTTTAAACAGCTCAGTGAGTGGTGCATGAGGTGAGGAGAGTCCAGAGATGCCAGCTGTCCAGTGTTGTGAACACGGGTATTGGCTGCCCCAAGCCCAATAGCTCCCGTTCATCCTAGGGACTGCAGCCATTTGGATAATCTTGAAAGTATCAGTTGTTAAAACTGTATGTAAAGACATCATGCTGATGAGTACTGGGAGATTTAGCCTATATTGGAAGAGGGCCTGGCCAGAGGTAGAGCAGAGGTGCTACCCTTTGTCCAAGCACATCTACAATACAAGATGGAAAGCCATATCCTTGGGAGTAACAGATGCCCTGGGAGGGAGAGATTTCATTGTGGCAGGAGCAGGGAAGTCCTGGAGGACAGCTCTGTGGTCCTGATGAAGGGACTTCCTGCCATCTGCAGGATTACAGTGCACCTGCCTCTAGAGTTCCCATCATATCAGTCCTTACATCCATGCCTCACTGCTTCCCTTCAGAGGCTTTCCCATAAGCAGTGAGGGAACCTTGCTGGGAGGCCCTGGGAAAGTGAAACCACTTACTCTTGGGCTCTCAGGTGGCAACACTTTTTCGGTACCTGCCTCCTGTACCCCTCCTAGGGAGCCCCACCCCAGCTTTCCTGCTGCTTAGGCAGGCAGTTGGCTTTCATGCAGCCTTCTGTGCTTGGTGTAAATGTCTTGAGAACTGCTGTGATTAGGAAGGGGAGAGTGGTGCCAGGGCAGAATGGGGGGGTCATCAGATCCCTAGGATCCCTTCCTAAACACTGCCAAAGCCCGCGGGGTGAGACCTCTGTGAGATGGGCAATACTGCCCCCGTTTCACAGATGGGAGAGGGGAGGTGTCGAGGCTGGAGCTGGTCGCCTTGGAGCCTGGCTTCTGTGCTGGGACATGCCATACTCCAAGCCTGTCCTGGGCCAGCCATGAGGTGTTCGCATTCATGTTTGCACTGTTAAAATCTCCTTGAGTTTTAGATCTGTCAGCAGTAAGGTTTCCAGATTGGAATCATTTAAGCTTCTTAGCCCGGCTAAATGCTGCTTTAATTATTTCCCCAGTGAAATCACCAACTCACAGGGAGAAATAAGATGAGGGTGCAAGCAAATAACCCGAACTGTCAAGCACGAGGAATGCCCTCTGAAAGTCGCAGGAAAATGCTGAGTCGCTATGGAGGGAGAGCAGGTGCCTACCATGCAGGGCTGTGCAGGCTGCATGGCTGTTGCTGGGTGGGAACAAGTGTTGGTGTGGGAAACTCTGCTCCGTCTGTGTCTTGCTCAGCTGTGCCTGATCTGTGTGCAAGCATCAACAGAGCAGTGGGTCTGTGTCCAAACCTTGGAGGAATTGAAAGCAACCTGCAGGCTGTGTGCAGTAGACTAGCAGCTAAAGTCCTCACCTTGCATGCTCTGGGATCCCATGTGGGTGCTGGTTCATATCGTGACGGCCCCACTTCCCATCAAGCTCCCTGCTTGTGGCCTGGGAAAGCAGTTGAGGACGGCCCAAGGCCTTGGGACCCTGCAGCCACGTGGGAGACCAGGAAGAGGCTGCAGGCTCCTGGCTTTGGATTGGCTCAGCTCTGGCCATTGCAACCACTTGGGGAGTGAATCAACAGAAAGAAGATATTTCTGTCTCTCCTCCTCATTGTGTATCTGACTTTCTGATAAAAATAAATAAATCTTGAAAAAAAAAAAAAACAAAACTCTGCACATCTGATGGGCAGGCAGGTCATGGGACATGGTGCTCTGTTGCCTGGACCTCAGGTTTGCAGTCAAGAACAAACCTGGGCATGGGCACTTTCCTGATGTTTATTGTGTGTGCTTGAAATAGTTAGGGATCTTTATTGAATGCATATGTGAAGCTGCCTGTTAGGGTGACCAGTAATTCTGCATGCCTGCTTCTCCAGCTCCTAGAGGGAGTACCCACCACACAGGAGGCTGTTTTGTTGACACTTTTTGTGGCAGTCAGAACCACTATGGGGCGGGGGAGGCTTAGAGCAGAAGAGTAGCTGCTACAGTCTGAGAGGAGGAGTGGGTGCGGCATGATTGCCAGGAGTCCAGGAAATTAGTGCAATGAATGGAGGCAGCCTCAGTTCTTGCATTGCTTGGAATTAGAATTTTCTGCAGTTACCAAAACATCAACCTCAGCAGTCAGGAGTGGGCTTTTCAAGAAAGACTGCAATGTTCATGAGGGTTGGCTGGCTTGTTAAGCACGATTTGGGGGAGAAAAAGGAAAAAGAACCAGCAGCCAACAGTCATCAGAGTGTGAAGACAAACTTCAAAGGGCCAGAGTCCATCATCTCATCTAGCTTGCTCAAAACAAAGCTGTGATTGGTAACTTCTTATTCTGATGATAAGCTGAAAGCTCAGGCATTGGAGACTCAAAGAAATGGAGGTTGACACTTTGATCTGGTTAGAGACAGCTTTGGAAGAAATGAACACTTTCCATTCTCTTAAAGAGGCTCCCTTGCTGTTTTGTGATAAAGCTGGAAATCCAGGAAAGTGGTGTTCGCATTCTGAGAACCACCTGTCAGTTGCTGTTCTCATGCTGAAACTGGAAACGTAGAGTGGGCTTGCTCTTAGATCTTGCTAAGCGCAGCTTTGGGAAGAAACCAGTGTCTTGTACACTTTTAAAAGAGATTCCCCTTTTTCTAATTCCAACAGACACATGACCCCATCTGCCTGTTTGTGTATCTGACTCATTAGACTGCACATTTAGGGTTTCCTTTAAGGATGAGACTGTTCTAGAATTTACTACTGGGAGATGGATGCACAGCTTTTCAAACACAGTAAAACTACTGAGATGCTTCCTCGGGAAGAATAAATTTTGTTGCACATGAATTATGCCTCAATAAAACTGTTATTTCTTGAGTTAAACACTTGGCGGCCTGGGAAGGATTAGTAATTTCTAATTAGCTGCTTTACACAGAGGTTAAAAAAATACAGGAGCAAACATAATTTTTGTTTGCTTTTATACACAGTCTTTCTCAGAGACCATTGTCTTAGAACTGCTCCACCAAACCAATAAGAAGCTCTGAGAAAAACGGGAGTGGGGGAGGAGGGCAAGGAGCTCAAGGTTGCTTTCCTCCCTCCTAAGGAGCCCTGAGGGGTGGTTTCTTACAAACCTCAGGCTGGGGTTCAGTTGGAGGGTTCTAGGTCAGACCCTCTTTCCTGGAGAAACTGCTGCCCACCTCCTATCATCAGAGCTGCCTCCCAATTAATGGTTCTTGCTGTTTCCGGAGAAGATTGTTTAAGGACTTAGGGCGCAGAACTCAGGAGGAAGGGTCGGTCAGGTCCTCTGCATTGACGCGTGGAGCCCTTGGGGAGGCCACAGTGAGAGGAAGCAGCAGGTATGCAGCCTCACGTGGCACCTAGTGAGACTCAACCCAGCATTGCAGGCAGTGCAGGCCTGAGGACGGCATTGGGAGGTGGGAGGTGTGCCCCCCCTCAGACACAGGGAAAGAGCAGGAGGGTTGATGGGACCTTCACAGGGATTTGGGCTGAAAATGCCGTCTCGTGTGGGTCAGGGGTCCTGCTGCTTCGTGATTTTTAACTTTATGGGAAGGGCATGAGCATCTGTAAATTAAGACAAGAATCCAGGAGCGTCAGGATAGTGAGTCTGTGAACGGAAGTAGCTTTAACAAGGAAAGGACAGACCACCTGGAAAATGTAGGGTTTGCCCCTGTGCTTGAGTACAGGTCTTCTCTGGGGCTGGAACACTGCTGGTGAACAGCACTGCTTCCCCTGGGTGGGGAAGTGTGACGTCTCATTCTGTGAGGTGCTGGCATCTGCTCCCTGGTGGGCCTGGTTACTCTCATGGTCAGAGAAATGAGCTGAAATCTTTGAGGGCAAATGATGGTTCCTTTTAAACTGCACAAGCATCTGACCAGGGTTATCTAGGGGCTAGGATGCGACTACTTGTTTGTCAGTGTATTCATTTTTGCATTGAAAGAAGTTCACAGTGAACACTATTCATTCTGAAAGACAAAAATGGGTGGCCAGCTTTGATGTGCAGTGGGTTTAATTGCTGCCTGCAATGCCGGCATCCCAGATCACAGTACTGGTTCAAGCCCCAGCTGTTCCAGCTCCAATCCAGCTCCTGGCTAATGCACCTGGGAAGGCAGCAGAAGATGCCCAAGTCCTTGGGACCCTGCCACCCACCCACGTGGGAGACCCAGATGGAGTTCCCAGATTGGGCAATCCAGTTGATAGAAGAGCTTTCTGTCTCTCCCTCTATATATTGCTCTAGCTTTCAAATAAAGGAATAAAAATTTTAAAGGCAAAATTCCTGGAAATCAAAGCTGCCCTGCAGGGAAAGCCCCAGCTTCTGCAGCAGTGGGGAGTCCACCCCTTATCCCTCCTCCGGGACACACCTTGGAAGCCGATTCTCCCTGGGTCCTGCAGCCACACCTCCTGGAAGCCACAGCACCCTGGGTCTCGTGGAGGACCACAGGGAGGACACGACTGCCCCAGGACGGTTTGTCCCATTCCGAAAATGCCTGATGTGGCCCTAAGGGCAGTTCTGGAGACCCTATGCAGGGCAGCACCTGACACTACCTGACATCCCCTTGCTTTCTCCGCAGGTGGGCATACCATGACTTCTTCAACCGGTACCGGGTACTGGTCAAGAAGCAGGAGCTTGCCAACACGGACAAGAAGGCCATCTGCAGGTCCGTCCTGGAGAACCTCATCAAGGTGCGCAGGCCTGGGGAGCGTGCGGGGCCTGAACGGGGTGTGGAAACATCTTGCCCCACTGCCTCAGGATCTCTTATTTCTCAGATTCCCAAAGGCTTCACAGTTTAGCCCACCTGCCCTCCTGGGGGTCCAGGCACTGCCCAGAAGTCAGCTAGGTGCCACATGGCTGCACTTCATGTCTATCTGCCCGCCCAGCTAGCCTCAGGCCCTCCGCATGGACCCCTCTTCAGTAACCCAATAGATTCAGTGTTTTGCTCGAGTCAAATTGGAATTGCACCTGACTCTTGAGGCGGGAGGGCCATAATAGCAAAGCTACTAGGGACCTTGGGTGAGAGGTGGCTCCTAGAGCATTTCAGTAGTTGGAGAAATTCAGCAACTTCAGTGGATGCCCGTTAATGTCTCCATAAGGGACTAAATCATATTGAAAGTCTTCCCTCGGGGAAGGTAATAAAAAGGATTACTCTGAGGATTTTTACATTTTCAGCATGATTTTGCTAGGCAAGTCTTTCTGGACTTAACTGTGTGCTGAGCCATCAGGGTCTTGGGGGAAGTTTGTCTTCTGACTGTTTCAACCATTCATGCCTGTAACTCTAGGACATTGCACACGACACATGTGTAGCTTTAGCACTCTCTTTTGAACAGATAGAGCCCAAGTGTTGGTGCCCATTGCCCCGTTTTCCTTCTCCACCCGTCTCCATCTCCACCCTCTTTTTTCTGAAACTTGGAGTAAGAGCAATGGACTGGCTAACTGAGGCTTGTGGTTGGTTAATTACATTGTACTCTGATTAACTGAGATTTTTTGCTGTGGTTCAAGCACTGTAGCATATCATTGTTCACAGTTGAGAAAAGAAACCTGCTTGTGTCCAGCTTGTCTAAATTAACAGGAAGCATCAGGGGAGCTTGTCTTGCCACTCCCTAGAGCTGGCTGACTGGTGTGCAGCCCAGGCTTGGTTATAAGCCTGCTGTCCCCTTTTTCCTTTGTTGAGGGTCCTGGGTTCATTCTGCTCCACCCTTTCCTGAGTTTCTGTGAAGTTGATGGCAAAACCTCCACTCCCAAGCAGGGGATGCAGTAGAGAGACACAGGTCACATCACTTTCCCCTACCCCTAGGTGGCAGGGGTGAATACCTGCCTAGTAACCCTACTGAGCACAGCTGTCCCTTCTCAAACTGATGATGAGCCTGCCCACTTGTTAGCGCCAGCTCAGTTATTGAAGTCCACATCCCTCAAGCCCCAGCACACTGTCCCATGTTCACGATTAGGCAGCCATCCCTGCGAGGACAGTGGCCTTGCCCTGGCACCTCCCCCTTAGTTATGGGCACTAAGCTGAACACACAAAGCAGTAGAGGAGTGAGTGAATGACTAGATCTTTGCTGAGAGACAAGTTAGAAACATGTTGTTTTCTCTGCCTAACCAAGGAGTTAGCCAGTGGACATTGTGGTTGATGCTAGTTGTTGACTCTTACAAACGTGGCAGAGCACTTATCTCTCTTACTATGACTTTGTGTCATTTACAGGATATCCTCAGTAGTGGGGTTGCTGGATCACATGTCGGTTCCATTTCTAGTGTTTTGAGGACTCTGTTTACTGTTCTCCCTATAGAGTGTAAGGATAACCTTTGAAAGATGTGAACCAGATCAGGCCACTCACCTGTCCTGTCCCTCCTAGCCCAATTGTGTCCTGCAGCCTGAAAGGCCTTGGTGACTGTTTCCTTCCCACACCTGCCTTCTATTCCCTGCAATCGGCCATCCTGGCCCTCAATCGTGTCCAGGTCATAAGCACCTGCTCCTCTCCTGAGACTCCATCCCCTCCCTCTCTGTGCCTGCATCCTGCAGTTGGTTCGATCTTTGCTCTGGTACCTCCTTGACAGTGGCTCCTGTCTTCATCCTCCTTTGGTGGCCTCCCCAGCTCGCCTTCTCTGCCTCCAGTTTTGTTTTCTTAATGACCTTTACCATCATCTGAAAGTGTGGTATCACTTCTTTGGGGAGCAGGCATCTTGTTCCATGCCTTGTCTTGGACAGCTAAGCCTGCCCCCTGGTAGGGGTTTGATGTCTGTTAAATGAATGCAAGGGCTTCACCTATGCCTATAGGGAGAGAGACCTTGGGAGACCTGGGCTGGGTGGGGCACGTGGCCTCTGCTCGCTGATGACTGCCTGGCTCCTCTCTCTACCTTGTGAAGGACCCTGACAAGTTCCAGTTTGGCCGCACCAAGATTTTCTTCCGGGCAGGCCAGGTGGCCTACCTGGAGAAGCTGCGAGCTGACAAGTTCCGGGCTGCCACCATCATGATCCAGAAGACCGTGCGTGGCTGGCTGCAGAGGGTGAAGTACCACAGGCTGAAGGGGGCTGCCTTGACCCTACAGAGGCATTGTCGAGGATACCTGGCCCGCAGGTGAGCCCAGTCGGGGTGGAAGAGGGCACCACCTCCCTCACCCTCTGCAGGTGGAGTGGTTGTCTTCTGGTCCTGTTTGTCTTGGTGCCAATACCCCCAGACCCCTAACCTCTGGAACCATCTGTCTGCTGCTGTGCACACCTTAGGGAGCAGGTGTATTTCCCAGGGTTCTAGGTGCTACTGACCTGTTTCCATCCTACCTGCACCAAGCTATGTCACAAAGTACCCATTTCCCTTTTGCCTTCCCATCATAGTTAGCATGCACTTAGTCTCACCATTTGTGCACACATCTCAAACTCCTGGAGTCTGGGATCTGGGGTCCCTCCTACCTAGGGGCTATTGCATCAACTCTAGGGAGGTTGGCTCATCCAAACAAAGGCAGCGGCCCAGAGGGGTGGAGCAAGAATGCCAGGCAGGCCCGCATGGAGCCACACAGAGCAGTTCTTACTGCCATGGCTTCTGGGCCAATGTCACTGGGCTAACCATGTGCTAGGGCAAAACAAGCCAACTCCACTGAGGCAGGTGTGAGGGGCACAGCTCTCCATGAAATTCCCCTCACACCAGGCCCTTACTGCAGTTCCCAGAGTTGGGCTGAGCCCTACTTCAAGGTCAGTGCCATCCCCACACAGGAATTTCCCTTAAGTGATGGTAGCCACCACAAAGTTGTGCATGGACAGGTTGAAGTTTACAGGTGGCATTTCAGTCATCTGTGTTAAAAACAGCAAGAATGAGAGCTGAAAGCCTGTGTCCTCAAGAGAGAGCATTGCCCCCTCTTTACACTGTCACATGCTGACTGTAAACTGTACATCCGAGCAAGACCAGTGAGGACAGGTGCTAACGATCGGACAAACTGCACTGCAGCAGCTCTAAAAGGAAGAGCCTTGTCAGTGAGGCCGACACTGGGGGACTCTCGGTGGTCTTTGCCAATTTTCTGGGTTGTGTGCATGCGTCAGGCTCTCTGGCAAGGGCTATGCATGCATCAGAGTTGACCTGTCTTCTCTCTGCGGGGGTGTTTGCAATCTGCCGATCAGCAGGGCCCAGGTATGAAGAAGGTACACACCGGGGAAGCCACTGCCTTCTAAAGCAGACAGTGCATGCCCTTGGTGGGTCACTCCTACTGCACTGCCCTCCTAATGCACTGCCCTGAATGAGGTCCAGTTTCATTTTTACTACTTCACATTGAGCCCAATGAGCACTTGCAGTGACCTTGCAAATAGGCCATTCAGAAGGATAGAGGGTGTCAGACACTCTGGTGGGAGGTGGGGTAGGGAAGGCAGAAATGAAAGGAGAGGTGATATCCACATCCAGGGTGTCCCAAGTGGAAAGGGCAGGGGAGAGGAGAAACCAGTGAGACAGCAGCGTGGGACCAGAAGGTTGCCGCCACTCAGTAAGATTTTTCCAGCACCTGCTGGGCTGGGACCTGAGCCAGATGCAGGCGGCCTGGGCCCAAGGAGCACACTCCATGATCCCTCCAGGCCTGGAGCATTGAACAGTGACCCAGGGTACCGAGGAAGACATTGTAGGAGAGTGGTTGTATGAGGCTCATGGAGGAGCTTAGGGTTACACTGAACCAGAAGCTTCTAGAAAGACTGGACCACCAGTAGGAGCAAGTGAGCCTGCTACTTTGGTGAGCCTGAATGCCCTGTGCCTGAGGCACCTCCAGGTCTGGTGAGGGCAGTGAGAGTTGGCTTGCCCTTGGGGTGTCCAGGCAGGGTTGTGGAGTATGAGAGGCATGTGTCATGGGCAGCTCTGGGTGCGGGTGTCCTTGAGGTCAGCCTGACTAGTCCTGCTGTGTCCCGCTTTCTCCAGGCTGGCTGAGCACCTGCGGAGGACCAGGGCAGCCATAGTACTACAGAAGCAGTACCGCATGCGGAGGGCGCGTCAGGCCTACCAGAGGGTGCGCCAGGCCGCCATCGTCATCCAGGCCTTTACCCGGGGCATGTTCGTGCGCAAGATCTACCACCAGGTGAGCAGCCACTGGAAGTGACTCATGTGCGGCTGGCTCTTGGCTTCAAGTGGCAGTGAGGTCATGGTCACCAATTGTGAATGTCTGTTGCAATATTCCCAGTTTGTCCCAGGTCCTTTCCTGAGTCACCTGAGGCTGGGAAGGGGGATGTTATGTGTCCCTGTGACATGAGCTGCTCAGGGAAGCTCAGGAGGAGACACTCGGTGTCAGCAGGCTTGGTCCTGTCCTTAGGCAGCACAAGAACAAGCAAGGGTTAGGGGAGGGGCCCTGCCTGCCGCCTGCCTGGCGTTGCTGCTGGTGTTTCCGTGGTGAGGCTGAGCACTCTGCATCAGCTAGGCTGGCTCTGCTGAGTCACTAACGTCGCAAGTTCAGCACTCTAGGGGAGGGGTGACTTGGAAGAGAACGTTTAGAAATGGTTTTGTTTTTTTCTGACTTGTTCTTTCACACTCAGTGTGATTTTTCTAAGCAACAGAAGCAGATTATTAAGTTGGTATGTCGGGGCCAAGGGGTGTCAGGGAAAGACAGGCCAGCGAGAGAAGGTTCTGTAAATACTCTCAAGGGATGGCCGCATTTAGGGGAAGAGGTTGGGAGGCAGCCAACAGGGGGCAGCAGACTCATGACATAAGCCCTGGGCACAACTTCTAGCTCATCTGAGCCTGCCTGCTTGTGCATTCATCTACGTCACAAACATAACTTTAGCTGGGAATGGAGATGGGAATGACCATGCTTTCACTTGCTGAGTGGTGTTGAATTCGGTGGGAAGAGGAAAGTCCCAGGGAATTCGAAACTGAATTTGTTGTGGTCAGCCAGGAGGAACCCATTGTGGCTACTCACTGAAATAAACCACCTTATGTCCAGCCCACCATTCCTGTGGGCAAGATCCTTACCTGCCAGGGCGATGGAGGAGGGAGCAACCAGGTAGTTCTTGAGTCCCTGTGGCTGTGAGAGTTTTAGCAGGTGGCTCCTTAACTAATAAAAAGTTTGATAGTCGGTTCCCTGCAGGCACATGCATTACAGAGCCCAGGTACAGCCTGCCCATGGAGCCGGCAGCACTCAGAACCTCCAGTCTCCTGGGCAGGTGTACTCCATACCTCCTAGGACCAAACACCTGCCTTGGCTCTCACCTCCCAGCAATCACATGGGCTCCCCTTGCTCTATCGCATAGTGTGATGGGAGGTTGTACCTGTCCCCCACCAGGTCCTCACAGAGCACAAGGCCACCATCATCCAGAAACACACGCGAGGCTGGATGGCACGCAGACGTTTCCAGCAGCTGCGAGCCGCGGTCATCGTCATCCAGTGTGCCTTCCGGAGGCTGAAGGCCAAGCGGGAGCTCAAGGCCCTCAAGATTGAGGCCCGCTCAGCCGAGCACCTGAAGCGCCTCAACGTGGGCATGGAGAACAAGGTGGTGCAGCTGCAGCGCAAGATCGATGACCAGGTGAGCCGTGGGAGCAGGTGTAATCCCGTACTTCCTGGGGAGGCTGCACCTGCCAGAGGCCCCTCAAGAGCATCTACCGACTGTGCTACCCAAAGACTCTGACCCCAGCCTCGGGGAAGGCAGGGAGTTGGTTCATGAGTGTTACCACCCATAGCACAGGCTCAGCAGCAGTGATGAGGTGTCACCAGAGGGGAACACGGCTGATACAGAGATAATTCCCTGTAAGGAAGGTCCTTGTAGGGAGGCTGAAGGATCTGAGTTGAGCGAGCTGTGAGGACAGCATCAGAGGTGGGTGCAATGCAGACACCTGGGCCCAGGGCTGCAGGCCCCCAGAGTTTTGTGATGAGTTCCCACCCCCTGCCACAGGCCTCCAGGAAAAATACAGACTTGCGGATCCCTTTTAGACTTCTGAGCCAGACTTGCAAGATTAAGAGGCTTAGGCTATTGGGCTGCTGCCTGGGTGGGCAGTTGTTCCTTAGCATGGCAACAGGGAGCTGGTGCAGCACCCAGAGCCCCGCCCTCCTGCAGAGAGCAAATGTGGGCTGATGATGGAGGTTGCTGAGCTCAGCTCTGTCCGTGTCAGCCCATCTGGTTCCCTGCCACCGGCAGTGTCTTTGTTACCGGTGAGGGACACGAGCACAGGTCTCCCAGGTAACCCCAGAGCCTGTGTCCTTCACCACCATCATGCCCTGCCGCTTCTCTGTCCCACTGAGTGCTGGAGAGGACACTCAGTACAGCGTCAGAATGTTTTCCTGGGTCAGCTGCACTGCTTGGAAGAAGAGGGACTCAGCCTCAATTTTCCTACTGCTGAAATGGAGCTATGGGACTATAAGAAGTAGTGGTCCAGCACCTGGAAGGCCTTGCTATACAATAGGAAATAATTATCACTACTGTTAACCCAGACATTTGTCCTCTGAAGTTCCACTTGGGGAGGAGACCAGGTGCAGCAAGGAGTTCTAGGCAGGCACAGGGCACTAGGCTCACACATCTGTGTGCCCACCTCTGCATAGCTGGTGGCCATTCTTCCTTCCCTCCAGGAGTCATTCTTGGTGCATGGAGAGTGACTTAAGCTCTGTGGGATGCATAGGAAGGCTTCTGTATAGGTGAGCCCAGCAGCTTCGCTTCCTTCCCATCCCTTGAAACATACCAAACCTCACGACTGGTGCCTTCTGCACCCTCTTTGGGTCCTTGTGATACTGTAAGGTGACTTCCTGGGTATGGATCATGGACTGGAAGTCCCTTTCCAAGGTCACCAAGGTGGCAAATGCTAGAGCATGGGTCTCGCCTAGCTTCTGTCTAATCCGAGGGCTGTGATAGGGGTGAGGTTTTCGTGTTAGCTTTAACCCTGGCCTTGGCTGAAGAGTCCTTTTCTGTTAGTCTGACTCCCAGGGTGGAAAGTAGGCTCCTTGGCTCATGTCAAGCGTTAGGGTGACCACAGGACCTCACATGGGTCTGCAGTGCACCAGCAGGTCTCACAGGACTGTCAAGATGGGAAAGGAGTAGGAAGAAAGAGCGACCAAGCATGGCCTGGCCAGTCTCATGCTGTTGCTGTACCTGTTCACAGAATTGGGTGGTGTTTAAGCTTCTCGTGACCCCAACTGGCAGCACAGTAAACAAGCCACTGTATGTGTAAGGTACACAGGTGGCAGCAAAATGCTTTGGCTTTTCCAGTCCTGAGACGGAACAGGCTTTTCTGCACAGGGGTCACCACCCTGGCTGCTTCCTCCCTGGCTGAGTCCCACAGAGCACCTTGTTTGGCTTGGCACCTTCGTGGGGACATGAGAGGGAAGGTCCGGGCACAGGGGAGAGCACGCTTGGCACCTGTACCCAGACAGCCGGCAGTGTTGGTACAGGTTAGGAAGGGAGGTCCACCCACTCAGATAAGGAAGAGGGGTTCAGCCGTGGCTATCCTATGCAAACCAGAAGGCACCAAGGTGGTTGTTGGGAACATGGTGGCTGCTAGTGACTGCCCAGAGAAAGCACTGTATGGTCAAATGTCTCCAGTGAACCTCCTGGACATGGAGTATGCTCAGAGGGCCAAGCAACCTCTGAGCCTCCCCACCCCCCGCCCCGCATGCTGGGAGCCCTGGGAGTTGCTAGCTGTGCTGACCCTGGGTTTCTAGCTACGGGGTTCTGCGTTGATGTTTATGGCTTCCAAATTTGTCTTGAGAGGATAAAAATAAATCAAGTATTTTACCATCCATGTGCCTACGCATCACGGAGAGGCAGACTCAAAGGGCCTATTTTTAAAGCGAGCTTTTGGACCCTAAACTTCCTGCTTGGCAAACATCTGTGTGGAGTGGGAGCTGGTAGCCATCCCTATGTAGGGTATCGTACATTGGGAGCAGGGGGAGGTGTCAGGACACACACACAGGGGCTTGCTCTCTCCTGCCTGCATGTCCCAGGTGCCCAACCACATGCCAGGTGCTGCAGTTTGTATTTTGATTCACTTAATCCTCACCTCAGCCATAGGAGAGTAAGAGTAACACGGTTCCTCTTCTAAAGCTCAGGAAACCAAGGCATAGAGAACTGGTAAGTCACCACTTGGGGTCTCACAACTGTGTCAATACAGCCAGGATGGGAATTCAGCCAGCTGGTGTCAGGATGTGTGTTCTGTGCCCTCTTAGAAGGTTGCAAGGTACCCGTTCGCCAAGAGATCCTTGGGACTGAGAGCACCGTGATGCAGAGGAGACGCTCGCCCTTGGTGTGGGTGTGTGCTTGTGGAGATGCCAGGGACAACTGGCACTTTGCCATGGGAGCATGGCCTGGCATAAAAGATTGTGCTCTAGGGGTGTGTTGTGTCATGAGAGGAGACACCAACCCAACACTCTGCACTGGCTCCTTGGAGTTGCTTGTTGCCTGGGCCCTTCAGCAGGTGCAGCAAGGTGTTCGGGTTCCTGTAATTCCTGGAGACCTTGCAGGAGGCTGTTCTTTCTCTCTCCAAACAAGATTCTAAAGGCAGGAGGAGACAGGCACAGGAAATCCCAAGGGATTTATGGACAAGGCCCCAGCTGCACAGGGAACTGGATGATGGCTTAGCTGTTCTCAGAACCATGGCCGAGAGCTTGGGCCTCCAGGCCAGATGTTCACCTGTGCGGTAATTGCATCCCCAGGCCATATTGCTGAATCACCTGAGCCGAGGAGGTTTTGAAAGTGTCCCCAAGACCAAGAAGTCAACGAGGGGAGGAGGGGGCACTGAAGGAGAGACCAGGGTGAGATTAGCAGCCCAAATGCATATCTCAAACCCTTGGGCACTTACCTGAGGAAGAAAAAAGTCACGTGGTACTGGGTTAGCAAGAAATAACAGAAGAAACAAGGTCAGTGGAGAGTCTTAAAATGCAGATGGGAGGGTGGGAACTGTCCATGGTGCTGGCGTTTTCTCACTGTGTGGCCCCATAAACAATGGAAAGCCGCAACCCTTCAGTGTCCCTTTCAGAAATAAATACGGTGATAATACCCGGTGGTCACATATAGTGCTCTGGGTTGACAGTCTGTCCCAGAGGAATGTGGTCAGGCCTTGTCCTGCCACAGAAGGGACTTCTCCAGGCAATTTCTAGACAGGTCCCTGCATTCGTTGGGTTCCTCAAACATCCTCAGAGACTGCTGGTCGGTCCCATTCCTGCTGCTGAAGAGCTCAGATCTGCCCTCCACCGGCCACAGGGAAGCTGGGCAGGGAACCCAGACTGCTATTCTTTAGTTTGGTTAAGAGCTCAGTTTGCTTCAAAGGTTTGCTTGAACAAGATCTTTTCTTATGAGGGAAATGCATGTGCTACATCAGCTCCAACAACCAGGGACTCTGGGTCCTCTGCTGGTCCCTATAGCACACCTCTGGGTAACCAGAGAAAGACAATCCTGAAAAAAAGAGGGACTGAACCTCTGTAATTGAGTAGAGCCCCAGGGATGCACACCTGGGAACCAATGACCCTTCTACAAGACAGCAGTGCCATAGGGCAGGCTGATGGTCAGACAGCAGGGCCTGGCCCTCACTGGTTTCTGCAGCTAGACATCCTTGTCCAGTGTACAACCTGCCCGACTGCATTAGGGTGGATCCTGATTGATGCTTTACATACCCTGGGGTTAGAGAGAGGACAAATAAATGCCCCCAATACCACTACGTGACTGGGTGCCTACTATGGACAAGGGACTGTACCATGTGCTGCTCATCTGCTACTTGTTCACTCACACACATGTTACTGAAAGTTACCTACATCCCCATTTCACAGTTAAGAAAAACTGAGGTGCAGGAAGGCCCTAAAGCTGTGATTTACCCTGCTTTTCAAACATGTATGAATACACTGAATCATAAAATGTTAGTTTAATAACTGACCACTAAATATACGGAATCAAACAGATTTAAAAACTCCTGACTAGGGCTGGTACAGTGGTATAACGGGCTAATCCTCCTGCAAGTGCCAACATCCCAGGGCACCAGTTTGTGTCCTGGCTGCTCCAGTGCCAATCTAGATCTCTGCTTGTGGCCTGGGAAAGCAGCAGATGGTGATCTAAGTCTCTGGGACCCTGAACCCATGTGGGAAACCTGGACCAGTCTTGGATCAACTCAGCTTTGGCTGTTGTGGCCGTTTGGGGTGTGAACCAGTGGATGCAAGATCTTTCTTTTCTCTCTCTCTCTCTCTCTCTCTCTCTCTGTAAAATCTGCCTTTTAAATGAAAGTAAATCTTTTTTTTAAGGCTGCTGACTGAATCTGTAGGTTAGCATATTTTAAAGATATTTAAGTGTAACCTTATATGTCTAGGGTCTAAGAAACTTGATTCTCATTATATAAAGAAATGTCTCATTTCAATGGGCCAAATTACTCTCTATGTGCCAGGTTGGCAGAAAGCTGAAGTCACAGGCTACTCCTTTGTGACTGAATGGGGGGGGCGGAGTAAAGGATGGAGGGTGCAGCAAGCATTCCCTCTCTGTTATGTGGAGCCCCTCAAGCTCCAGCAGAGACTGAGCCCCAAGTGGGCACTGCAGGGAGGTCTTATGCCACATGACTGGAGCCTTCTTCATGGTCTGTGAGAGCAAGGCTGGCAGTTAGGGCACGCATAAGGATGGATCAGGCTATCCTGAGGGGTTCCTACAGAGTCAGGAGTCCTGGCTCTACAGTGTCAATTGATTCAGAACATGGCCTACCCCCTGGGTCACACACAGCCAGGAGGTCCCAGCGTGTGGGGCCTCATGGCTTTTCTGCAGCTGCTCTGCTCCAGTGTCTGCGCAGTTGCATCTCTTGTGTGAGTTTATCACTGGTTATGGACATCTCAGCATTTTTGCCTGTAGCTCAGCTTGTCTAGGGTTTCCACAGCAAGTAGCCATTAAGGGTAACCAATTCCTGTTTGTTGCTTGCTTGATCACATGAAGAACCCTTCTCGCTCCTGCTTTTCTCTGCTGACTACTGCTAGCTCACATCTTTCACCCATAATTTACACTTAGCCTTGACCCTGGCTCTTGGCAGGAATTGCTGCCTTGCTGATCTATTGTCCTAGTGGGCGGGACCCCAGGGGCCCAGGCTGCTGGCCTGCAGCTTGGGCATTGGTTCCCAAGGTCGGTGTCTGAGCAGGCCAGCTGTGGCTAACAGGTGGGAGAGGAGGCCTCCGTGGAAGAGGGGCTGCTGAAGGGGTCCTTTGTCTCAGAACAGAGATTAGGTTGCAGCTCTTGGTGCCAGAAGGTTTGAGGGTAAAAGGGCTCAGTGTGAACGAGCCAGGAAACACCATCAGCCAGAGCTGCAGACCTGGGGAAGCAGCTACATCATCTCTGCAGCTTTAAGCCTAATGGAGAATCTGTCCAGCCACTGAGGAGAGCTACCTGCTGCCTACTCTTGGTCCAAGAGCTCCTTGAACCATTGTAATGTCAATGTGGCTAGGCTGTTTCCCTCTACTCCCAGTCTCACAGTAGAGCTTTGTTAGAAAGATGCCAGGAAAGCATTGGAGCATGGCATGGTTGTAAAGTTTAATTCCACCATGGAAGCTCCTCTTTTGATTGCCTTCAAGCTTTTTCCTGGCCCAATAACTCTCTCTTTCCCCTTCCTCCCTTTACCCCACCTCCTACCCCACAATCCCATTTGCCATGTTCTCCCAAGAACAAAGAGTTCAAGACCCTGTCGGAGCAGCTGTCGACGGTCACCTCAATGCACGCCGTAGAGGTGGAGAAACTGAAGAAGGAGCTGGCACACTATCAGCAGAGCCAGGACGGGGACGCCAGTCTGCGGCTGCAGGAGGAGGTGCAGAGCCTGCGCTCGGAGCTGCAGAAGGCACACTCGGAGCGCCAGGTCCTGGAGGATGCCCACAGCAAGGAGAAAGACCAGCTGAGAAAGGTAATGCAGTGGGGGCTGGCCGGGGGCAGCTTCTCGGTTCCCAACCTGTGATGTTCATTGTCCTGCACGGTCCTGGGTCTTGTGCCCGTAGGCTAACCATCTGCTTATGTGTGTATACACCTGGAGTGGCCCTGCATCGGGAGAACTCACTCAAGTGTGTGTCCATTTACCTAGCACAAACTGACAGAGTGACTTTAGTTAGCTGGACCCATGGGGGAAAGACACACACACACACACACACACACATACACACACCTTCATGTGTCTCAGAGGAAGTGGCTACTGTTCCTGACCTTGCATTCAGGGATTAGAGGAGGTTTCTGAACAACCTACTCCTGTCCATGATCAATTGTCATGTACTGGATCAATTTTCAGTTTGAAAGTTCCAGCTGCACTTATCCATTCTGACTGGCTGGTGGGGTCCACGGGCTTCCTCCTTGCCCCAGAGGATGTGCCCTCCTGCATTTGCCCAGATCTTCCAAAGACCCAGGTATGAAGTTCTCTCTCATCCCACAATACAGCAGTTCCCACTGTTTCTACCAAAGCACTGTTGGAGAGCCCTCTGTGCACTTGGAGACTGCTGTGCTCTCCCATCTTCACAGCAACCCATGAGCCAAGGTGAGAATAGCACATGGCCAGCTCATTAGGCATCTGTCTTTCATGGGGCATCACAGTCAGGATAAGACTCAGCGTCCACATTAGAGTAACAGCCACAAAATGTGGCAGACCAAAAGCTGGCATGGAGGAGGCCCTGGGGCGGCCACTGCAATACCCAGAGAAGCTCCCATCCTTGTCCAGCCTTTCCAGGCATGTGCCTTATTGGCCTCTATTCCCTCTTTAAGGGTTCAAACCATTGGTATAGAAACCCCTGTAGTGCTCCATGAGCTCATGTTTGAGGCTTCTGGACAGAGGGGAGGCCTCGGCCCTCTCTGTTGTTCTGTCTCCCTCTCGCACCCCCACTTCCCAGTGCTGGTCTCAGCAACCCAGGCTAAGAAGCAATACCCATGGGAGAAGAAAGCCTGAAGGCCAGTTCATTGTCCCACCCCAGGCAGAATGTGAGTCCCCTCAGCTACTGCATTCACCCACTTCCCGCTTCTTCCATGGGGCAAAAGTGGGATTCTGACAGGGTGTGGGTGATGAGGAAAGTCAAACCTGGAGTTTCCCAAAGCAGCCCTCCCCCTCCTGGTGAGTTGCTTTGAGGCAGCACAAGAGCCTCCTTGCACATGACCTTGCTAGCTTAGCCTCTGCAAAGCCTTCAGTGGACTCCCTTGTTCGGACCAGAGCATGTGGTGCTGGGAGACCCCTGTAACCTGTAAGTCAAGGGGGATACACACCTGGAGTCTGCTGGCCCTCGGGAGCTGCTGAATGACAACTGTTACATGGGATCCAACAAGAAGGTGGAACCCAGAGGCATGAAGAAGAGGAGACTATTTGAATTGGAAGCTCTAAGAGATAGGGGGCCCTGGGAGGACAAAACGAAACCACTCCACATATGAATCCCACTAGATCAGATGCCTTCAAAGCCTGTTTACCCTTCAGATCTGCGGAACCAAGGTCTCTGCCATCCCTTCCCTGCACGTAGCACCTGACCCATCCCATTCCTGGCTTCCCACTCAATGCTGAGACTTGGAGGCTCAGCACACTTGCGCATGCAAGTCCCCCTCCAAGAGAGTTTAATAATTTTTTTAAGATTTATTTATTTGAGGGGCTGGCATGATGGTTCAACTGGCTAATCCTCCACCTACAAGTACCAGCATCGTGTGTGGGTACCAGTTCATATCCTGGCTGCTCTACGTCCCATCCAGCTCTCTGCTTTTGGCCTAAGAAAGCAGTAAAGGATGGCTCAAAGCCTTGGGACCCTGAACCCATGTGGAAGACCAAGAAGAAGCTCCTGGCTTTGGATTAGCTCAGCTCCAGCCATTGCAGCCAGCTAGGGAAAGAACCAGTGGATGGAATATCTTTCTCAGTCTCTTCTTCTCTCTGAAAATCTAGCTTTTCACTGTAAGTCAGGCCTTTATTTGAAATGAAGCATTAACAGAAAAGACAGAGCTCTTCCATCTGGTGGTCACAATAGCCAGGTTTGGGCCAGGAGTTTCTTCCAGATCTCCTGTAGGGATGCAGGAATCCAAGTATTCAAGTTGTCTTTTACTGCTTTCCCAGGCACATTAACAGGGAGTTGCGTCAGAAGTGGAGCATCAAGGAATATGTATCACAAATGGTTGCTTAACTGTGCAGTGCCACAACACTGATCCCCTGAGTATAACAGTTTCTAATATGAAAAAAAATCTTAACAAAATAAAACAAGCTTCTTCCCCAATTCTCGAGAGGATTGGTGCTATTTCTTGGAGCTGTGTTCACCTACATCTTAAACTCAAGCTTAGAACTAACAGAGAAGGAGGAAGCTGGGGCAGTGCAGACAGGGTGTGACTGGAGCAGAGCACTAAGCCCTTTCTTAGCTCCAGGCGTCAGTAAATCCCAGCTTGGGAACACTCAGAATGACAGCTGCACTAGATGTGTCCCTGAGCAGGTGTCTGCCATCCTCAGGGCACATGGAGCCCAGCATTCTCCTCCAGGGTCTAGAGAAACATTTTCTAGTGTTGGGGACACAGTGCTAATTGGGGACACAGTGCTAGTTGGGTTCCATGTCCATTGAGGGCACTGGATGTGAAAAATCACCCAGTTGGTTTCCTACTGGGCCCCGCAGAGACTGATGAGACCCACAGACCACACTGGGTGGGGCAGGTGGTTGGGTGCATCTGCTGATAAACGTTTAACTCACATGTCTGATGTTTCTGTTGTCTCAGGTAGCAAGTGCCCTATCAGAACCAGCACCCTAGTACATGCCAGTGGTGTTCATCAGAGCCTGCCTATCCAGCCTGTCTTGGCCTATGGAAAGCCAGGTCCTACAGGAGGGGACTGGAACTCCTCTTGCTGTCCCCAGGCAGATGAGTTGAGTGGTGTCTTATCTGCTGAAGGGACCCCTTGCTTGGGCTCCTCTGCCAAGTCAGCTTCCTTAGAGCCTGTGGAAGGTACATACTGAATTCCTTCCAAACGCATTCCCCATATGGGCAGCTGTTGTGCACCCATCCATATTGGTGTATGCAGCTGGGCTGTTTGGCATCCCTGATGAAGGTGGTGGCTCTCGAGGCTGCCCTTGAGACAGGGAATCAGCTCATTACCCAAGATCTGCTCTGAAGGCGGCCAAGGGGCAGCAAGATCGTGCTGAGAACAGGGCCTAGCTTGGTGAGGAAGAGTAGGCCCCAGCCAGGTGCCTGGCTCTGAGCAAGGGTCCTTGGCACTTGTGAGGGGTGCCCAGTAGGCCCCTTTCCTGGCAGGTGGGTGGGGTGAGGCTGTTGCCTCATGTCGTCAGCATAGCTGCAGCAGCTACTAGCTGATTACCTCAGGTAATTTCAGCATGCACGTCCTTGGGTTTTATGAATATAGAGAGATCTGGCCTGACGGAGAAAGGACTCTTCCATCAGAATGTGCCAGGCCTTCTCCCTAAAGACACAGAGCAGGACTCGTGTTACAAGCTAAGGCTTGGAGTTGTGCTCTTGGTGACTAATGGTTTGGGAGGAGACTAATGGTCATGAGAAAGAGGCCCTGACTGGTCCCTGGGGAAGGATTCTGTCTCACTGTAGAAATCTTAGGCGTGCACAATCCTGCATCCTGCTCCCTCCACAGGGATCTATCAAGTGCCTGTTTTGGACACTGTTCTGATCCTTGTTCTTATAGAGTGAGAATGTACAGGGATGAGGGGAGAAGGTGCGCATGGGTCTCACACTGCCTGCCCACTATTGACCGTGAGCTAGCAGGAGAAGGAAGGCAGAGCCAGGAAGCTGGAGCAAGCCCCAGGGGCCTGCAGGCTCCAGTACTGTGTGTGCTGGCCAGAGGTATCTGAAAAGACACCTGGGAGAGGGGAGCAGGCAGCCTGTGAGGGCTTGGAAGGAACTGGAGATCAAGGTAGCAGCAGGTGCATAGACTGATGGGAGTTGGCTCAGCAGCTTTGAGGGCATGAGAGACCCTGCGGTGGAGTGAGGGAGGAGGAGGATGGCAGGAAAGTGCTGGGGTCTGAGAGGCTGTGGGCTGCAGTCAGGAAGGGTCTTCTGACCCTGAGGACAATGTTCACCCTTCAACTCCCCAGAGAGCTGATCGCTGTTAGGGATAGTAGGTAAAATACTGTCTGCTGTATCCCTTTAAAGACATTTTTGCTATAGTCTCAGAGTTGCCTTACCGTCCTCACCTTCTAGTTAAAAAAAAAAAAAAAACCAAAACAGCTGAGTGAAACTCCTTAAGCATTTGCCAAATCAAAGGATTGTTCCTGCTAAGGGCTGTGGTTGCAGATTCCTGCAGAAAGGCAGGAGGTGGCTGCAAGTCCCTGCCTGGATGAGTCAAAGGACACCTCGTTTTGTCCCAGCTACACTTGCTGAGGAAACACCTCCCTCCTTCCCACGCCTCCCACTCCCCTAATGGAGCTAGTGGATGGGGTTTAATGAGTCCTGGAGCTCAGCTAAGGTGTCCTTTGTCCTGTTTATAGCCTCACTCAGTGCACCCTAGGTCGTTGGCAGCTCACAGGGCTGAGCCATATGGCTGCAGAGCTCTGTCACCCGCCAATGCTGAGCCGCTGGGCACGAGGAACTGGGGCAGCACTATCTTCCCTTTCCAGGGTGTGGAGCTGACCATTAGTTGGTTCTCTTCCTGCCACACATTGAAGAGCAGAAACATGGGTGCCTCTCTCAAACCGTTTGGGCAAGCAAGATGGACAGCTGCCCAGGTGCTCTTCAAATGAGAGTTGCTTCTCTGCGTTCCAGGAGGCAGTGGTGCTCTCGCTTTGTAGTCAGACTCAGGATTTTAGATCATTGGTGTGGATGGAGATTTTGCTGCTCGCTGGGTGGATTATGTCAGGGCCTGAGCACTGTGTATTGTTCAGGGGAAAATGAGTGGTCTTGGGAACCTTCTCAGGCACCTGCTGGGTAGGGAAGGGGAAGCCAAGTCTGGCTCCATTACCTTCACAGCTTTCTATGACCCACCCCGCAAGCTCACCTCAGCTTTCCCTAGCAGTTGGTGGAATCAGCAGCCACACCTGCTTCTCCTTCCTGCCCTGCACCTCCTAACTGTGGTACCTTCCAGCTTGGGGCTTAGCTTCCCAGCTGTCTAGAAGGTGTGGTTGACCCTGTAGATTGTGTCTGGTGTGACTCCTGCATCCAGAAAAAGTGAGTGCAATCCTGATTACTTGCCAAGCTAACTTAAAGGTCCTCATGAAGACACTGAGTGGGGAACTAAAATTACAGCGATTAGATATACTTCAGGAATGTTTCCCCTTCATGTTAAATGCTTCTGAATTGAAGTGTCTGATTAAACAAGCTCATCAAGTAATTCAATTTGTGCATGTATTCTAATATTTGAACCAACTATGAAGCATTAATAAAAATGCCTTTATGGGACCCTTCCTTCTTTGTTGAGGCAAGTGTTGGCTCCTTAACTGGGTTCTGCAGGCCCTAGTGTCAATGCCCCTGGCATTTGCAATGCTGGTGGCCTGCTAGTCTCAAAGACTGCGACACCCTGCAGTAATGTCCTTTTGTCCAGGGACCAGGGAGTCTGGTCCAGGCTGAGCAGGTGGCCAAGAAGCAATGCAAACTGATGAAGCCTCAAACAGATGCTGCGTTGCAGGATGCTGTATGACTGTGCACCCTTGCAAGATAGGAGGCCTTCATGGAGGAGTGATAGTGGAGCCAGTGCTGGGAAGAAATGAATCTGCACACAATGGAATCTTCCTGGTGTGGAGGTACTTGGTAAGGCAGCTAAGACACCACTTAGGATACCTGCCAGCCATATGGTGTGTGCCTGGGTTTGAGTCCCAGCCCTGTTCCACTTCTGGCTTCCTGTTACTGTGTACCCTGGGAGATAGCAGATGGTGGGTCTCTGCTACCCACTTGAAGCACCTTAGAATGAGTTCCCAGCTCTGGCCAAGACACAACCATTGTAGCCATTTGAGGAAAGAACCACTGGCTGGGAGATTGATTCTGTCCCTCTGCCTTTCAAATAAACATTCTGGAGAACTGGGTTGCTTCTAAAGCCTGGCAGGAGGCACAAGGGAAGGACAGGAGCTGCAGGGTGGGCAGAGACCAGGTGAGAAACTGGGCCTGGGGGACCTTGGGAGTGTCAAGGGAAGCGATCAAGTTTATCCCAAGAATCAGGAGCAGCTGTGCAGTCTGCCCGTACTCCTGGGACTTGCCTGGCTGCAGCTGAGTGTCATTCAGCATCATGGAGAAGATTTCCCCTCCCTGTGTGTGTATGTTTGACTCTACCTACGATGCCGCCTCCCACCGCAGCCTGAAGCAGCCAGCTGACCTCCCTCTCCCTTGGCAGTCTCCTGGGCTTCCATGCTGACTGTGGTCACCTCCTTATTGTGGTTCTCAGCCACGCATAATGTCACCCTTAGGGACTAGAAAAGTCCTGATTGTCTCAAATAGGTAGGAGCCAGCTCTGCCAGGGGAGCTCTCATGCAGTGCCCATTCTGTCCCCTGCCCTCATCACCAAGTCCTCTCTTAGTGGCCACAAGACACAAAACACAAGGAGTAGTACATAGTGCAGCTTCTTATATGTGTAGTCCTCTGCTAGCCTCATCTGTGTCCCACCACCCCATAGGAGAACCACCACCCTTTCACCTGCCTCTCCATACAAAGGGGCCCTGACCCTGTCCACTTATTTGTGGGGTAAGGGTCAGGATTCCCAGAGCAGCAACGGGATCACCCAGACACTCATCAGAGCGTCTGTGTTGTAACTTGCAACTTGCAGCAGCACAGCCGCAGGTGGCATCACTAGACAAGCCAAGTGCTGCTGAGTGTAGAGCGTGGAGGGAGCCACTGTTCAGGCCACTTCTACATTACAGAGGAGAACTGTCCAGGAAGGTGATTTGGGGCACTGGGTGGCATGGACAGGATTAGCAGTGGGAGTTGTGTGTGTAACCCCCAACCCCAGCAGTGTTGTGTGTCTTGTTTCTCTCCCTAAGACTGTGGAGGGCAAACTGCTGTCAAGACCACCTGCAATGCCTAAAGGAGAGCCAGGGCACCTGAGGTCCAAAGGCAGGTAGGGACCGTGGTATGGCTCCTGGACCCAGCCTTGGGTCTCCAGATGCAGTGCTTAGCCAAGGGAGGCTGTGAGTATGCATTCAGCTGTAGGGGTCTTCAGCTCCTCCTGTGAAGCCAGGAGAGGAAGGGGAGATGGTGTTTAAATTGAAATCCATACCTCTAAGTTACCAGCCTCTCTGGGGCCTCCCTTCCTGCTTTTCTGCCAAAGCAAAGTCTCTGCAACGTGTTTCCTCTTGGCATGCAGGTGGCTCCCCAGGACATTGCCAGGTCTTCTGTCATCGCCATGCTGGTGTCTCCCAGGCTGTGTTCCCAGTGGTACAGCAGCTAAACCCTGTGATTCCAGGCACCTACTGGCCATCACACACTGTGCTTTGGCCAAGGGTAGCCTTACCCAGAGGCTTTTCTCTGCAGGCAGGAAGAGTCCTCAGGAAGATGGCTCAATCCAAGCCTTGATCCTCGGAGCCAGGTTGCTCCTTCTGTCTATCAGAAAACCTTGGCAGTTGAGAGTGGGAAAGCTGGTCAGGCAGGCAAGCACTAGGAGCCTGTTGTAGGCACCCATCTGCCTTTTGCTACACCTAGTGTGGAGGTCACCTCATTTAGTACAGAGAACAGCCCTGTGAGGTGAGCATCAGTCCTGTGCTGAGGGGACATGTTCATCCTCTCACAGCTGTCCCTCATCTGTGTCACAAAGATGAAATGATTACGTCAGGAAGAACGCATCTGTGAGGTTCTAAAGGCAAAGAAGGATTGATTGCAACTTAACCCTCAGGGGATAAAAAGAGAAACCTAACCTTTCCCTTTCTCTCTTATACCAATAGTTTCTAATTCTATAGGTTAGTTCTAAATTGGTACATTTTAAAAATCCATACAAAAAAAATCCATAGCAAAAAAATTTTTAAATCCTGCCTTACGGTGTTTTTTTTCTTTTTCTTCAGAAAAGCCAGGGTTTCTAAAAAATATATATATGCATGTATTTATTTTTATTGGAAAGGCAGATGGACAGAGAGGAAGATCTTCCGTCCGATGATTCACTCCCCAAGTGACCGCAACGGCTGGTGCTGCACCGATCTGAAGCCAGGAGCCTGGAATTCCTCCAGGTTTCCCACTTGGGTGCAGGAACCCAAGGCTTTGGGCCATCCTCAGCTGCTTTCCCAAGCAGGAGCTGGATGGGAAGTGGAGCTGCCGGGATTAGAACCAGCGCCCATATGGGATCCTGGCACATTCAAGGCGAGGACTTTTGCTGCTAGGCGACCACGCCAGGCCCAGGCTTTTTCTTTTGTTAGTGTTTTCTTTCATGCACTTTTTTTCTGGTAACATTTTGTGGGGTTACATTAGCAGTGTTGTCTGAAGCCAAATGCTGGATCGAGTGGAGTATGAGCAAAAGCCTTTGTCCCTTGGCCATACTTCCGTGTGTCGTCATCCACTTCCTTGTCCGTTTGACCATGAAGCTGCAGTAGGGAAGGCATAGGCAAGAAGATACAAGACCAGGGATAGTCACCTATTGTGAATTTCAGGTGGAATTTGGCAGGTCAGGCAAGCAAACATAGTGCAGGTGCCTGGTCCCTCTTTCAGGTCCTCAGCCAGGTGTGAGTGCACAGTGGACTTCCTGTGAGGTCATGGGCGCATGAGGTGACTGTGCATGAGACGACACTCACCTTGTCTTCACGACAAGACGACACTGTCTTGTCTTCACGGGGCTTTTCTTTGAGTGTGCCTTCTTCCCTGCAGAATGAGAGCAGCTTTGGGAAAAGGTCTTTCATGCCTACCAAGGAGCCCCCTGCCTTCCCCATTATCCCTGGGGAGATATTCCTCCCTGATGTTCTCTCTCTCTTCCAGCGTGTAGCAGATCTAGAGCAAGAAAACGCTCTCTTGAAAGATGAGAAAGAACAGCTTAACAACCAGATCCTGGGCCGGTCTAAAGGTCAGTGTCAGAACCCTCATGGTCCGTGTTTGTGTCGGGCAGGGGGCCGGGGGAAGTGTGGGTTCTGATTGGTGCTTTCTTGCTGGTTTTCCCCTGAAGACTCCCAGCAAGTGGGTAGTTAAGATGCTGGGTGGGAAATGCGTCTTGGAAAGGAGCAGTGGAAAGAAGAGGTCAGCTCTGAGGTCCAGCCGTGATGTGCAGTTGTAAAATTTAATAAGAGGAGACACGAGCATTGTAGACAGTAAGACAAGGAGGTGGAAGGGGATGAGGGTTCGGGGCAGCCTGTGCTTAGAGCATAACCCCACCAGGTGCTTCCTGTGGCCTCAAGGCAAAGTCTCGTGACACAGGAGTGCAGGCCCTAGAGGGCTTGTGTGGGGAGTGAGGTGCCTATTGCGGTCCAAGTGCTCCAGACAGCAAGCACACAGCAAGCACTCGGGAACCATCAGCACTGCCATTTCTGCACATGCCTTTTCCATGCATGGTTTCCACCATGACCAGGTGGGCGTTGAGGATGTGTGCTAGAGGGCCTTGAATTGGGTTCTGGTTCAACCCTCCGCTGGCATCCCCCAGGTGCCATTGGCTGCAAAAGGCCAATGCCCATGCTTGGACCCCGGTGCTCGCCCCGGCCACTAGCACCCCAGAGAGGTCGCTCATCTGTGCATCCCTCACCCATGTCACCAGGGGGAGAAACTCATGACTTCACTTTCCCACCCAGCCTAGAATGTAGATTGTTTCTAAATTTTAGAAACATGTTGCTTTGCAGTCATGTAACTAAGAAGTTTTGTCTGGCACCCATCTGTGTGGTCTGTAGGCAATCCTCTAACCTGAGCTTTAGGCCTGATCTTAAATCTTTCTGTACCCCCAGTACCTGCAGCAGTGCTGTCTGTAGCCATGAAACTGATAAAGGCTGACTTATCTGCCCAGCCAGGAGTAGAGCAGATACTTCTGCCAGGCTGGAGGGAAGAGCCACCCTCACCCGGGTCTCTGCAGGGGATGGGGTGGGTGGACACGATTGCATGAATAAGCCTCATGATGAGCTGCTGGCGACAGCTTGGTGCCCGGACATAACCTAGGGAACATGGCTCAACACCCCTGCACCTGACTACAGTATGGTCCTTTACAGATGAATCTGCCCAGAGCTCCATGAAGGAGAATCTGATGAAGAAGGAGCTGGAGGAGGAACGGTCCCGGTACCAGAACCTGGTGAAGGAGTACTCCCGACTGGAGCAGAAATACGACAACCTGCGAGACGAGATGGCCACTCTGAAGGCAAGGAGCCCAGTCCCACTGCCCTGCCCACCTTCTTGACTCTCACCTGTGTGCCCTGCCAGCTGTTGGCACAGGGTACCAAGCTGATATATGTACCCTGCTGGCCACTGCTGTTCTTGCTTCTGCTGTGGCAAGGAGCTGGCAGGACTGCATGATGCTGAGTTTGCATATAGACTCTAGATAAGAGCTGAGGGCAGATTCTACCTGTGTGTGTTGTCCATACTGTTTCCTGTCCTGGGAGCCAGCAGTGATGTAGCTGGAGAATTCTATCCTCAGCTTCCCCTTTTGTGTGGCACAAAGGCTCCCGAGGGCCTGAATACATCCATGGGTCCCTGCGAAGCACGGGGTGGACAGAGACACTTCATGACTTTTGGGATTTGCCATTTTCTCTGCAACCCCATGACCCCACCTCAGGTTCCCTCCAGAAATGCATACTCCCGTGTTGCATAGAAATTGGGAAGAAAAATGGTATAGGAATGCACACAGAAATCTAAAATTATCCACCCAAGCTCAACTTCTAATTGGAAAGACAAACCAGACTTCCCAAAGACATTTGTACATGACCCATGTGCATGGGACCTCACTGTTCTGTGGCTCTTCCCTATGTGGGGCTGGCAGAGTGCAGGTGCAGGGAGGGCCCGTGGGAGACAGACCAGTGCCAGGAGGCTCAAGGAGAGACCAGGGACAGGGCTGCCTTGCTGCAAGTTTTGAGGGCGAGACCCGGGACAAAGAGTCATTCCCCACTGGACTTTTCTGAAAAATTAGCCAAAGGCACAGATCTCACTAAGAGACAAGAACTCGGACCCCACTGTGGAGCCCTGTTCCCTCCTGACTGCCCTGTTGGTTAGCAGGTGTGAGGCTTTCTGGCATTAGCTCTACTTATCCATGTCCCCAGAAGCAGTGATGCCTGTTCTTGTTGGCAAATGAGAAAGGAGGCCAAGTGCCAGTGCCTGCAGCTCGTGCATTCAGTCCTCAGGAACTTCACTTATGAGCCATCGTGCATTTTTGTTTCAACAGCAAACCCCAGGCCACAGGCGGAATCCGTCAAACCAAAGTAGCTTAGAATCCGACTCCAATTACCCCTCCATCTCCACATCTGAGGTCGGAGACGCCGAGGATGCCCTCCAGCAGGTGGAGGTGAGTCGCTCAGGCTCCTGGCTGCTGGGCCACCAAGAACGAGTGGGGTTGCATACCCCAGGTGGGGCTGCCCAGCCACATTGCACTGACCTGTGGATGGTGGCCAGGGGCCCAGATGCCCATCCTGGAGAAAGGCTCGCTTGGGCTGCAGTGGGTTTACCTGGGTGGTGCTTGGGAATCAGCATTTCCAATGTGAAGTGATGCATGCCACTGCTCTCTTTCTGTGCTGTCCAGAGTGGGGGTGGGTAGGACACACACAGTTCCTGGCTCCTCCCACAAGCCCCAGAAACCCACACAGACTGGTGGAATGGGAGGGATGAACTCAGTCATTAAAACAAATGCAGCTCAACACCACCATCTAGAGTCACAACACATATGGTGATATTGACAAATGTGCAGGAGGACCCCTCCCACAAGACCTAGAAACTGATAAAACCCAGAGACCACTGCCCCCTCACGCCTGCCATGCTGAGGGCCTGTATCTGTCAGTGTAGCCTCTTAGACACCCTGATTAATGGGACCCCTCAATGGACTTTGTGGTCTTTGTGTAACTCTGTCAGAGGCCCCTCAGTGCACCTGTAGCATTTGGAAGAACTCCTAAGCACACAGACTGCATGTAAAGTACCTAGAGATGGCCATGAGGTTGAAGTGATTTGAAACAACTGTTTTCAAAGTTTTTGGTGTTCTGAGAAACAGAGAGGAGAGTGCCTGTCTTTTCTACCTGTTGGTTTGCTCCGCAAATGCCTCAGTGGCTGAGTTGGGTTGGGCTGTGTTGGGCCAAAGCTGCAGGCCAGAAACTCCTTTTCCCACATGGGGAACAGGAACCCAACATCTTAACCCATCACCTGCTGCTGGTACCTAGGTACTTCCAATACAGGATGCCTGTGTCTCAGCTGCCAGGCAAGACACCCACCCTACAAGTGTGTTCTGAGCATGTGTCTGTGCCAGACACTACTGCTAAATGTAGGACAGCTAAGGTAACCAAGCCAGACAAGGTCCTTCCCTCAGCACACTTCCTCAGTGGAACATCAGACAGTGAGCTGTTAGCAAACAAAATGTGTGATTAGACTGCAGAGGTACTGCTGCATGTTCAAAAGCAAGAGGATGATGAGTGATGGGGTAGAGGGCTAGAAAAGGAGGTCCCAGGAGCAAGGGTCTTCTTGCAGTCACACAGTTGTGTGTGGCTGCTTGCTCTATGCTCTTACTCTGTGAGGCCTGTGGATTCACTATTGTAGCCTCTATAGTCTAGGTCCCTGTCTAGTTCTCATTGTATGTGAACTCCAACCGTGCCACCTTTGGTTGGCCTATGTGACTGCCTACACACACAGACATGAGCACTTGCCTCACGAGTTCTTCAAGGAAGTCGACTGCTTTAAAGCCAGCTAAAGACTAAATTCGAGCTGACAGAGCCGAGCTATATTATCACAGAGGGGCGTACACTGACTTAAAATCCACACATGTGTGCTCAGAGTGCCTGCATACAGGCAGGTACACTCATGGGTCCTGTCACCCCTGCACTTTGCAGAACCCTGGAGATCACACCCAGGCATGAACCTGAGGGAGAAAACAGTCTTCTGGGAAATTCCTGGTCTGTTGGATAGATGGATGCTGTGGCCGGGCAGGTGCAGGTTCTGTTTCGAGATGCAGTTAAGTCAGGCTGGTGGGCATAGGGGAGGGCATCTGACAGCTTGTATCCAGTGCTGGGCAGCCACATCAGTTCTTCATCAGGAAATGTTATGTCCTGACTCACAATTTCTCAAGTGCTAAATGTAGGACAATTAAGGTGACCAAGCCAAACAAGGTCCTTGCCCTCAGCACACTTCCTCGATGGAGCGCTTTCCAGAATTAAGTTCTCTTAACGTCCAAAGAAAGGAGCTGTGTCCATATCCATTTGTTCTCAGAATCTATTATGAGTCACTTGAAGTGGCTGCCACAGGAGGCATACAGAATGGCTGAGGCTCCAATGTTGTCTGACAGACGGCAAGCTTGGAACACTGCTTTTAACATGAGACGTGCTGGTTGGCTGGTGCTGGCATTGCACTGGAGACATGGATTGATGTTCAGAAAGACAGCAGGAGACAGTTTGGCTGATGGCGCCAAGTGTGCCTGTTGTGTGCCTTAAAACCTCCTTGTGCCTGCCCCTATCTGTCATTGAAGGAGATTGGCCTGGAGAAGGCAGCCATGGACATGACGGTCTTCCTGAAGCTGCAGAAGAGAGTGCGGGAGCTGGAGCACGAGCGGAAGAAGCTGCAGGTGCAGCTGGAGAAGAGAGAGCAGCAGGACAGCAGAAAGGTCCAGGTGTGCAGAGGGACTGCAGTGCCCTTAGGGGTTGAGGCGGGAGAATGGCCCATCCGGTGCTTGCCAGGGTTCAGGTGGCAGGTGTGACTACCTGGGCTCACGTGGTGCTGACTGGAAGAGGGCACCTTGTGTTGTCTAGGAGGGCTCCACACCACCAAACTGGGCAGGAGTGAGCTTCCATGCTGTTGCCAGAGTGGGGATTTTCCCAGGGAAGCCTGGCAAGAGAGAAGGGCTTGGTATCATCACCCACTTACAAAGAGAGCAACTCATGCCAGGAGGACTAGAGTGTATAAGAGTGTAAACATGGCAAAAGTCAGAGTTGAGCAGAGCCAACCTATTACCCTTTGGTAGGTGGACTCTGCCATAGGCTTAGCTTGGCCCATTGGACCATGCAGTGCCCTGCCTCCATCCAGATTGCTGTCAGCCTCCTGGGCCTTGGAAAAGAAATTTTTGAAACCTTAGTACTCCAGCAGTAGTCGCTGCAAATCAAGGACCTATTGGATGCCTGTGCTGTTTTCTGGTTCCTGGCTGGTGATAGGCATGGAAAATGTGTATCAGATGCAAAGATGGGGGAATGTAAGAAGTCCTCAGCCACTGAGGAATTTAGATTCATTTGGGATAAACAGACCTAGCACTGATGGAAATAGGAAACAATGTAGTGAGTACTTACATGCAGGCCAAGTGGAGTGCAGACCCAGGGACTGTGGGAATAGGGAGTGCCTGTTGCTTTGGCGGTGAGGAGATAAGGACCAGTTCTCATTTCTCTGGAGAACGAAGACCACTTCTTGTGGGCTGCAGGCCAGTTCCAACGGGAGCTGACTGGTCGTGGGTCTGGCTGACGCTGTTGGCCGGGATTGCAGGAGTTCACACTGCAACCCCGGCTCAGTTTGCAGCATCCGTCTCACCTTTCCAGCCAGACGTGTGGCCCATGGTCTGCGCTGCTGCCAAAGGCTTGATTCTTTTCCAGAGCAGTAAGTGGGGAAAGAGATCTCACAGGTGGATTTCCATTTCTCAGGCGGGTTGTGTCCAGAGTGGGGAATAAAAGGGTCAGCTTTGTCCAGGACTCCTCCCTTGATCAGGGGAGCTGCCCTACCTGCCAGATGAGCACAGGTCCAATACAGCTGGCTCAACTTGCAGTGGGGCTTTATTCCCATATAAAACTCATCCCAGATCAAAAGCATGACAGGTCCAAAGTGCAATGAGCTTGGGCTGAGCAGCCAGCCTCCCAGCTCAGCAGCACAACCCACTGGAGGCTGTGGGTCACTTTCCCTCGTGATGCTGCCCTCCCACTCTCCAGGAGTGTAGTGCTGTGTGTCCCTGGCCCAAGAGCAGGACAGAATCGCAGGGCAGTCCCTATTGTATATATACCAGTTTCACACCGTCACAGAGTTGAACCTTCCTAAGTTGAGAATGATCTATGTAAAGCCACCCAGGCAATGTCAAGCATAATCAACCCACCCAGCCACATCCCGGATCCCCCATCACTGAAAGGGCCAGATAATTTTGTAATCTTGGGTTAGAAACTTCTCAGTGCCAAATCTTCGGTGCCAGTTTCCTTGGAAAATAATCATTAAGTGAAAGAAGAGTAGTAGGGCCTCAGTGCTGTCACAGATAGAGCTTCTCTAAGCCGAATACCCTGGTTGATAGGAGAGTACAGACTGCCTCAGCAGCATTCTGTGCTTTTTGAGGTCAAGTTCTTGGAGCCACCCTTTGTCCCAAGAGGAATTTGGAGCTATTTGACTCTTTATCCTAGAGAGAGATGGCCCTGGGCCTCACTCTGAGGAGTAACCAGGAAATCTGAACTGTACCATCCACATGGGGGTGACTGGGCTGCCACAAGAGCCAGCCTCTGTGATGGCCACCAGCTACCAGTGTGTCTAACTGCCCTCCTTCTCCCCGTCTGTCTCATTCTGTTTCCTCAGGCCCAGCAAAGCCACCTTGGCTCCCAGTGTGATTCCAAGGGGCTATTCACTCAGAAATGTGTCTGCCAGGCTATCTTAAAATGGCGCCTGGAGCTAGTGCAAGTGGCCTCTGTGGTCGTGGGGGCAAATCCGTGCCATGTCAAACACAAGGGCAGACTTCTGCCTGGGGCAGCATTGCCTTCTACCACAATTGATGGCCGGACATGGGACGGAGAGTGGTAGCTTGGAGATCATCTTTCCCCAGCTTGCAGGCCTGGAAGCATGCAGCAAATGGAAGTGATCTTCACTTGGAAAAAGTGGTGGAAAATGTGCAGCCTCCCATCACCCCCATCTGTCAACCCCAGGCCCTCCTAATGCTCCCACAGCTGATGGCAGCCATACCTGGACCTCAGGGTCATCTTACTTGGGGCTTTCTCAGTTCTCAGCCCTTCTGCTTCAGAGGACCATCACTCAGTGACCGATTCGTGAACCTGTGTACATCCGATAGCAATCCTGTAATTACAGGAACCCTTGGCTCAGCTGACTCCTAATGGGTGTTATTCCAGCCCTTCCCAGCCACAGCCACCAGCTTTAGCATGCACCAGCTGTCCTATCACTTGTTGTAATGCCACAAAGGGAATAGGCCTCTAAGCACAAGCGATTAGAGTTGAGACTGTAGAGGAGCACACCCCACCCCACCCCCAGGTGTACTTAAGCCCAGCTCACAAGCCACAGAGGAGGTGTGAGTGTCCTGTGGCTGCCCAAGCCAAGTGCTGCAGACTGGATGGCTTTGAACAGCGAGAAGGTACCGTGAATTGTGGAGGTCACAAATCCAGGTGTTGACACGGCCGTGGGGTCTCGGTCGCTCCCAGAGAGAGTCTGTTCCATGCCTTTCTCTTTGCTGCTGATATTGCTGGTGGTCCTTGGGGTCTGGGCCTTGCTGTTGCCCCCCTCCAGCCTCTGCCTCATCTTCATATGGCCGTCTCCCCTGTGTGTGCATCTGGCCATCTTATAAGGGGTTCAGGCATCCTGGATAGTTGTTTACCATAATGAGCTCATCCACAAGAGCCTGGTTGCAAATCTGGTCAGAGTTTCTGTCAACCAGGAGTTAGGACTTCAGCGCATTTTGCTTTTAGGGAAGGAAAGCAAGATTCAACCTCTGACAGATGTCACCCATTTTCCACCTGTGTGTGCCTGGGGGCAAAATGAGATCAAGTAAGGAGAGCTAGGGTGGGAGGGGGCTGTTTCTGAGATACTTGGTGATAGCCAGATGCAGAGCTGCCTATCAAAGTGGGGAGGAACTGCACTTGTGGAAAGCAGGGGTGCAAACACTTAAGCGTTTGCAGAATGAACAAGCCTGACCCTGGCTGATTGCAGACACTTTGCTCGGCGCTCACCTGTGACACCTTTCTCCCTCCCCCACCCCATCTGTGCAGGCAGAGCAACCAAAGAATGACTTGGATTTGGACCAGGATGCAGATCTAGCCTACAACAGTCTGAAGGTGAGACTCGTGCTGCATGCCCTCCTCCCTGCTATATATAGCACAAAGCACAAAGCTAGTGTCAGGAGACAAGGTCCCACCTCCAGTGTGCCCACCAGCAGGGCCACAAACAGACCACTTCCCCTTTTCACCCTTTCACAAGGAAGGAACAATTCGTGTTGGCTCTATAGGATAATGGTGCATGCTTTTCCACCTGATGACAGTGTTAGTGAAAATGTGACCATGGGGGGTAAAATCACTCTGGGAAAAAAAAAAAACACAGAATTTGCATGGGCAGGTGTAAGGTGGGGGCATCTCCTGATGTACCAAGTGCTGGCCCCCCAAAGGAGATGGACCAGAGGGGGATGGTGGAGAGTCTCGGGTTGAAAAACAGGCCCATGGCAGGGAGGAGAGGGTCAGAACAGCTCCACCCCCTTGCTCCCGAAACTTTGGCGATGGGGAAAATTTCCTAACACGATTGTGTTAGATTCCTGAGCCGATTTCTAAGCACTGAAAATCCTCTCAATGCTCTCAATATTGATAATATTGCTATGATCAATAATGCTGTGAAGAGACTTCGAGAGAGACCAGGTCATCTCCTAAGTAGCCCCTGGCAGTCCTTTGGGGGCTGAGCAGGGTCACTGCAGGGATCGCTCTTGTGGCTGGACTGTGGGACAGAGCCAGTTCCCAGCCTCCTCTCACCATATGGACCCAGTGAGTCTTACTGGTTTGCAATGGGAAGATGTCAGGACTGTGGGCTAGAGAACAGTGGACAGAATGGTGCTCCTCCATTAGCAACATTCGCACATCCTTCCCCTCAAGGCTGTGCTCCACGTGATGGTTGCCTTTATGGGCTGCTTTCCGGAGACATACTCAAGTTCTAAACAGACCACATCCCTATAAGGAACTACATGTATCACATGACTCAAAAACTGCATCAAATCCAGAGAAGGCGAAATATACACGTTTTTAAAAAGAAGATAATGATAGCCACTTGTGCTGGCTGCCATGCAGCCAGCTGCCTGTCCCATGTCTGTCTGGTCTGGCCACTTGATAAGAGGAACCTTGGTGACTGAAAAGGCATCCCAGGAGCTTGGGGGTGGGACACGGTGCTGTGATCCTCTGCTCACCCTCCCAGAGAGACCTCCAGCCTGCCCAGTTGGAACTTCTGCTGCGTGGAAGAAGGCTGTTTTCAGCTAGCCCTGTAGGTGGGGCAGGGGAGGCCCCCTTACCCTGGAGACAGCCCCGCAGGACGGCTGCTGGGAGTGACACAGGTGTGGCCCCTGTGCTATCTTCCAGAGGCAGGAGCTGGAGTCAGAGAACAAGAGGCTGAAGAATGACCTGAACGAGCTGAGGAAAGCCGTGGCAGACCACGCCGCCCAGGACAACTCCACACGCAGCTCCCCTGATGGTTATAGCCTCCTGCTGAACCAGCTCAGGCTGGCCAACGAGGAGTTGGAGGTGCGCAAGGAGGAGGTGCTCATCCTTAGGACGCAGATCGTGAGTGCCGACCAGCGCCGGCTGGCTGGCAGGAACTTGGTGAGGAGGCCGGGCAGGGGCGCCACTAGGGGATGGGTTTGTTTTTTTCTCATGCGGTTCCGTCCCCACTGAGGAGGAGAGCAGACTCTTCTTCTGGAGTTTCCTCTAAAGGCAGAGCAAGGGGCTGGCTGCTCTCTCAGCATGACCACTTCTGAGAGATGGTTCTAGAAGCTTCTGTGGTTAACAGGAAAGTATGCAAAAGAAGCCAAATGCAGAGTCAGAGAGAGATGCTGAGGTGGTCTTGTGAACCATCTGAAGTGGGCAGGGGAAGCAGGTTCAGCTCTCTGCCCTCTAGGGTGTCACTTCCGTGCTGTAAGTTCCTGATGTTCTCACCTTCTGGGGCAGTTTGTGGAGCCCCGGGGGGTAGGGAGGGGGGCAAAAGCCACCTCTGGCCATGGGCCCTGGGCACCTGAGGCTGGAGCAAGTGGGCAGTAATGAGCAGGTTTCCTCATGCTCTCTGCACTAGGGGCACATTTTCTTCTTCCACTGCTCTGCCCCTCTCCCAGGCCTTTCGAAATGGGCCTTCTGTAGTCCTGCCAGGGTTGACCTGCCATGACCTGGGCTGCTCCCAGCCTCCTGTCCCTTCCAAAACCTCTGTGTATGACACGTGTCACGGCAGCTGTTTGCACATTGAAGTCACTTACTCTTCATCGGGGGCCTTCCAGGAGCCCAACATTAATGCCAGAACAAGCTGGCCCAACAGCGAGAAGCATGTGGACCAGGAAGATGCCATTGAGGCCTATCACGGTGTCTGCCAGGCAAACAGGTAAGGCCTCTCACTAGATGCTACTGTGGGCCTGGCTCAGCCTGCTCCACTAAGACTTGTTTCCAGGCACTGACCATACATCCCGTGTTGAGGTTGGGGAAGGCAGCTGACAATTGCTGATAGTCTTAGGAAGACTTGGTGGGACCCACATCCCCTGAGAAGGATCAGGAAATGGAGCAGCCACGGGAAGGCAGAGGTGAAGGGACCAGCCAAGAATGACATTTCTCAAAGAGAGGAAGATGGCCTAAAGGGAGCCTGGCTAGCCATGGGAGCCTGCTCAGCAGCTGTTGGGGCCACACCGGGGCAGGCCGGCAGCCAGCACACAGAGGAGCCGCCCCCTGTCTTTCGGGGGAGAAGGCTGGCTGGGCACTGCCAAGGCAGGAAGGGAGCGTCTCACCTCTCATGCAGTGCTGAATAGGGTTTCCTAGGTTGTCCTTCCAACCACCATGTCTGGTGCCTCCTCAGAGGTGAGCCAAGCAAGGGTTAAGGCTGGAGAGGGAGGCGGACAGGCAGCCAGGCCAGGGCTGCATGGCAGAATGGAGAGCCTGGACACAAGCCTGCTGCCCACTGACTGTTCCATGAGTGACTCAGTTTCTTCCTGTTTGTTTTGGGGGGCAGTTGTAGCAGGACAGGCACACCTCCCCGCTCCAGGACACCCCTCCGGGCAGTACTGCTTCCCTGCTGCTCTCTAACTTCCCCTGCCCCTCTGAGCATCCTTTGACAACACAGCAGGCCTCTGCCCTGGCCACTTCAGCCAGTGTTGGTTCAGAACCGCTGAACATAGCCGACACTTGTGAAAAGCATCACTAGGTGGCGCTGTGTGCGTCGGCTGCAGCTTTTAGCACAGCTCCCCAGTGCTACCGTTCCCACAGTTTCTGATCCAGTCCCACCTACGGCATTGAGGACACAGATTCCACCCGGGATAGGGGTGGGGACAGCACCCAGTTGAGTCCAGGAAGAACCCTGGAGGCCAGGCCCTGTATTGATAGTCAGAGGGTGGAACTGTTGCTGCAAGCGGGCCCCAGCAGGAAACCAAGAGTATCTCAAGAAGTAATTCTCACTGAAGGAGGGGGAGAGAGAATGAGGGTGACTTTTACAGGTGAAACTGGAGCCAGGATTCAGTGCTTTTAAATTAGCTCAAGTTGAAGAAGCGAAATGAATAGCAGAGAAGGACACAGGTGAGCTGAAAGTGAAAAGAACACAGCCAGTGGCAGTGGCCAAGCTGCAGGCCCTCCCTGTCTGGGATCCAGCCCCAGCTTAGATTTTCCCAGGGGCTGCTCAATCATTGGATTTGTCTTGCTTTCAGAGCGATAAAGATGGGGATGATAAAATAAAAATAGCTTTTATTATAGCTTAAAATAACTCCACTTGCTGCAGATCCAGCATACAGTAGGAAACTAATGGCCTGAGTTAAAACAGAAAAGGAGCAGGGGCCTAGAGCGGAGAAATGACAGTGTGGGGGGGCATTGAGGAGATGTTACCCAGCCTTGTGATTTCCCTGGGCCTCCCTGTGTGGGCTGCCCAAGCTCCAGGGGCTTTGAAGACCAAGGGACAGTGGCCCTGCCCCTAGGCTCTAGGGAAGAAATGAAGCATTTATTTGGGTACAAACAGCCCCCCCCCCCTGTAATCTCAGGCTGGTGTTGTGGTATAGCAGGTTAAACCACTGTCTTCGAGCCAGGTATCCCATGCAGGAGCCAGGATTCCCAGCTGCTGATCCAGCTGTTTCCACCTCTGCCACCCACACAGGAGACCAGGGCAGAGTTCCAGGCTCCTGACTGTGGTCTGGCCCAGCCCTAGCTACAGAGTCCATTTGGGGGTGAACTGATCAATCTCTCCCTTCTATGTGTGTGTGTGTGTGTCTTTTTCACTCTGCCTTTCATATCAAGAGGTTCAAACTGGATCTGAAATCCAAGCATGGCTCAGGGCATGCATTCCCATGACCTTTGGGCAGGCCCCGTGTAAGTGAGCTTTACGCAAGAGCTCAGAGCCCTTTAGAATGTCACTGCAATCCATCCCCTCCCTGGGAAGACAGGTGAAGTTTCCAGGAATGCTCTGCAGTTTCTCACTGCTGTGTCTGTGGCTTCTCATGTTTTATATGGCAAGGGGAAAGAGAGACGAATCTTTGGAATAGGGCGCGGCACTGTGACTGCACACAGGGATGCCCCCTTTTGCAAAGAACTGGATTCCTATGGGCTGCAGGTGGCGCCCTGGATGGAGGAACCCCAAGACTCCTGCAAGATTGGGTTCCTCTTATCTGGGCACATAGGGTTCTTTAGAGCTGGCTGTTTTTTCATTTACTCATGTGCCCAGGCTACCCAATTCTCTGACTTCGCCTTTGGCCCTGATGCCTGGTGTGTTACAGAATGCAGAACTCTGGGCACTTCCCACCCTGGCTTATGATGGCTCCCAAGACCCTCACCTGTGACAGAGGGGGCAGCTAGAGTAAAAGAACCCCATGTTCAACTCTGATGGCATTCTCTCTGGGTCCCCCAAGAACTGCAGCTGCTCTCCCTTCTCCAGCTACTCATTGGGGTTAAAGCATTGGTCACCAGGAAACCCTAAGTAGTATGCCTAAGAAGGTGCCATGCTAAGCTCTCAGCCCTCACCCATAACACAGCTCGAGGTCACTTTGTGGTTTGCTGGGACACAGGGCACAGGGGTCAGCAAAGTGCAGCAAGGGAAGGGAAGAGTCCACGACCAGAGACTGGATCAGGGAGGCCCAACTGGGTGCAAGAGTCCCCAGGGGAGACTTGGTGCCAGAGGCCTTTTTCATTGCCCTGCTGAAGGGAGGAGCTGGGACGGTATCGGAGCACCTAGCAGCCAGAGGTCATGCAGCACCCTGGATTGTGCTCCTTACCACCTTCCCTTCCCTCACTTCAAACCCCAGGGTGGCTGAACTGGGGTGGGGAGATGGGATAGGGCACTTCAGTGACTCATGTAGGCCACACACACTCTAGAGACAGTGCTGGCCCCTTGAGAGCTGGGTAAGATTGGAGGGGTGCTAACCATTCTGGCTGGTGGTGCTTCCTGCTGCCTCCCAGGGAACCTGAGATACAACCAGAAGGGGGAGCTCATGGTCACTGAAGTCTTTGGCAGCAGTGGGTGGGGCAGTCTGCCCACCACACCCCATAGGATCTCTCCAGGCCCAGGGCAGCAGTCAGCACAGGCCCAGAGCGCTTTGCCAGCATCAGCAGACACCAAGTTTGTAGCTGTGCCTTTATACCTGATTCTGTACCAAGAGCTGGAATTAGAGTCAGCTGATTGTTTAAGCCACAGATAAAAGGTTTAAGCTCCTTGCCAGACTGAGCCCAGTGGCTATTGGCTTCACCCTGAAGCTTCCCCTGGGAGAGGCCTACCCCTAATTCCTTTCTGAATGTCCATGTTGGGGTTTGAGACCATAGCGGTGCTTCCACTTCAGTCCTTGCTGCCACACACTGCTGATCACAGAGCTGCAGTTCTTGGTGTTCCCTGACCACAGGGCATGGTGTGCCCAGCTGTGATTCTTAGTGTGTTACACAGGTGCCCATGTGCAAGTCAGTGATGGAGACCTGGGCGTGGGGCTGGAGGGAGAGGTATGGGCATCCCAGGGAGCAGGTGCAGCAGCAGGAAGGGCATGGGAGTCCTGAAGCCTTTGATGGTCTGGCTAGAATTGCCTCCTGAGCTCTCTGTTGCCTGTATCTTCTCTGCACCAGACACCTTGTTTTTCTGCCTTTGTTTCTAGCAAGACTGAGGATTGGGGCTATTTGAATGAAGATGGAGAACTCGGCCTGGCCTACCAAGGCCTAAAGCAAGTTGCCAGGTCGAATGTGTTCCTCCCTTCTTTCCTTCCTTTCTTCCTTCCTTCCTTCCTTCCTTCCTTCCTTCCTTCCTTCCTTCCTTCCTTCCTTCCTTCCTTCCTGTGTCTGCTTTGTCTGTTGTGCTATTCATGTCCATGCCCAATTGTATCTAAACTACAGTGAGTATAAGGGAATGGGGCACAGCTCACAGAGGATGCTGGCCAGGGGGCCCTGGAGGTCACAAACCTGCCACTTTGTGTCCAGACTGTGCAGATAAGGTCAAGAGAGAGGCTGCTTGTTCAGGTCCAGGTGGTAGCACAGGGTGGCCAGGTGAACCTTAGGAACCAGGCGACCCAACCACACATTCCATACATGAGGAAATGGACAAGAGGAGCACAGCCAGTTAGAACCAGGCCTAGAAGGCTGCTGTCCTTTGGGGGCTCTTGGCGCTCTGCAATGTACCTTCTACCTGTCGAGTCACTCCCCAACTCGATAGGATCAGCCAGAAGTGTCAGCCCAGTCTGTGCTGCTGCTCCTGCTTCTGGGGACCTCCTGGCAGCACATGGGCTGGTCCTCGTCATGGGGGCTCCTTAGAGCTGACCACAGCCAAGTGCAGTGCTTGCCCCATGTCATCTCACCTTCACGACCACCTCATGGTCAGGAGAGCCATGGAACATGGAGGGTTTGGTGATACCAGAGCATAAGCTGGTAGCTTAGTGGCCTTTGGTAGTGAGTGAGCAGGTTAGGCACAGGCAGCAGACACAACAGCGGGATGGCCTGACCTATGCCATTTCCAGCAGGTGGGTGTATGGCCTTGCTTTGTTCACTTGTGCCTCTTTAGAGAGGGATGAGGCCAGAGTCCCCTGCCTGGCTTCTTAAACAAGAGGGGCAGGCTCAGAGGGGCAGCTTAAGAGTATAGAGCCCAACTCTCTTCTGCCACTGCTGGCAGGGCTCTTAGCAGGAGTCTAGAGCCCTCCAGCGTATATCCTGTTCTCCCTGATGGTGTCATCATGGGGGTCCCAGTGCAGCAACACAAAGTATCTCTCCCCAGCAAAGCCAAGAGTGGTGTATCCATGAGGTAGTAAGGCTTTTGGCTCTGCAGCTTTGCTCTTCCAATATGGCCCCCCACTACGAGCAAAGCACGGGCTGTATCTCGGTTTTCTCCTCTGTGGCCTGTGGCTGGGAACAGAGCTTTCCTGGAAGTGTCCTTGTAAAAAGTCAGACTCATACAGGTAAAGCACTTGCCACCTGCCTTACAGGTAGTAAGCACAAAAGAAATACTAGCTGCCGCGTCTGTCTGTCATGGTGATTTGGTAAGACCCAATTCCTGTCCCACCCATCAGCCTGTTTTGTTGGCGGAGGGACCTGAGGGTGAAACTCCTGGTGCCTGTCCCAGTTGCAGATGGGGTGGGGCAATACATTAGCAGATAGCTGGAGTCAGCGTCACAGTGTAGCGGGAGCCCAGGCTAGGGAACCAGTCCTTCTGGTTTCCTCACCTCTCACCTGGTGAACTCTCCTGCCTGGTGCATAGGTGGGAATCTTGCCCTGGCACACATCCCCAGGCTGAGTCACAAACAGTCCACCCGGATACCGAGGAAGAGCCCTGAGATGGGAACAAGTGACATTTCACTGGGAGACATCCTCTGGGCGGTGGGCCCACAGTGTCTCATGGAGTTCGTAGCATCCTGGTGACTGCTTTTAGCATGCTGTGGCCAATAGTGGATGACATCTGAATGCTGTGTAGCACCTCCAGTGCTGATTCAATTGCCAAACTCTACCCAACAGCCCCTGCCAGAAATGTGCCAGCCCCCCAGCCACACAGCCAGCTCCCCCTCTCCATATTCCCCTCCTTGACAGACTCCCTCCTCTTCTCTGGACATCGGCACTCCCTAGTACAGCAGAACTGCCAAACCACTGTGCCTGTCCACCTGTTGGCCTCCAGGGCAATCAGCAGCTCACCAGCTGCTGCCTAACAGTGCCCAGCTCAGGGCATAATCTCTGCATCTCAGGAAGAGAGGGGGCAAATGCTTCCCCCATGCAGACCTTGTCACAGAGCTTTTAAGGGCACTTATGTCCAGCATCCTGCCAACCTCACATAGAGTGTGGAGTTGGGAAGCAGCATCACAGGCATATTTGTATGCACCTACCTCCAGAAGACACTGCTCTGAGCCTTTGCTGGCTCCCTACCTGCCATGGTGATGGAGCAGATGCCTTCCAGAACTGTCCCATATGTCCCTTGGGGACCTGGCCTTCTGAGGCTTGTGGCCAGCCTTTTCTAGAGTCCCTCCAGATCTCTGCGACTTGTCCTGAGCCTAGGTGATCTTAAACCTCCCCTCCCCCTTACCCATCGTTTCTAAACTGCCTTGGCTTGTGGCTGGTGGAGGTGGGAGTGTGTGAGATCGTGGGAGTAATAATGGTGAGAACAAAAGGAACAAGAATAGTATTTTGCCTTTTGAAAACCCATATGGTATCTACCATAGGGAAAATAGGAAATGAATAGCTCAGTTGATCAGTTTTGTCTGGGTTTCTCAACACCAGGGTGGGTGTATCTTTTTAAAAAGATAACAGTGGGACATTTCTTTCTGCCACTGGCCTTTGGATACAGGGAATCTCTGAACCCCAGACCAATGGACTCTGCTCGCAAAATGAGAAATGGGGGCCGAGAAAACTGCCCAAGAGTGAGGGGTGCCTTTGGCCTCCATTTCCCATTCTGTCAGATGAGTCGCCAGCCTGTTCCATTTGTCTGATGACCGACCCCAGTGTCCAGCCCCTGCTGTGTGCTTTGCCACTCCCTGTCGTGTTTCTGCCCAGGGCCCCTCTCCTGGAGATGCTGACCCTGAGCTGGCCGGTGTAATCATTGTCCTCTTCTGCCTGGCACAGGTTGCTGGAAGCACAGCTACAGGCCCAGAGCCTGGAGCATGAGGAGGAGGTGGAACGGCTGAAGGCCCAGGTGGAAGCCCTGAAGGAGGAGATGGACCGACAGCAGCAGACCTTCTCACAGACACTGCTGCTCTCCCCAGAGGCCCAGGTGGAGTTTGGTGTCCAGCAGGAGATGTCCCGGCTGACCAATGAGAATCTGGTGAGCAACCATGCTCTGAGGAGTCCTGGGTGGAGATGGGGGGTTGGGGGAAAGGGGCAGTGGCCTTCAGCCAGATGGGCAATGGGCACGTCGTTAACCCTGCATGAGGAGCAGGGAAAGAACACCACATTCTGCAAGAACTTGGGAGAGGAAGTGAGGCGTGAAGGGGGTGTAACCATGGCCAGGGAGGCCAAACACAGGAGTGCGTGCAGGAGAGGGCTCTGAAGTGGGTGGGAAGGGAAACAGCAGGTGCCCTCAAACCTCACCAAGGCAACATGTCCAGTTCAGGAGCTGAGCCGGGGCTGCCATTCCCACCTATTCCTCAGGTGACCATGGTTGGGTGGCTGGCTCCCTGGATCCTGAAAGAGGAAGTGGGGGCCCTGCACCTACCTTCGCCCCTCTGAGGGGATATGCTCATGTGCCTCCTGCTCAGTTGCTGTCTGTGTGTCACTGTCACACAGAGGTGTGTATGCAGGCAGCTTTATGGAAAGAAGTGTGTGCTGTTGAGCCAGCTCCTGCCAGGTCGGGGAGGCGGCCCATGCCACCGGGGGCCACTGACCTGATAGCACAGTTGGCGACCACCTTGCAAAGAGGACCGTGCACTCACTGCAGAGGGACTGCATTGTGTCACAGGGACAGCCTAGGGTTGGGCCCATGAACAAACAAAGGTGGACAGGCCTGGCTTGAGAAACCACCAGGGCACAAGGTCAGCACCGTGGGCCCACTGGGAGGGCATGACCTTGGTGTGAGTAGGGCAGGGGCCTGGAATGAGGGAGGGTGAGCCTGAGGACGGGCCCCAGCCAGCAGCCTGGTGGGAGGAGACTCCTGCATGTAGTGAAGGTCAGTCTTGTTTGCCAAGGTCAAGGCTGAGACCTGTAAACAGGGCCCTACCCCCTGGGGGTCTGCAGGGTGTCAGGGAGTCGTGAGCCCCTCCCTGCCCAGTGAGCGTTCCTGCCTGCTCGTGGAACATGACCTGGAGCCTGTCCCCTCAGTGTATGCCCAGGAGCCTCAGATGGTGTGTACAGGAAGTTGTGGGACGTAGTCCCCAGTTGGAGGAGTCAGGGGGAGTCAGGAAGGCCCCTTGGCTAGCTCAGAGAGGGCTCAGAGAACGTGCCTATCCTTCTAGGTGCAGCGTAAGAGCGTCGGGACGTCTTCAGACACGCTCACCTGTGTCTGGGACTCCTCTCTGGCTGAACTTGAGTCAGCCATCTGTCGTCCTGGCCTCTATGGTTCTGGGCCCCAGTAGCTTCCTTCACATGTCCTGCATTTGCCGATTTCACACTTCCGAGGCACCCAGGTGGCCACAGGTTTGGGGAAGAGCTTTTAACACAGCTCCCCTTAACGTGTTCTCACCTTCTGGAATCTCGGGGTGGGGTGGGCAAGTGGGCTGGCAGTAGAGGCACAGGAAGTGCCCCAAGGCCACCTGTGCTGAGTGGTTCAGGGGTGGTGCTACACTACCTGGCTGGGATGCTGGAGCTCCTAAACACAGCCCAGGAGGCAGCACTTGGCTACTGAGGTGGCATTACATGGGCTGCAGGTGAGCAATGTCTGCCCTTTAGAGGGTCTGCCAAAGTTTTCAAAACTGTGGTAGGAAAGACGCAGGCATGGCTTAGTCCTCCTTGGGATCTGGTGGTATTGCACGGAAGCGCTTGGGGATGGGCTTATCCCAATATACGCTCTCTGGGTTGGCCAGAACATCCTCATTCACCTGTTGCTGCAGAGGATCCAGTGCAGGTGGTTCCAGGAAGGATTCTTGAGCAAAGAGGAAGAGGTAGGCAGCCAAGCAGGCATTGAGGGACCAAACCGAGAACTCACGGGGTCACAGTGGATCCTCAGGGAGTTCCGTGTGAAGGTCCAGCAGCTACCTGAACTCGCTCAGAGTTCCCCTGCCATGGCTCCAAGCCAGCGCTGTCATTACCTCTTGGTGTGATTGCTTTCCACCTTTTTTGTCAAGATGGGTAAATCCTAACAGCCTCCTCTCAGGCTTGTGGCCAACAGCAGCCACAGCACCAGGTTGCAGCTTTGGCTTGTCTTGCAGCTACAGGCCAGTCTCGTGGCAGCTGTCACTCAAGGTACTTCCTAGGATCTGAGATGGAACCTAGGAAATACCCCTGTCACTCTGTGGCACCAAGGCCCTCATATTAACAGTGGGGGCTGCTCTCCTTCTAATTCCTCCCCCACCCTACTTCACCGCTGAGGACGCTGCCTGGCTGGCATCTGTGCCAATAAAACCCTCCTCCCCAACTCTGTTCTGGTCCCAATGGACTGAGTAGCACTAAGTGGCAACAGTTGCTAGGAGATGGGCAGCTACTGAGAGGCCAAGGTCCTGCTTTGCTGCTGACCCTGACCCGTGAAGGCTCCCTGCTCCTGCTTTGCCACCCATTTGGTCCAGGGTACTGCCCGTCTGTCCGAGCACTCCTGGGAGGTTGGCATGGCGACTCACGGAGGCTTGGCTGGGGAGAGCCCTGAGGTGCCAGAGAGATCCCAGAGGGTTTTGCCTTCCTGATGTGAAGATAACAATGTCTGACTCACCTCCTGCTTCCTGGATGCCGCAGCAGGGACAGCACCCTCCCAGCCTGACCTGTGTGATAGCAGCACAGGCCACGCCCTGCCACCCAGGGCAAGGCTCAGCCCTCTTCCCACACTGCTTCCTTCTGCTCTCAGGACTTCAGAGAACTGGTCGAAAAGCTGGAGAAGAATGAGAGGAAGCTCAAGAAGCAGCTGAAGATTTACATGAAGCGAGTCCAGGACCTGGAAGGTAGTGTGTATGTGTGTATGCATGAACATGGGTACCTGCATGGCACAGGTGTGCCCAACAGCCGTGCCTGCGGAACTGAGGCTGCCTCTGCCCAGGCATCCTTCCCTCTTGGCTCATTTCCTGCTGGACGGACCCGGCCAGGCAGTAGAACTGGGACACTGAGAGCACCTATGCCCTTGATCAGTCGAAGCTAGAAGAAGGGTGGAAGATTGTGGTCCCCTGAGTTGGGTGCTGCCTGTGAAGCAGGCTTTGTGGGGCTGGAGGGCTGAGGGGGCCAGAAAAGTACCCCGTGGTCCTTGCCCTGAAGGGGTTTGAAGTTGGGAGGCAAGACTTTTTGGTGTGAGACAATGCTCCGTCATACCGAGGCCCTGGGAGAGCACCAGTACACGTCCACCCCTTGGGTGCCCCACTCCACCCTGCTCATCCAGGCCCCAGTGTGCCCATTGAGTCCTTTTAGCAGGGATGCTCCTGTCCAACTGCCATCAGCAGGTGCACACACCTGACACAGCACCTGACAACAGCAGGTGCACATACCTGATGTCACATCTGGCAAGCCAGGTCACCAAGTGTGCTTCTGTGTGAATGCTCAGATGTGTCTCCTTAGCTAGGTGCTGCAGAGGCAGGGCTGGATGCTGTGTGGTACCTGCTCCCATGAGGATCTGGACACCCACCACCCTCCCCAACCTGCCCAGGCTGAGGGGAGGCTGGGGATGGGGGATGGGGGATGGATCCCACCCCACCCCACAACACAGAGACTCCACCTTGGAGAATTGCCTTAGGTGGTAGATCCTACAGCAGACAAGTTCCCATGTCTAATCTTACACATGGGTACAAGGCACAGTGCCTTCTTGCATCACAGACTCTGTACTGTTCCATCCAAAGCAGGCCACAGGCAGTGCCCCAACCTGCAGCCCTTGGGTCTGTACTGCCCAGTGTCCCGAGAGTGCCCTGTAGCCACACACAGGGAACCAAGTATAATGGACCCAACCAAAGCCTTGCATATCCTCCATGAAACTGCCACCTGGTGAGGCAACTCTCCCACCTGCTGCTGCCTCACGTTGCCCTGTGCCAGGGACTGAGCTCCCCCAGTATCATGCAGCCTCAAGGGACAGCACAGAATGTGGTGCTCTGAAAATGCAGTGATCAGTCCCAGGCCTTCATGTGTCCCGTTCTCTCCTTCCTGCTCAGCTGTGCAAGCATTGGCCCAGAATGACAGGAAGCACCATGAGCTCACCAGGCAGGTCACGGTGCAGCGGAAGGAGAAGGACTTCCAGGGCATGCTGGAGTACCACAAGGAGGACGAGGCACTCCTCATTCGGAACCTGGTGACAGGTCAGGACCCACCCCCTCCTCTGTCTGTACTCAGCACGGTCTATCCCAGCCTCTGTCTGCATCCCCCCACCCACCCCTGTGGCTCTTTTTCCCCAGACCATCCACTGCCTCCAAGTGGTGCTCTTGGTGACTGCTCACTGCTTTTCCCAGAGCAAGTCAACCCCGTCAATTGCACACTCACATGGACCTGAGGAAGAGAGGCCCCTGCTCTGACTGTGGCAGGCAGGAGTGAGTGGGGAGCTGGTGGCATGGCTCATGCCTGCCACATGCTTCCCCCAGAGGCAGCCCCAGCCCCCTCATTGGCGTGGGTTTGTGTGGGCAACTGCTTCCAACAGCAATGACTGCATGCTGCTGCCATCAGCTCATGCCCAGCCCGTTGTCTTCAGCCCCAGGCTTGATCCTCCCCAGGAAGCTGCTGTTTAGTTCACACAAGGTGTCCTGAGACATTCCTGTCACCTGCCCAGGTTGAGGATAGGGCAGCTTCTGTCCAGAGCTTTGCAGTTTGCAGGCACAGTGTGGTCCGTGCATAGGCTCTCAGGGGAGGGTCTGCTGGTCCACAGGCATCCGACTCTTTGCTATCTGGCCATGTAGCTGTCGCTGTGCTGTTCACCAGCATCCCCATGTGGGATGGCATGGAAGTGGGAGGCATTTGGGGAATGGTGAGAAATGCAGAATTCCAGGCCACATTTAGAAACTGCACCCCAACCCCGCCACACATACACACATCCCGCATCAGAATGCACAGCCAGGCGGCAGGGGATTTGAAAAGCTGAATCAGTGCATTCACAGTGCCTGGGGTTGCACAACCACTGTGGGGGTCCGGTTGGGCTAGTCTCTCCTCTTCTGCATTCTCCAGATAGGTACCTAGGTTGGGGCTGGCCAGGCAGGCTGCAGTGTGCTTGGAGTGTGCAGTGTGGAGTGGAGTGGTTGGGGTAGATTTCTCTTGCTGAGCTGGAACAGAGCCTCTTGCACCTTAGGGTCACTCTGCTTGGGTGTGCCACCAATGGGGCAGGGGGGCTCCTTACGTTTGCCCATTGTAGGCACTGCCTTTCAAGGGCTGGCTCAAGGGAGCTATTTACCTTACCAGTGCTGCTTGCTTTGCCATTGTACTAGTACCCTCCCATTTGTTCTCACACCCCACTGGGTTCCAACACGGTCACCACCTGCCCTGTGCCCAGCCTAAGCCAGCAGCAAGTCTCAGAGCCAAGAGGTGGAGCCTTAGAGGAAAGAGCCATGCACAAAGGAAGAGTGGACTATGAACCACTCGCTCACTTCTCAGCACTTCCCAGCATTCCTATCTGTAAAATGAGAACATGCTACCACTGCCCCATCACGTGAGATCTATCGAACGTGAATATACTGTGATAGGGCTAAAAATCCTTTCTGAGACATGGGGGCTGCAGGCACATTCCAAGCTTAGATGGGAGGTCACTGCTAGCATGGAGAGATTGCCCTCAGGTGCTGGAGGTCATGCTCTGTAGGGTGCGCAGGGCTGGGATGCAGGGAGAGTGGAGTCTGACAGCCTAGAACTTATTTACTTCAGCTCTTGGGTCAGTACAGCCTTGATCCTCACTCATGAGAGTCCTGGCAGTGGCCTGGCTCTGGCTGCCTCAGGCCAGGTCAAGTCCAACCAAACTGCCCAGGCATTCTGCCTCCCTCCAGACCGCAGCCTAGCAGATGCCAAGATTAGCAGCTGAGAAAGACCGTGGAGAATAGAACCCTGGCCTCTTCTCCCATGGATGGCGCATGTGTAGCCCAGGAGCCTGATCAAATACCTGTGCGATCAGAGGAGGATGTCCCAAGACAAGCTGTTTGTACATGGGTCATCGGCTTGTGGTATTGTTCTAGATAAATGTACTGGCATTCTCATTAGAACTAAGGCACTTCTCCATGGTGCCCAAATGCTAAGCAGGTACCCAAAGTGTGCTGGCCAGGAGTAAGCGTTATTGAAAGGGATGTGGTTGATGTGCCAGCATAACCCAAGGAGCAAATGGTAGTGCTGGTGGCACAACCCCAGCCCAACCCAGACCAGGAGAACCCTGGCAGAAGGGCAGGGAGGATCCTGCCACAGGAAGGTGGTGAAGAAAACTCTCCCTCACTGCTGTTCCAAGCCTGGCTTGGGGGAAGTGAGGGGAGGTGGCTCATGATGCCAGTTTATGCCGGGGTGGGTGAGGGTGATGAGAGAGAAGGTCAGGGTCTGGGGGTACAATGTGAACACCCCATGTCCACTTGTCACCTTGTATTTGCACCAGGCCTCTTATCCCTGCCCTGCCTCTTGGGACTCCTGTCACCACTTGTCACTTTAGGGCTGGCTCACTGAATCCCCTGGAATGCTGTGGGATAGAACATAGTGTTACAGCTTCTCCCTGGCCCTCCCCAGGCTTTAGCGCTTAGGGGACAAGGGTCTGAGCATGTGTGTGCAGGTCATGGGGAAAGAGAGTGATGCCGGTGGGACCTGAACAGGACAAGTGTATTCATGGCCTGGTGCATCTGTGTGTGCCTGTGAGTTCAGAAGACTAACGCTGCCAGGTCCTCTGTCCCCAGAGTGACACCCAAGGTGGCTGCAGCCTTACCAGTGCTCAGCTGTCTGACTGCCTGTAGAAAGCTGGAATTGGCTGGCCCTGCATTCTGGCTGCTGGGGACCTGATCATGCCCCTGCAGGAAGCAGGGGTCCCCCGGGCTGGAGCAGGGGTGGAGGGGTGGCTTTCTCCCAGTGGGGAGCCCAGTCCTGTCTGCAGCCTGCCCCCTGAGGCCTCCTTAGCTGGTGGCCCTGCATGTGTGCACAGCTCTGGGTTCTCTTCCTCTGCAGTTAAGAACAAAGACCTGGTTCCATTCATTCCACAGTTTGGCTTTGGTTTTTTTGCTGCAGCAGCTGAAAGTGCTGATCAATAGGGCCAGAAGGTGTTTGTGCATCCTGGTAGCTTCTCACCGGCTTCCCCACTCCCTTCCCACAACCCTCCCATTCCTGGGTGAGCTACTGAGAAACAGTGGGGAGGTTTCTAGGAGGAGGAGTGTGAACCCTGGCACCCCCTCCATCTCTCTCTTTGCTGCTTGCTGCCATCTTTGCTGGTAGACCTGAAGCCCCAGGTGCTGTCGGGCACTGTGCCCTGCCTCCCTGCGTACATCCTCTACATGTGCATCAGGCATGCAGACTACACCAACGACGACGTCAAGGTGCACTCCCTGCTGACCTCCACCATCAACGGCATCAAGAAAGTCCTCAAGGTCAGTGGGCTGCGCAGGAGGCTGGGACTGAGAGCAGGCATCCTCCTCCTGCTGCTTCTCAGTACTTGAGTGTTGGGGCAGTGGATGAGGTCCCCTGTGTAGCCAGGATGCTTGGATTAAGCCAGAAATCCAGGGTAGCCTGGAGAGGCTGCCCAGAGCTTATTAGCATGCCTAGGTCTGCCTACCACTGCTGCATGAACTGGGAAGGCATCCGGCTGCAGCCAGGGCCTACTGGACCTGGCCCTGCGGCTGATGGAACTCCACTGGAACCTAGACCGCCTTTCACCTGGACAGTACTGCTACATTGCTGCTACCAGCTCTGGTCCAAGACAGGGCTGCCCTCAGGATATTAACACAACTCAGAGACACACGAGCCTCTCTGTGACCAAGTGGCAGCCCCTGCGATGTCAGACTACCCTGCAGGGAAGTGAAGCCCAGTCAGCAGGAGCCAGAGTCAGGTGATGAGTGGGGAGAGGGTCTTCAGCCTTCTAGCAGCACTAGGGCACAAGGGTTACTGCTCAGTTTCGTTTTTTTTTTTTTTTTCCACTGTCAGGAATCCTTTATTCTGTGCTATTAATACTTTTTTTTCAAAAACAAAATTTTTTTAAAAATTGATTTATTTTTATTACAAAGTCAGATATACAGAGGAGGAGAGACAGACAGGAAGATCTTCCGTCCGATGATTCACTCCCAAAGTGAGCGCAACGGCCCATGCTGTGCCGATCCAAAGCCAGGATCCAGGAACTTTCTCCAGGTCTCCCACACAGGTGCAGGGTCCCAAAGCTTTGGGCCATCCTTGACTGACTGCCTTCCTGAACTGGGAGAGCAGAGCAAATAATAAGTTTCATCAAGTGATTATAAGGTTCTCATTACAATCCCAGCTGTCTCATTCTGTTTTTAAAGATTTATTTATTTGAAACCCTCTGTTTATTTTCCATATGACTGCAGCAGCCATAGTTGGGTCAGGCTGAAGTCAGGAGCTTCTTCTGGGTCTCCCACACCAAGTACTTGGACCAGCTTCTGCCAGTTTCTGCTGGTTCAAAGTGGAGCAACCAGGATCCAAACTAGTGGCCATATGAGGCTGTCCTCAGACCCACCCCAACACTCAACACCGACACCTGCTCTGTGGTCAGCCATCCCAGAGCTTTGGGTTGCATGGCCTATTGGCCTGCAGGCTCCGTGGGCCATTTCCTCCATGCAGGGCTCTAAGCACCTGGGGGCTCAAGCATGTGTCTCCAGCCTTGAGCGCTTTCAAAAGCTGCAGCCAAAGCCTGACTCAGGCTTGGGCTGACTATAGAGCTCACCTCCCTGAGGAAGCCTTGCCCCCACCTTAGTTTATAACCATTTTCTAGAAAGTTTAGCCTACGGGAACATCTGACCTTTTGATACATGGGACCCCAGAATATTTCACCAGCAAGCACCCTCAGGTCCCCAGAGCTGGAGAACAGGTACTTCCAAGAAGGGGCAGGGATCCTCGTGGCTAGTGCAGAGAGGCCAGGCAGCTGGGGCTGAGCCTTGCTTGCACTGTGTTCTTCAGTGGTGGGAACAACCTGTCACTTGTGTGTTTCTGTATGTACACGCCCAATCAGCAACCAAGACATGGCTTCCGGATGCCGTCTCTTGGTAGTGAGTGGATCTTCTCTCTGACCAGCAAGGGTCATGCCCATTGTCAGGGGCACTGGGGAACGCTGGCTAGGATGCAGAATATGGAGAGGCTCAGGTAAGCGCTTGGCCAGACAGGTACCATTTTCAGCTGGGTGGGGGATCCTTCTCTTTCCACAGAAGCACAATGATGACTTTGAGATGACGACGTTCTGGCTGTCCAACACCTGTCGCCTCCTTCACTGCTTGAAGCAGTACAGCGGGGATGAGGTGAGTACTGGGCTAAGCTCCCAGAAGGCATCCTTGCTCTAGCCAAATGCATCCCAAGGTGCTCTGCAGCCGTTGGAGGGAAGTCAGCTCTCTGACCCCCTTGCTAGGACCTCAGACTCTGGTAGGAATTACTGTACCTGGTGACTGGGAGTGGGAATGGGGCAGAACATACAAAGCCTGTTTCTAGGGGTCTGGATGAGTACCCCTGAATCAAGACAGAAAACTGAGAGGGGATATGTGGGCTAACTGTGCCCTTCCCTTGTCAGAGATCTTGGATGATCTTGTTATTTGCACCACTTCAGTAAATGCCTCAAGAAATCCAACTGTCTAGTGTCCCACTCTCCCATGCCAAGCTGTTTCAAGACAAAGATGAGTAAATAAAAAAGGAACACCAAGTCAGCCCTATATTTGTGTAGCCCAGCTTCATGCTGCCAACCGAGTTTAATGGCTAGGCCTGCAGCCTGGTTGACACCATCATGTCGCGTTCCATTTGGGACCTCCAAGGCTCCCCATCTCCACTGTGATCTCTAGAAGGGTTCCTCCATGCTGTGTGTGTAGTACATGATCTAGGCATGGCACATGTTTACCTCACCTTGCTTCTCTGGTGATGGTCCCAGCTGCCTCCACACGGGCCCTACTCATATTTCCAGGGGCCTCCCCATCTTTGCCTTGCTTCCTTTCCTTCACAAACCTCAGTACCCACCCTTCCTGAGGCAACACAAACCAAAACTGCAACAGTTTTCCAAGCTTTATTCAGTCTTCTGTGTTAGAGCAGATTTTGACTCAGCTGTCTCCTTGGGGTGATAGGAGGCTATGCCACCCCAGCTGGTCTTACGATTGGGTACTTAGCTTGACTCATCTCTTTCCTGAGAGTCAGAATTTGTATTTGATCACTTACTTTTATAATGAAAGAGTTGGGCTCAGATCAAAGAACCATCCTTTGTTCCAAACCAGATGTCTTCTGTGATGCACACAAGCATTTTTTTTTTCTTTAAAGATTTATTTGAGGGGCCAGCATGGTGGCTCAACAGGTTGCTCATCCATCTGCAAGTGTTTGGCATCCCAAATGAGTGCCAATTCAGGTTCCGGCTGCTCCACTTCTGATCAGCTCCCTGCTAATGGCGTGAGAAGACGGCAAAGGATGGTTCAAGTCCTGGGGACTCTGCACCCACATGGGAGACCTGGAAGAAGCTCCTGTAATCCTAGCTTTGATCAGCTTCACCCATAGCAGCCATTTGGGGCATGGACCAGTGGATGGAAGATCCTTTTCTCTTTGTCTCTTCTTCCCTATGAAAAAATCTGCCTTTCAATTAAAAATAAATTTAAAAAAAATATTTATCTGAAAGCAGATTTACAGGAAGAGCTTCCATCTGCTAGCTTACTCCCCATATGGCTGGAACAGCCAGAGCTGAGCCGAGTTGATCTAAAGCCTGGACACTGGAGCTTTTTCCAGGGCTCCCAAGTGGTTCAGGGGCCCAAGGACATGAGCCATCCTCTGCTGGCTTCCCAAACCGTAAGTAGGAAACTGGATTGGAAGTAGAGCAGCCGGGACACAAACCAACATCTGTCTGGAATGCTGGTGCTGCAAAGTGGAGGATTAGCCCGTTATGTCACCACACCAGTCCCAACCTACACAAGCTTTTTAAACACAGAACCACACTTAATTGTCTCACTGGGACTCACCACTTGACCCAGTGGGATGGATATTCGAAATGGAGGGTAAGATATGTAAGGCTATGGCAAGTTCAAGAATCCCTTACCTGAGGCTCTCCGTAGATAAACTCCTGTTCTTGGGAACAAGACATGAAGCATGGTAGAACCAGGCCAGCACAGTCAAACAGTGAGAATGAATGATTCAGTCTATTGGGCATTTATGGTCATCCTGCCTTCCCCTCCTCCATCTGCCTTTATTTTTATGAAGACTGTTGTGATGTGGCAGAGTACAAGAGCTTCACTGGAGTTGCCCTTTGGAGGACACAGATTGTATGAGACCACTGGCTTTCCTTACGTTGAAGAACAAGGACATTGGTCACGTGGCTGCTTTTGACATTGGCAGCGCTTCTGGCTGGCCTGCTGTCCCATCTTGTTAATACAGAAGCCTAAGACACCAGATCCCTAAAGCCATAGAATCACTTCAGTCCACCTGCTTAATGATGAAATCCATACAAAAGGTTTCATTATACAAACACATCCCATAACCATGGTCCTGCTCCCTCATGCACTGAGCAACCTGGTGCCTTGGGGTGAGCACTTAGCAGAGGAGTCAGAAAGCACAGAGCTCTCTTTGTCTGGACCTGCTGTCGGTCTGAGTTTTGCTACTTTAGGGAAACTACTTTGGGGATCTGGACTCAATGCTGCAGACCTTTGTAATTACATAGTCGTGATCTCTCTATCACATTGTCATTTTTATACCACTTTCAAGTTCAAGAGCCATCAGTGAAGCCTCAGGGTTTTCTAATACTTCGTACGAGCCCAGTGGCAGCCCGTAGAACCTCAGTCATGCTTACCCCTCCCTCTTCAGGGCTTCATGACTCAGAACACGGCGAAGCAGAATGAACACTGTCTGAAGAACTTTGACCTCACAGAGTATCGACAGGTGCTGAGCGACCTCTCCATCCAGATCTACCAGCAGCTCATTAAGATTGCCGAGGGCCTACTGCAACCCATGATAGGTATGCTGGTGGCGGCAATGGCTGTGAGATTTGGGAAGGCTTGGGGGGCGGCCCACCATACCTCTAGGGAACCACACTTTGGCATGCACTTCATCACAGCTACAAGGAAATTGAATCCAAAAGCAAAGTGCATTTTCCCTGAGTTCCTTGAAGACTCCTCATATTAACCACAGCCTCTGGAAACCCAGGTGCTTCCTCAGATGATCCTGTGGTTGTCAGCATACAGATGCGCATTGGAGACTTTTCCTTTATCTGTGTTACTCTGATACCATATTGTTCCCCCAAGCAAGTTAATTTAAACAGATAGCCATTAAAACTCCTCTGGCCACCTGTGGACTTTGTCTATGAAGTATTACAGTGCTGGAATGGAGGGCAGATATACTCTGAAGAATAAAAGGAAAAGTTCCCTGAGCTCCGTGAAGACTCGCCTAGGCTCCTTACAGCACGTAGCTTCTGGGTTAATGCCCAATTGGACCAGTCCAGAAATCACATCTCCCACATGGGGTTCACTACAAATCCTTCTTCCAGTCTGGCACCTTATTGTACTGGGCAGAGGACATAGTGACATAGAAATTGGGAACACATTTTGGAACTCACAATAATGCAACGGTTAATAGCAGAAGCTCTGGGATCAGACCTGGGTTCAGATCCTGGCCCTGCCACTTCCTAGCAGCATGGTTTTTAAAGAAGTCATCCAACCTCTTTATGCCTCAGTAAAATGGGCAGTGTCTTATACAGTTACTAAAAAACTAAAAAGTGTTGACCCTAAACTAAGTAAGTTACTAGAAAACTAAGAAGTCTTGACTAGTGCACAGCTAAGTGCTGTGCAGTGAGGCTGACAGGCCAGCTAACCTCTGTTTATATAGCTACTGGCTATGTGCTTTTTTAAAAAGAGGTTATTTTTCATTGGAAAGGCAGATTTACAAAGAGAAGGAGAGACAGAAAGACCTTCTGTCTACTGGTTTACTCCCCAAGTGGCCACAATGGCCACATGCAAGGAGAGGATTTTAGCTTCCGAGCCATCATGCTGGGCCCCAGTGTTCTTAAAGTCACTCAGATCCTGGACTCTAACCCTTCAGCACAGGCAGTACAGACTCAGGCTGACATGCCCATCCACTTTGTCCCATCACCAACAAATCTCAGGGAGAACAGTTGCATCTCATATAGAGATGAATGCATTTGAAAATTCCCTGCCACATGTCACTGAGTTCCTGATCATGGCAGTTGTTCCGTACCTCTGGACAGTGCTATGGGCAAAGCTGCAAGTCCCTGATGCTCTCATTCATCCAAAACCCGGACCCTGTCTGTGCCGAGCAGGCAAGCTTCCATCAGTCTGCTTTCCTCTTTCAGTTTCTGCCATGTTGGAGAATGAGAGCATCCAGGGTCTCTCTGGCGTGAAGCCCACAGGCTACCGGAAGCGCTCCTCCAGCATGGTGGATGGAGAAAACACCTACTGCCTAGAGGCCATCATCCGCCAGATGAATGCCTTCCATGGGGTCATGTGCGACCAGGGCCTGGACCCCGAGATCATCCAGCAGGTGTTCAAGCAGCTCTTCTATGTGATCAATGCGGTGACACTCAACAACCTGCTCTTGCGGAAAGACGTGTGCTCTTGGAGCACAGGCATGCAACTCAGGTAAGGGGGCAGCACAGGCTCGGGGGCGGCTGGGAGAGAACAGGCCCCTGCTGACGCCAACCCTGCCAGTGTAGGCAGCGCGCGCGCGCGCACACACACACACACACACACACACACACACACACACACCAGCCCTCCATGGGAACTTCAGATCTCTCAGGCAGTCCTTGACGTAGTCAGTGTGTTTAGCAAACCCAGAGGCAGGGACTTGGCAAACAAGGTCATAGCTTAAAGATGGCTCCTTACTCCGATATGAAGTTTGGACCCATTCTAGGTAGGCCAGAGGGGAAACTCGGAGATTAGGATAGGCATGAGGGTTCTGTGGGGGAGGTGTCAACATGTGACTGTTTAATTATTAATTGTACATCAAAATACAGAATGGCCTTTTTTTCTCCATTAACTGATGTGCTTTGGGTGTGTTTAAACATCCACATATTCATTTATTCATCCTTTATTCAACAGCTCCTGGGCAGGGGGTGGGGAGCTGGGCAAACCTTTTAACCCTGTGAACTCAAGAGGGTGAGGACACGGCCCAGGTGTCCCCTTCCCAAGTGGCTTAGGAGGAGCACCTCACACAGCCCTGCCCTCTGCCCATGGCTCAGGTACAACATCAGCCAACTTGAAGAGTGGCTGCGGGGAAGGAACCTTCACCAGAGTGGGGCAGTTCAGACCCTCGAGCCTCTGATCCAGGCAGCCCAGCTCCTGCAGCTGAAGAAGAAAACTCAGGAGGACGCGGAGGCCATCTGCTCCTTGTGTACCTCCCTCAGCACCCAACAGGTATGGTGGTGTCCAAGCCACTGCCATGCTGGGGCCCAGCTTCTGCTTCCCACCTTCCCTTGCATGTGGGCCTCCTGTACACCTTCCCTCCCCCACCCCCAGCCTCTAGGAGCCCTTGTGACATCATCCTCAAGGTGTCCAGGATGAACTAAAGCCACCATAGGGCTGTGCCATCCTGAGTACCACAGGCCCTCTAACCTCCTCTGCCCACATCGCAGGTTAGGGCAATAAAGCCTGCAGCACATGAAGCTTCATTAAAACCGCAGCAATCAGCTGCAGTGTCTCCTATCTGGAATGTTCAACTCTTTGAGACAATGGCTGAGTATTTGCCTGCCTCACAATGATGGAAAAAACTTTCTATAATTCTGCTTTCCGTATGGTCCTATATTCACTTAAGACCCCATTATTTCAAATGAAATCATTTTAAAAGGGGGCATTTCAATATCTCTGTCCTCCTCCTCCTCCTAAAAGTGCATTTTCACCGTGGCTTGGTCCCAGTCTGTGGATGGGTAAGTTCCATTCACGCACAGGTAGGTCTTGCCTCCGTCATGAGTGTGGCTACTTGGCAGAAGGTCTCCGAGTCCTGCCCAGGGAAACTAGACTCTCCAAGTCAACTAGCGCATCGTCTTCCAGCTTAGCACCTGCAAAAACAAACCCCCAACTCAGCACAACCAAGCACCAGGGCTCATCTGCTTCCTCTGCTAGCCATTAGGAGAGTTCAGCCTCTCAAGGAAAGACTTAATTTTTTTTTTGAAAGTTACATGGAGAGATAAGGAAAGAGAAAGGTCTTCCATCTGCTGGTTCACTCCCTAAATGGCTTTAATGGCCACAACTGGGCTGGTCTGAAGCTGAGATCCAGGAGTTTTTTCTGGGTCTTCCACATGGGTACAAGGTCTTGAGCCATCTTCCACTGCCTTTACCAGGCCATAAGCAGAGAGCTTGATCAGAAGTGGAGCACCTGGGACTGTTCAGAACTGGCATCCATGTGGGATGCCACAGATAGAGGATTAGCCTACTATGCCACTGCACCGGCCCCTGAAAATGTTCAAACCGTTTTTTGCCTGTGTAATAAACATAATATACATAAATATGTATTTTCATACATTGACTTCTAGCATACAGCTGTCCTTGCATGTGAGCAGGCCACTTCACACACAACTGGCAGGCAGACAAATATGCTTTTCATTGTAAAGGGTAAGAGAAAGGGTAGAAGGCTAGTTAGGTGTTGTCAAACAACCTCTTTATCACTGAAGGTAGGAATCCCAGAAACCTTTCCATTATCAGCAAATAAGAGGCTAAGGATTCCAGGCCGTTTTTTTCTATATTCCTCATTATCAGTCAGGCACCAGGAAGGGCGTGTGGGGTGTGCAGGTGCCAGGCGTAACAGGCCCCGGGCCCACCGGGCAAAACCAGGGACTCCCTGGTGACAAAACACTCCTGTGTTAATACGGAGCAGTCTGGCTCTACCTACAAGCATTGTGGTTCCAAGAGAGAACATACAACTGTTCCAATGTCATCCAGTCTGATTGTCATTCAAGTTCAAACATTGTGTTGTGTTCATTTAGTGATGCGCTAAATTTTGTTTTTATTCTAACAGATTGTCAAAATCTTGAATCTTTATACTCCCCTGAATGAATTTGAAGAACGGGTAACAGTGGCCTTTATACGAACAATCCAGGTAAGTTTTAAGGTATTGATAAATTTTATAAAAGTCTTAGTCTAAAACTCAAAAGGAATATTGAGAATATAACCCTTAATGCTTTTAATACCGGTTGCATGACATGCTAGAAGACCCAGGATGCCAGGGCCTTCCACCAGGGCAAACAACCCTGTCATTCTTGACCCCCAGGGACTGCGCTCTCACATTCTGTATGATGGGGAATTTCATTGGCCAGCAGTAATGCCCAGTGGAACTAACAAAAATAAGCATATGATGAGCATACACTCAGAAATGTTCTCTTAAGAATAACAACTAAATTTTGTCTCTAGGACTAGAAATATTTGCCTTAAGAAACAGGCTTTAAAGAAAATGCTAAATGAACAGTTCTTTTGGTCTGCTTTTCAAGATGATGGGAATTTTTATAACCAAAAACAATTGACCATTTAGAGCTGCCCAAGCTGCTTTTGGCCAAGTGCCTGGGCCCCGTGTGCAGTGGCAGATGAACAGCCTGAGCATGATGGCCACATGCCATTCATCACTGGGAAAAGTACACCCCCTTCTTCTCATGCTTCCATGTGGGGACAGCTTGGCAGGAAGAGGTAGCACTTTCTGAACCTTCCTTTAAAAAAAATTATTTATTTTTATTAGAAAATCAGATATACGGAGAGAAAGATTTTCCTTCCACTGATTCACTCCCTAAGTGGCTGCAATGGCTGAAGCTGAGCCAATCCGAAGCCAGGAGCCCAGAGTCTTTTTCTGGGTCTCCTGCACGGGTGCAGGGTCACAAGGCTTTGGATCATCCTCGATTGCTTTCCCAGGCAACAAGCAGGGGGCTAGGTGGGAAGCAGGGCCACTGGGACATGAACTGCTACCTATACAGGATCCTGATGCGTTCAAGGCAAGGCCTTTAAGCCACTAGGCTACCATGCTGGGCCCTTCCTGAAACTTCTTAAGCAATCCTGTAACAACAACATTTTTTTTTTTTTTACTTTTTTTTATTATTATCATTTTATGATGCAGACCCATTGGCTCCTGGATTTTCTTTACCCCCTCCCCAAGTCCTCTTTCCCCACATTGAGTTCCCCTATATTATTATTATAGTATAGTTCTTCATAAACAGTCATTTGTCCATCATTGTGGGCATGGACCATGGCAGAGAGTCCAGCATCCTATTGTCAAGATACAGTTAACAGTTTCATTGGGAGCCCATCTTTGATCTAGAAGTAAAGATGCATACTGCATTGTAGCCTCACATCTGGATATGATAGTCTCTATTACACACTTACTATACATCCCCTTAAATGAAAAGCCACAATACAAAATCAACAGCAGGAAGAAAAAAAAAAGAAATAAAAATTGTCATGAACTTAAATAACATGCTACCAAATGACTGATGTGTTGCTGAAGAAATGAAAAAGAAAATCAAGAACCTTCTTGAAGAAAATGATGTTACTGTATCTATGGGCCAGTGAAGAATTTAATGAGAAACAAGGTGTTCTGAAGAGATGAAACTAAAAAAAAATCTTTGTTGGTGAGATAAGTCTCCTATAGGCGACAAATAGGTGGGCTTTGTTATTTTAATCCAGTCTACTTATCTGAGATTTGATTGATAATAATCCATTTACATTCAGAGTTAATATGAATAGGTGATAATTTGGTCCTTATTTTAGCAATGGATTGTTAATTGATTTAGTCTTCTGTTATTTTACTGGGATGTTCTTCACATTTGCTTTTGGTTTTGGCGGGCACTATTCCTCTTTGTCAAGAGAACATCTTTAAGTATGCTTTGTAGGGCAGGTTTGGAAGAGGCATATTCTTTTAACTTTTTTTTTTTTAAGATTTATTTATTTATTGGAAAGTCAGATATACAGAGAGGAGGAGAGATAGAGAGGAAGATCTTCCGTCCGATGATTCACTCTCCAAGTGAACGCAACGGCCCATGCTATGCCGATCCGAAACCAGGATTCAGGAACTTCTTCCGGGTATCCTGCATGGGTGCAGGGTCCCAAAGCTTTGGGACATCCTCAACTGCCTTCCCAGACCACAAGCAGGATGGGAATTGGAGCTGCCAGGATTAGAACCAGCGCCCAGATGGGATCCTGGCGCGTTCAAGGAGAGGACTTTGGCCACTAGGCCACATTGCCGGACCCAACTTTTCTTGACTGTGGAAAAATTGTATTTCATTTTCAAAAATAAAGGAAAGCTTTGCTGGGTACATCATTCTGTGCCGACAATTTCTTGTTTTTAGAATCTGGAATCTAATGTCACTCCATTGTCTTCTGGTCTATAGAGTTTCCTGTGAAAGGTCTCCAGTGAATTTAACTGGCATTTCTTTATATGTCAATTGATTTTTCTCACATGCGCATCTTAAGTTCTTTTCCTTATGTTCGATTGAAGAGAGCTTGATTATCATGTAGACGTCTTGGTCTTATCATGAAGATCGCTTTTGGTCAACCCTGTGGGGAGTTCTGGGCCCCTCCTGGATGAGGTTTCCCAATTCTTTCTCTTGATTAGGGAAATTTTCCCTTATTTCATTGAATACGCCTTTAATCCCAGTTTCTCGTTCTGCACCTTCTGGGACTCCCATAACTCTTACATTTGGCCTTTTAATAGTGTCTTTCAATTTTTGAATAGTTTTTTTAGTTTAACCCAGCTCTGCTTCCATCTTTTTTTTTGTTTCCCCCTGGTGACAGGAAATATCTTCAAATTCTGAGATTCTTCTTCTTCCTTCATTCTGTTTTGGAGACTCTCCACTGTACTTTTAATTTACTCCACTGTATTATTCATTTTTGATATATCAGCTTTCATTTGATTCATTTCCTGTGTGACATATTCCTTAAACTCCTATATTATGTGCTTCTCGTTGTTAAGAAGCTTTAAAACAACTGTTTTGAATTCTGTATCCCCCATTTTCTTGAGGTCTTCCTCAGTTAACTCTGTCTGAGGTTGGCATAGGGTTTTGCTCCTTTACAGAGGAGTCTTCAGTAATATTCATTGTGCTTTTGTCTCTTGTTTTTGGTCCTTGTACTTCTGGTTAGCAGACTCTTCTCCTTGGGGCAGGTTTCTAAGCTGTGTCACCCACAGGTCTACAATTCGATTTTTTTTATTACAGTTGGCACATAGCTCTTTCTTTGCAGTCACTTGTACCAATCCCTCCAGTGAGTTCCAGGTCTGGGTTCTTATGTTAGACTTTCACCATGGTCTCCATAGCCCCACTCCTGGCTTACCACTCTCTGCCTCCTGTGATACTGTGCTGAGACTGCACCATTGTCTGTACAACCTTTCTCCCACTTCCTGTTAGAGCAGTTCCCAGGATTAGGGAGACACCAGGCGTCCTATATATAGCTAAGTTGTTGATGGTGCTGAACTTGATGGAACCTGTTGGCCATTAGGTCTGGCCACATGAACTTCTTTTAGACCCATATGACGTTGAAGTCAGTATTATTTTCCCTGTGGGACCAATGAGTTCAGTGAGTTCTCTCCCAGCTCAGTACATGCACATCTCACTGTTGTTCATGCAGTCTTAAAGCTTTTGCTACACTGTACAAATAGCACCTGATGTGCCACTGCTAGAGTTCTTGATCTGCTGGCTGTCATGTCTTGAGGGCTACCCAGACCCATCTTAGATGGAACCTATAGGATGCCATGCTGTTACAGTTCACTGAACCAGAAATGAGTTCACTTCCAGCTCAGTGCATGTGCAATCCTGTCCCATAGCCTTTTGTCTCCCTACACAAAATGGTGCTCGATTCAACTCTAGCAGGCATACTGGGCTGTGAAATCTAACCTGTTCCTGCACTGCCATCTGGGAGCTGCTGCTCTGCCTCTGCTCCTAGTCAAATCAAGCAGACAAGCAGGACAGGCAGTTTTGTCTGCGTTCACCTCCTGATCTCCCAGTGAATGTTCCTGCCCACCTTGTTGGTGGTGGAGTTCTGGTACAACTCAGATGGCCATCTGCTGAATGCTACTGGGGTATTGATCACGGCAACGTCACACCATTGTGCCTGCTGCTTTCCTGTCTCTGTCAGTCTCCTGGTGCCCTTCTGCTGTCGTTCTGTCCTCTCCTACTTCCTGGAATGTCCCCTCTCTGCTTTACACTGGCTAATGTTTCTTGATCTGTTTAAACGTGTCCTTACCCTATTCTGCCATTTTGATTCTCTAACAATCCTGTAACTTCTTAAGCAACCTCTACCCAGTGAAGCCAAGTAATGCTGGAAGGAAAATTGCAAATATTTGCACTGAGGAACATGATCTGAGTAGTAAGAATGAGAGAAAAGAAGGCATATGTCAGAAACTGTGGGGACCCTGGTAAGCCCTGGGGCCTTGGGAGAGCAGCTGTTCCCTTCAGAATCCTCAGGGTCCTAGGTTTATTCCTTACACATGTCTGAGCGTAGAGTCCATAGTCTGAGAAGAACTGAAGCAAAAAATCAGTGAACTTTAATCTCCTGTGTCAGTAGCTGATAGAAGCAAAGGTCGGGGAAGGGCTGGCTGTGGAATTGGACCAGAGGGTATTTTCTTCATGCCCTGGATTGTTAAAGGTACAGGTGGCAGACTCGCCAACAGGGCCCAGTCAAGGGGTTGCATCTGAAAGGCCCCAGCAGGGATCCATACATGTAGGTAGGAAGTCAGTTGTGGAAAGGGGAGCCAGAAGAAGAGTTGGACAACAGACAAGAAGCCACTAAGAGACACGACCCTGGACCCACTGCTGATTTATTATTATTATTTTTAAATATTGAACACTTCATGAATGTGCATGTCATCCTTGCGCAGGAGCCATGCTAATCATCTCTGTATCGTTTCAGTTTTAATATATGTGCTGCCAAAGCAAGCACTGCTGATTTTTATAGAGCTAATAATTTACACAAACTCAAGTCCAAGTTTAGAGAGTCTTTCTTGGTTTTGAATATCGGGAGGGGGAAAGCTCCTCAGCTGCTTACACACTAGCACAGCACTCTCTCCAAGGAGAAACTTCAGGGCAGAGGTCAAAGAATGCCTGCCAAGTCAGACTGCAGGCACAAGGAGCCGCCTACCCAGCACAGATGTAATGGAGGTGAAGTGTCAGCAGTCTCCAAGCATGTGTCCCAGGGAACTTTGAAAAGTTAGCAGTAGATGCGATATGTGTTCTCATTCAAGAGTTCATGGACAATGCATATGATACTATGGATTTTAAAAGGTGTTTACCTCGAAGTAAACTCTTCTTTTAAATGTGTTTCCCCAGATTTTCTGCAGTACCTGGGTACTATCAGATTAAGTCTTCCTCAGTAACTGATTGCAGTATTTGGCAATTCCTTCCCCTTCCCCCCAAAACCATGATTTTTGTCATTGAATTTTTTTTTCTTACAATGTATTTTTATTGGAAAGGCAGATTTACAGAAAGGAGAGACAGAACTGTCTGCTGGTTCACTCCTCAAGTGACCGCAGTAGCCGAGGCTGAGCCGATCTGAAGCCAGGAACTTCTTGCAGGTCTCCCGTGTGGGTTCATTGTCCCAAGGCTTTCAGTCATCCTCTGCTGCTTTCCCAGGCCACAAGTAGGGAGCTAGACAGGAACTGGAGCAGCCAGGATATGAAATGGTTCCCATATGGGATTCTGGGCATGAAAGGCAAGGATTTAGTCACTAGGCTACCGCATCAGGCCTGTCATCGGGTTTTAGTCAGCTGTGTGGCTGTTCTGCTTTTTCCCAATACACTCTACTACACTTGAACTCCTATACAGGCATGTTGAACAAAGCCTTTGCATGGTGCTACAGGCAGTATGTGGTGTTAAAAATGCACATATATCAGGCCCGGTGCAATAGCCTGGTAGCTAGAGTCCTCGCCTTGAACGTGCCAGGATCCAATATGGGGGCCGGTTCATGTCCCAGTGGCTGTGCTTCCCATCCAGCTCCCGGCTTGTGGCCTGCGAAGGCAGTCAAGGATGGCCCAAGTCCTCGGTACCTTGCACCCGCATGGGAGAACTAGAGGAAGTTCCTGGCTCTTGGCTTCGGATTGGCTCAGCTCTGGCCATTGCAGTCATTGAATCAGCAGACAGAAGATCTTCCTTTTTGTCTCTCCTCCTCTCGCTGTATATCTGACTTTCCAATAAAAAATATATCTTTAAAAAATGCACATATATCAAAACAGAATGCATTATACTTTTAACATATAAAGTTTAAAAAACTTCAAAATATAAAAATGTAAATCTGAATTGTTAAACTCACCAAGAGGTAGCTATCTCATAAAGATCCCCTTGCAGATTTTGCTGAATTAAATGTCTAACACCTTTTGTTGCTGTCTACATAATAACCCTAAAGATTATTAGGTAACCTTTAACTTTTTGACCCTAAATCCTTCAGTTTCTTCAAGCTCTTTAAGACACCACTGCCTCCTAACACATGTGAATGGTGGGGAGAAGTAACAGGACGTCTAATGCTCTCAAAAAGGCTTTCCTTCTAGAACCCCTCCTGCCATTTCACATTTTATGCATATACTCATGTGATGTCACATGGATGCTTTAAAACTTGGGGTAGGCTGACCTTCTTGCAGATGTATATACATACCTTTTATCAGATATAGGGAGTTTGGGGACACTATTCTTTCAAATATTCTGTTGCCCAATCCTCACTTTCTTTCCCTTCTAGAACTCCAATAATGTATATACTGACATGCACCATAGTCCCACAGGCGCTGTTATTTGTTACTCAAACTTTTTTCAAACTGGCTTGTTTTTGAGAGCCTTTCTTCATGATCAAGCCTGCTGTTGAACTCCATTAGTGAATCTTTCTTGATTATACATTTCCTAAAATGTCTGGCTTCAGATGGGGTTTGGGTGGAGAAGGTAGAGGGAGCTCTGCTGCTTTCACCACTCCCAGTCCTACCAGAGAAAGCTACTGCATCCCCCAAGAGATGCCCAAGCCAAGGCAGGTGCCTATGTGGGATGCACCAGACCCACCGAAACGCATAATCCCCAAGTTTGGAAGACAGGGTCCCATTGCCTGCCCTAGAACCAGAACAATTGCTGCAAAGATGCAAGCTGCTAACCCCATGGCTACATTACGGCTGAAGAATGGGTGGGTGGGTGGGTGGGTGGCTAGTTCAAACACACTGCTCTCCCAGCCTCTTCCTTCATCAAATGCCCTCCTTAGTTATTTTGCAAGTATCCATTCCACTCACTCTCCAACTTAATGGATGTTTAAATGGATGGACCAACTCTTGGAGTTCCATCTGCTGCTATTTTATGTGATGTTACTGTTCCCCAATCTAGAGGAGAGGAAACTGACTAAGAAAGGTTTTGGAATTAGCCCAGAGTAGTGGCACGGTAGCAGTTCAAGTTGGCTGTCTCTAGAACATATGTTAGGTCTAAAAATGGCTATCTGCTCTCTAACAAGCCTAACGTATCCTCACAGTAAACACCTCACAGGCCCCAATTTCCTGAGGTCTTAATGTAATTATCATGGAAATCTTCCTGTGGCATAGGCTGCTTCCTTTGTGTGATCCACCTTAGCTGGCTGTTGCTGGGTGTCATAAGTATTCACTCAGTCTTACCTCTCTTCCCACAGGCACAACTGCAAGATCGGAACGACCCGCAGCAATTGCTGTTAGACTTCAAACACATGTTCCCTGTTTTGTTTCCATTTAACCCATCCTCTCTGACCATGGACTCCATCCATATCCCAGCTTGTCTCAACCTGGAGTTCCTCAATGAAGTTTGAAGGCATAGACTTCCAACATGAACTTCAGTCCCAGTGAGAGCAAAAAGGAAGTATATGCAGAAAAGTGAATTCAGGGATCTATTTAAGGTGAGGAAGATGGATCAAATCAGAGCCTGGCAGCCTGTGGAGAGCACTGAACTACACAGAAAAAACCACGCCCACGTCGTCATTTTTCGTACCTACTTCTCAGAACAAAAACACTTGAAATACGCAAGATTTTTAAGGTGGATTGCAGTCTAAACAAACACATATAATCTACAACCAATACCAAGAAGTCCCCATGGCCATATAAAAGATGCCAGTTCTATAAAAAATGGAAGTTGCCTAATTTTGCTATTTGCATATAACTGGAGAATGTCAGTTAAAACAATATTAAAAGATATATAAGTCATGTGAATTGCCTTTAAATGACTTTTAATGAATAAAGGTACTGCTAACTTTGACAATATATGCTAGCGTTCCCCCAGGCTGACTATCTGTAAGTGTGGATGAATTTGCAGTGAGATGTTTTAAAAACAAAACTATGGGTTCGGGCCTTCTGAGAAGCATCCCAGTATATTTTTAATGGCCAATAATACAGAGACAATGGGGTAACCACCAGACCAAATGCTTTGAGTATGAGTTTCTGATACATAACTAGAAGATCCAGTCCCACATGTTCTCCAACCTTTTTGTGTAAGCCTTGACTTAAAGGACCAGCTGTGCTAAAAATGCTGCTGTCCTGTGGCCAGCATTTTGGCCCAATGGATTAAGCTGTCACTTGTAACACCAGAATCCGTATCAGAATGCTGATTCACATCCTGGCTGTTCCATTTCTGATCCAGCTCCCTGATAATGGTCCTGGAAGAGCAGCAGAAGCTGGCCAAGGTGTTTGGGACCCCACCACCCATGAAGGAGACTCAGATGAAACTCTAGGCTCCTGGCTTTGGCCTGGTCCTACAAGGAGCTTTGGAAAAAAGGAGTTGTTTATCTGTCATTCTGGCTTTGAAATAATCTTAGGAATGCGTTGCCAGAATTCAGATGTGAGCAAGATAGAAAAAAATATTTGTTTCCAATGTGAATCCATGCTGCTACCAACAAAACTTGCACAAAAATCTAGAAACCAGTAACAATGGTGGTTTTACGTAGATATAAAAATCAAGTCAAAATGAAATCCTTTGATCTTAATGCCATTAAGCTTCAAATAACAGCATAAGACATTACTAACTCTTGACAACCCACATAGTAAGAGAAAAATTTTAGCTTGAGAATCGGATTTTTTTAAGATTTATTTATTTTTATTGGAAAGTCAGATATACAGAGAGGAGGCGAGACAAGAGAGAAAGGTCTTACATCCGATGATTCACTCCCCAAGTAAGCCACAACAGCCAGAGCTGAGGTGATCCAAAGCCAGGAGCCAGGAGCTTCTTCCAGTCTCCCATGCGGGTATAGGGTGCCAAGGCTTTGGGCTGTCCTTGACTGCTTTCCCAGGCCACAAGCAGGGAGCTGGATGGGAAGTGGAGCTGCCGAGATTAGAACCGGGGACCATATGGGATCCTGACTTTGGATGCAAGGCAAGGATTTTGATTGCTAGACTACTGTGTTTAGAAAACCCAAAAATTAGCTCATTGATGTCTGTGTTAGCCAAAGGTTTGTGTTTTGTTTATAGAGAGAATTAGGTAACTGAGTCCAACTTTTTAAGTTATTTTCAACATTTTTGATACTTACCACATAAAAGTTATTGTAAATATCTTATAAAGATTTAAAAGCATCCAGTAATAACAGGCCTAGGTTTGTTTTAAGGATTTTCTGGACTCTTCAAAAGCAAGCACTCAGGTAATCCTGCATATTCCTCCTCCCGTTTTGACCATCTTGGTAACAGCAGGCTATTCTATGAATGCACATCAGGAGGGCAAGTCTTGAATCCTATTGGGATTTCTCCCTCAGTAAGAATACACCCCACCCTTTGACTTGGTCACTAGGTTAAAAGACTCCTGGGAACTACACACTTCGGGCCCTAAGCAGTCCATGAGCTCTGAGCTCAGCTTCTTCATCAGTTACTCTTCTCAGCTGTTGGGGCCAGAACAAGACACAGTGCTTAGGTTAAGACTGCTCACAGTTATGTCCAAAAACGCTGTTGTGAGCATGAACACTTCCCTCTGCATCCACATTGCACATGCTGGCATCTCTTGGACATCTCGGCATCACACAACCACTATCACCCATGACCTACACCTGTCAGCCCACACATTGACTATCTTGGGAAGGCCAGTCTAAAACAACTGGGTTTGTGGCTACCTCTTTAAAGTTGTTTACTTTTAGTTTGTTGTTTGGTGCATTTTAGTTGGAAACTCCGTCTGTCACGTAAATACTGTCCTTTTAACCAAAAAATGTCTCAAGTTGTCATTCTACAGAGTAACTGTCCTCACAGTGTACTACCTTATACCTTCATTCTCTCTATCTCGTTGGGTAGCTACCATCTCCTGTTATTGGTTAACCACTAGGTGCCAAAGGCTTAATGTGTAAAAGCATGGTGAATGGAATAAGCAGGAGAGTGTCATGAACAGTCTTACCCTAAGAAATGATAGACTCCAAAAAGAGAAGTTTTTCACTGGAACTGTGCTTAATGTATAGGTCACTAGCAGTAAATTCCCACACAGTAATTTGCTGCTAAATAACTAGCTTTTAGTTAAACTTCACACTTGAAAGGTGAGTGAGACATCTTTAGAAAAACTTCTATGTTAGCATTTTTCTCTGCATCTTTAAAGTCAGTTCAACTCACCAAATTTCATGGAATCAATAATGACTTTAATTCAACGTCAATATCTGAACTCTGCACCAAGCTATATCTTTTCAACATTTAAAATTTAATTTAAAAATTAAAATACTAAATGTAATAAAATTTAATGGACCTTTTCTCACAATGTGCCTTTAGCAGTCAGAAAAATAACGGACTTACCAATTGCTTCTCTGAAATGTTGATATAAAAACTTAATATTTTCCCTGACATCATGGTGAAGCTTTATCTTTTCAAACATTAGTATTTTTGAAGTTACTTAATCAAGCACTTGCAAATCCAACACTTTGAAGTACATCATGGGACCTGTATACCCATCCTAAGGTATGAGCACATGAAATTACTGGCTGAAGTGCACAAACCTGTACCCACCTGCATTCTCCCTATGCCATCGCATCTGCAGGTGCAGTGATGGGACCCGTAGGCTCACCTAACAAGCAGATTAGGCCCACAGGTAGGCTTCCCCTCCTCCCACAGAGCATGTCAACAGGACTTGAGTCCCTGGATTCTCCTAGTACTACATTTGAAGTGTTTTGTTCAAAGTGGGAGTTTAAAAAATGTATAAAACAATTAACAGTACTTCCTACTATTAGTTCAGCCAGTATTTACACAGGATCTTAATGTATTAGGAATACAGTAATGAGAAAATTAGACTCCATTTCTTTTGCATAGCAAAGCTGTTTTTACACACTTGGCTTAATTCCAAATCAGCAATTGAGGTGTTTGTCTCACATCTGCCTAAGTCAGATGTTAGTAAAACACGACAACGTGCAAAGGACCCTGTAGTCTTTCTTCACAGATGATCTGGATGGCTTCTCAAATGAACTTGTTGCATGAGCCAAATTTTTTACGCATTTGTGCCGTAATCAGAGGAAAGGTTTAAAAAATTAGAAGTCAATGCTGGATGACAAACCATTTGTTTTTTTTTAGTTATAAAGGTCATTAGATCCTAGATTGTTTTTTTCTTAACATTTGTAATTCCAATAAAGGGGTTTAATCAGATGAAATTCTACTTGCTGAAGTGACACCATCTCAGAATAATGCACTGTAACAGTTTGGATGAAGGACTGCCTCTGAAGGCATTCACATCATATTCAGGAGAATATCTAACATGATAAGACAGATACTGAAGAAAATATTTTTCCAATTTGAACAAACCTGTATGCTTGTTTATACAAAAATGTGTGTAATGGCTATGGATAAAATTTTGGTAATAAATACTTTTGAATGAAGTGATATGCCCAATCTAAAGAGACCATGGTTGTAGCTACATCTGGGCTGAAACATATTGAATTCTCTGGAGAAACTTCATTTTGGAGCCTATAGTCAATGCATTGCATGATCTTTTAAGCCAGAGGTTGGCAAACAATGGCCCAAAGGTCAAGGTGGGGGATGACTTACCCAGTAAGATCATCGGGATTAATAAGCAAATACTTTAAATCTGTAAAATTAAAACAGTTTTGGCCAAGGAGAAAACTGGTAGATTAATGACACAGAACAGAGGGTCTAGAGCTAGACCCATATGGTATATAGTAGACAAGGCATGAGAAATCGGAAGCAGCTGGCACATTGACACAATTAGCTAATCCTCCACCCTAAGCACCAGCATCTGTATGGGTGCCAGTTCGTGTCTTGGCTGCCCTACTTCCCATCCAGCTCCCTGCTTGAGGCCTGGGAAAGCAGTCAAACATGGCTCAAAGCCTTGAGATCCTGAACCCACTTGGGAAACCCAACAGAAGCTTCTAGCTCCAGGCTTTAGAATGGCTCAGCTCCAACCGTTGCAGCTGTTTGTGGAGTGAACCAGTGGATAGGAGATCTTTCTCTCCTCTCTGTAAATCTGACTTTCCAATAAAAATAAGTAAATCTTAAGGAATGGGAAATACTGTGTGGAGGAATTTAAAAACAATGACAACCTCCCCCCAAATTGGAGAAACGTACATGGATAACGACTGTAATAAAAAAAAGCCAATTATCCCCAAATTCCATACCTTTTTAAAGAAAAATGAATACAATATTTCTCCAAAGTTGAGAGGAAAAAACAGATGCGTAGCTAAGGAAGACCCTCCTTGAGAAAGTGGGAACTTTCCCAATAGGTACCAGGACTTCTAAAACTGGTAACCCCAAACTGAATATAAATTGACAACAGTAGTTCTAGAACAAGACACTCCCAGGAGTGGAGTGGTGTTCCTTCTTAGGACCAATCCTGGAACACACCATGACATGGGAAGCCCTCACAGTGTGCTGTGGGGGGAAGGCCACCTCCAGAACTCAATTCCCAGACTAAGGAGAGTCACCCCCCCCTTTTTTTTTCTTTCTGGGTGGCTGACCAAAGAACCCACCCAGATCCCCTCATTCAGACAGTTCACCTGCTACCCAGGAGTAGGCGCATCTTCAATGCCTCAACAGGAAAACCATGTTTCAAAGGAGCTAAATTTCATGCATTATACACTCATTCTAGTAACAGCTGAGAAAGAAAAAAAAGGCCAACATCAGGCAACTGGTCTGATATTTCAGAGCTAGCCTTGGGTGGTGGGTAGTGGCAGAACTGACTTGGTGCTCCCTGCTGTCCTTCTGCATACAAGCCACCTTACAAAGTGCCACACATCAGACAGGGTCCTTCTAATAGAGACCAACCAGGGCCATAACTCTGCCCAGGCACAGAGAAAGGTAAGGCCACGCAGTAATAAACACCCCTGCTCCCAGCTAATACAAAACTTCAGGTGTTGTTTTGCAGTGTTATCCTTGCTCTGACTGGCCCTCTTTCCAGATAGGATTTATTAATAAACAGCTTTGTCCCTGTACCCAATCAGAGTGAAGCTTGCTGCTTTGCATCCTCTTCAGATTACCCAGCCAATGCCCCAAGCTTCCTACAAGATGTTCCGCAGTTCCCTACACTGCACCCACGGTATGTAGTTTCTCCGGTTACAGGAACAGGAAACTAGACTTGCTCAACTGCAGGTGCTTCTGGAGGGGTTTGGCTGGAAAAGCATCAACAAAGTATTATCTCTTTCATCAACATCATTTTGCTGAGTATTGCAAATAACTTTCAAATAGAAGAAAACACAATATTTACTTTCACCTGAATGCAAGATGATGTCTTAAGCTAGGGGAACACAGCAAGACTTAGAGTAAACATAAAACGAGGGAGTTGGGCAAACCAGTGTTACTTTGTACATACATTGAATTTCGTGCACTTAACACTCTTGTTTGGCAAATTAAACTTCTTAAAAGTAGGTATTTGCTGAAAGGATGAAATCATATCCAAGCTAATATTTGCCCCTTATTTTAAACCTATTGTATGTATAATGGTTAGATTAATAGTGAGTACATCTGTAACTTTATAAAGCACTAGAGATGAGCAAATTTACTGTCCTCATTTAGATTCATTTACCCAATCAAAAATCTTGTCTTGGCCCCACCCATTTCACCAGCTTTCCTGTTTCCACTACTGCTAAAGCCACTGCTGCTTAACCTACCAATTTTGACTGTCACAGGAAGACCAGGAAACCACGCTTAAGCACTGGAAAGTCACCCTGGAAATGGCGGCTACTCGGCCTACAGTATTTCCCAGAAAGTGACCCTGGAAATGTGGGAGATGCCTGGGCTGTGATATTTCCAGTCTAGATTTCTGTTTCTCGAAACATTGGTGTTTTTGAAGAATTTGTGTTGGCTGTTTTGCAACATGTCCTTTAAGTTGGATTTGTTCTGTTAATAAGATTCAGGTCAGATATTTTGAGTTAAAAATTCAGTGTGAGATTGTGTCTTCTGTGCAGCAAGGGGATAATGAAGTTTGTCCCATTATTGGCAACAGTAAACTACATTTGTTTCCGCCTTCCAAATAAAATGAAAATTTAAAAATAAAATGGTTTAATGGAGGAACAGGTAGATGCTTTGATACAGCAAAGGGACAACGTATTAAACAACCGAATATAAGAAGTAAGTTTGCACATATGAAAGTTCACTTTTTAAAGATTCGTTATAAACAGCTGAATTTTAAAAACTGCACAATGAGGGTTGTGCAGTTGGCCGATGCGCAGTTTAGAGCACCAGAATCCCATATTTCCCATTCAGTTCCCTGCTAAAGCGCCCAAGAAGACAGCAGGGGCACCCAGCCGGGGGACCTGGACGAGTTCCGGGCTCCTGGCTTTGATGTAGTCCAGCCCTGGGTGAGCGGGCATCTGTCTGTCTCATTGTAATTCTACCTTTCAAATGGAGGCACTAATGTTCTAAAAGCAACCGTACTGGGAGAGGGCCAGAACAAACATGACTGCCCCCCACCGCTTTTCCACCCGCTGACTCTCCGCCAGGCAGCGCCCACTCGCCCGGCCTCAGTCCGTGCTCAGAGCACACTCCATCACCTGGTTCCCAGAACTCAGATTGCGCAGTGGTCTGGTCATCATTGGCCAGGGCTCTCGGGCACGGCGGCGGAGGGCCCCCCCACCTCCCTCCCGCCTAGCCTCCCCCGCACCCCTTAACTCCCGCAGCTCCCGGTCCCCTGGCCCCACTTCGCCTGCCTCGTTTTCATAATCCTTTCAGGCCACTGGGCCTGATCATATAAGGAAAATATTGCGGGCTCATCTGGGGGCTGCATTTGGGGATCCGGGCGTGCCCGACCTTACTATCCTCGCTGTACCCCCTTTGCCACCCAGCATCCCACCCGCGCACCAGCCCGCCGCCGGCTACCCGGAACTGGTTGCTGGACCAGCCTCTGCGCAGTCGTTGCCCCAGCCAATCCCGCCGCGCCATCGCCCCGCCCCCGGCCCGCTCCGGAGGAACCCGGCGGGGCGTTTGGAGTCCCGGCGCCTGCGAAGTGTTGTCTGAGGCGGGGGAGAAGGGAACGAGGGTTACTTCCTGAGGCGTTGGGGACAACCAGTCCTCTCAGCCTAGAAACCGGGAAAGTCAGTAAAGCCTGTGATGTGATGGAAAAGCTCTCACAGGACACCAAGTCCCCGGGAGGGAGGCGACGGGTGGGAGTGGCCATCGGCGGGCGGATCCGCGGCTACTCGGCCGCGGCCGGGAAAATAGGCGAAAGGGAAGGGGCGTGACGTGACCTCGCTGGGAACCGCCTCCGTCCTTAAGGCCGGGGAGAGGGGGAACGCACCCTTGGAATCCCAGACCCGAGGCCCGCCGCCCGCCGCCCGCCGCCCGAGCGCAGCCATGTCGCTTCTCCGAGGTGAGCGCAGCTGCCTGGTCTGTCCGTCCCCAAGCCCCGGATTCCGCTTCCAAACCCGGCCGAGAGTCAGGGTGGGGGACATCGTGGGCTGAAGTTCCTGCGATCTTTCCGGCTCCGGAGAGGGGGCTCGATTAAAAAAAAAAGAATCCCGAAAATAGTGTGTAGGCCAAAGAAGAAACATTTGCAAGATGCATACGACGCGGCTTCCGCATCATTTCCATCCACCGGACTCGGGCGGGCCTCCGACCTTGGAGGTCACTCCCTCTTGGTTGTTGTTGGGGTGGCTCGAGGCGGCGTAGGCAAAGCAGGTGCCCACTTGCCCGGTAGGGCGAGCCCCGCTCCTGCCTGAGCAGGGATGGGTGGGTCCTGAGGGAATTTCTGCCTGTGGGACCTGCTACCCCAGAATTGCTGGGTGGTGCTCTGTTCCTCTCCCCTTCCCTCTGCTTTGAGTGACAGCCACAAAGTGCAGGCATTCAGGACGTCAGTTTCACAGTTATTAACTTGGTAGAGTTACAGGTAGGATTCATGTGTCAGTGAAAAAGAGCATGCAGGGAGATGAATACGTCGGAATCTTGGAACTGGGCATGTTGTGGGACCGGAGCCCTAGAGCTCCATGATGAAGGTGGAACTTTCATTCTAAATTCCTGGAAGGGGATCCAAGGATTTACACGAGGGATTTGTGACCTGAGACCAATTTAGGATCTCCTGCAGTGGTTCAAGCAGCAGCCCTCCTGAACCCTGACACCGCTGGAGGGGAGGGGAGTGGCTTGGGAAAGGAAAGCGTGAGGAATGACCCGAGGTCAGTCTGCACGGCTTTTGATTTAACACGGTGATTGATGAGAAGATGCCAAAAATGGCTACGGGGTTTCTGGCTTGAGCCGTGCAGCGTTCATAACGAAGTAAAGAATAGGCTAAGAAGTCCTTGGAGCCTGGCACTCCACCAAGTGGAGCAGGGAGATTGGCATCACTTGGGGAGATCTAGCAGTCAGGCACAATGGCATGTGTGAAAACGGAGCGAAAAGTGTCCTGGAGCAAACGGCCATGTATCCGGCTTCCTACATAAGGATTTCACACCCTGGTGCCTTTCCCAGCTCAACTTTACTACCTTTACTGTAAAATGCAGTGCACCGTTTTTTTTTTTGTTTGTTTGTTTTTGTCTTTTTAGATGAGGTATCCAGAAAACCAAGTTCATTTGCAATCAGTATGGCAACCAGCTATCTTAAAAATAAAACATTTTTTAATTGATGAAACCTTTTCTTATGATACAAACCTCTTTGAAAATCTGACTTAAAAAAAAAAAAAACTGTGACCCAACAAGGAAAAAAAATGCCACACATGTATAAGGAAGTGGGAACTTCATGAGTCTGTGAAACAGATTGCTGTGCTGTCACATTTTTCCCCTCTGTTTTTTCTGTTGTACAGATAAGGACACCAATGTCCAGATAAGTTGAGGATTTTGTGTAGGTAGTAGCTGTGACTAGAAACTGAGCTCTGAGCTTTGGGTCATGACAACTCCAGGCTTGTTGGACTACGTCAAGGATGCATCCTTCTCGCAGGTCATATCCCCCCAGGTGCTTTCAGGAAGCTGAGAAGAAAAGCGATCACCGGGGTTACTGTAGGAAAAAGGGCATGTTAAGCCGTTTCAATGTCCAAGAGGAGCTGATTGAGCCCCCTGGTTTTCATCAGCAGCGCTTCCAGGGCTTGGTGCGAGCTCACCCCTCGAATGCTAGTTGTACTGCCTGGTGGCTTTGTGGGCCCAGTCCCTGAATCTCTGCCAGGTCAGCAAGCAGGTAGCTTAGCTGCCTTCCTCCCGCAGAAGTCCACGCAGCAGCAGTTTCCCTCAGTCTGCCTCTTTGCTCTCTGTAGTGCTCTAACAAAATGAGTAAATGTTTACCTAGCACAATGATATCAAGGTAAGCAGCTCTCTTCATGCTGGCATTTTCAGCATTTTCAGCTCACAAGAATCTCTAATTTATAGGATTGTAAGATTAAGAATCTTTAAAGTATCTGACATTTGTATCTGGATGTTACAGGTTATTTGGAAAAAGCACATTTTGTAATAATTGCTTTACTTTGAATAATTGCAGTAGTTCAGTGACGACATCATTTGAGCTAATCTTGAAAGTCAGGAAGCATCCACTAAGGAATGATGGCAGCAGAGAGGAAGCTCAAAAGTAAGAGGGCTAGGAAAGAAAGTCATGAAGGGAACTTACTTCGTTTGCATGTGTGCTGTGTAAGAGTGCTTCGGGAAGTATGTGGAGCAATGAACTTATAAGATAAATTTAGTGTAAACCCTTACATATTAAAGGTCTTACAGTCTGTGGAAATACATATTTTGAAAAAGCACATAGATTTTAAAGTTTTTGGCACTTGCATAATCTTAGTTTTTTAATTACTATTTTTTTTCCCACAAACCTTTTGAAATGTCTTCATTTTTTTTTTCTCGGCATTTTTAAGATGTTCATTATCTTTTGGCTCTCAGAAGTTTGACCATGATGTGCCCTGGGGACGTGTGTGTGTGTGTGTGTGTGTGTGTGTGTGTGTGTGTGTGTGTGTGGTTGATATAGTTACTCCATTTGGATGTCCAAAGCTTGAATCCATGCATCTATTATCACATTTGGAAAAATTTCCATTTGTTTATCCAAATATTTTCCTTTTCCATTCTCTTCTCTTTCTGTAATGCCAAAACTGTTTTCAGCCCTGAATGTTCTGCCCAAGGTTTTGTTGTTTGTTGAGCAGGTTTACATTTATAGAGAAGCAGAGACCAAAGTACAGAGGGTTAGCATTTGCCCCCTCCTACTAATTTCTTGCGTAAGTGTGGTGAATTTGTTATCATTGGTGTGCTAATATTGAGAGTTTGTTCTTAACTGAAGTCCCTAGCTTATGTTAAGGTTCCCTTTTTCTGTTCAACAGTCCTGTGAGTTTTGACCAAAGAAAAGAGGTTTACTGAGCTCAGTTTTAGAGGTTTAAAGGCATGGCACTGACATCAATTGGGCTCTGTAGCAACCCTGCAGGGTTGTATGTAATGGGAATCACAGGTTAGGGGGCAGCGTTGTGTCATGGCAGCCCCCACCTGTACTGCTGGCATCTCATATGGGCACAAGCTTGTATCCTGGTTGCTCCATTTGTGGTCCGGTTACCTGCTGTGTTAGGAGATGGCCTGGGTTTTTGGGCCCTTGCCACATCTGTGGGAGACAAGGATAAAGTTCCTGGCCTCTGTCTGGCCCATGTTGGCCAGTGTGACCATCTAAAGAGTGAGCCAGATGGTGAAAGATCTGTCTTCCCTCTCTCTGTGTTACTTGTTCAAAATAAATAAATAAATCTTTAAGAGCAGTCACAGCAAGGCAAGAAGCTAGAGGAAGATGCTGAAATGCCAGACTTGCTCTCCTATAACAGCACTCAAGAACTAACCGAATCTCCCAGACCTGCCTTTATCCTTTCTGATGCTGAGAACCAGGGTAGATACGGTTATTTTATAAGACATTGCTGAACTGTCTTACAGAGTATTCTCTTTTGTATTGCATATTCTCCTAGCAGTGAATGAGTTTATGTTATGTTTTATACAAGCATTTTAGTATTGTGTTTAGATTTTAGCCATTCTGAATTAAGCTGTGTGATGGTATCTTACTGCTTTAATGTCTAATTTCTTTGTGACATACACTATTGAGCATCTTTTCGTGTGTTTGCTTGCCACCTCTATGGATGTCTTTTTAGTGCAGTTTGGATCTTCTATTTTAAACTTTGAATGGTTTTCTTCTTGTAGAATCGAAGACCACCTTGTATTCTTGGCATGCCAGTCCTTTATAGTTATATGTTTCACAAGTATCTTCTCCTAGTCTGAACTTTTTCTCATTTTCTTACCAACATCACTTGCAAAGAATAAGATTTTAATTTTAATGAAGTCCAACATAACAAAGTTTTGTTGGGTAATGATTTTGCATATCTAAAAAGTTATCAAGCCCAAGTCACATAGATTTTTCTCCTGTCTTCTAAGGGTTTTAGAGTTTTGCATTTGATATATAAGTGTGTAATGCATTTTGCACTAATTTTTGTGAAAGACACCAGGTATGTGGCAGATCGTGTGGATGTGTGTCCAGTTTTCCCAGCATCATTTGTTCAAAAGGGGATCCTTTCTCCAGGGCGTGCCTGCGTGCCATTGTCAGGCCTGCAGGTTCTGCCTGTGAGTGTTAAATTTTGTTTTTAATCTTCTCGTCTCGAATAGAGGCTGTTCAC